CACCTCTTCACCATACTTTCGTTTATCTAGGCAATCGAGTGCCTGTCGAAATTGTGCCGCTGCTGCAAAATGATGGTTTTTGGCGGTCATGTGGTGAATCCAATCCGTGCTGATCGCGTTAGACTTGACAGCCAAATCCCCTGCATCTCCATAATAGTCGGAAACTTTTGCAGCGAGTCGTGCAATCGATACGTCCTTAAGTCCATCCTTTACAGCCTTTTGCCAGAAGCACTCTTGGCCCTGTGCGAGCAACAGCTGTTCCAAGCTCTGCAGAGTCATGTCATCCATATCTTCTGGTGGCGATGTGCGGAGGTCAGGAAGAATATCGTTGCGCAGGTGACTCAATACTCCAGCTGCTTGACAGGAGTAGTTGCAAGCCTGCTTGAGGCCCTCTGCGGTCGTGCGGTTCAGTGCATAAGCAAGCTGGGAGTATAGTGCAGCGAGGTTGAAAAGAACATTCGCCAGTTCAAATCGAAGGTTGTTCTGTGATACTATGGTAACTGTCATCAGCGAACATGCCCCACCACTGCGAGCGCCTTTGCCTCTAGTTTCCAGGACGTCACCACCTACCAGGTCGCGAGACATTGAACCCAAACGCCGGATACCACGCAAAATCAACCCCAACCTATTTAGCGCACATAGTCAACCACAAGCTCCAAAGGCAATACTCGGCACACAAGGAGGACTTCTCACATCAACTGGGAACTTCCCACCGAGCCATTTCAACTGCGCCGCATATGTGACCAGTCGACTAATTCCACTAACATGCGGTTCTTGTACGTTGATGGCCTCGCTTCGCAAGCGGTCGATGATCAGCAGATCATCTGCGAACATATCCGGGCGCTGGTCATATTTGGAGGAAATGTACTGCGTAATCGCATCCGACAGCGAGACGGTGTGGGAGCGTCGAAACGGGAGCTGTAGGATATTGCTACCAAGTGAGAGCCAAACAGGTCAGTACGTTCCAAGTAATCTGTGCTTTTGGCGCAACCGTGATACTTACGTTGTCATTGTGGGAGCGTCTCACAGCTTGGGCAGGAAAGAAAGAAACATTTGTTGACGAGGTTGCTCAGCCAAAAACCCCCACCCGGCAACGGAATGACGTTGTGTCGCCTGAGGCATTCAACTCCGCATTTTCTAATCCGGTACTCAGGTGAGTGTCTACTAGATTTGGCCACGCAATGAACTAAGAGGTGTGTTTACATCGATTCTACGCAGTATGAGCAGTATACGAGATATCAAGTTCATTTTCCTATTTGCTGTGAGCATCAAGCTCATCCATTGGCATGTATGTACAAGAAAAAGCATCTCGAAATGCGCGAATATACCATGTGCAAATAACCCTTGGTAAGTCAAACTTCATGCTTCGTTCTAGAAGCTTGTCAGATGACCCCTCAAGATACGGGAAAAAAGCTGAGCAGAATCATGTTGTCAGCGTCAGAGCTTCACTTAGGAAGCTCGTTGATTTTGGCCTTGATGAACTCAAACATGCTGAGTAGAATCATGTTGTTCAAGCCAGTTCGGATCAGAATGATGGAGATGCCTTTATACATGCTCGCCTTCGCGACGGCAACGGAGGCTTCTCCAATCTCTTTGGATTTACCGAGCAAGACGCTCTGGGCACGGGTCTTGCGAGTGTCAAGGGGATAAGTCTGCAACGTCTGTCAGTGGTGATATTTCAGATTGAAAGGTCGAGATAACCTACGCAAAACCATGGTACGGTGCTACAGATGGCACCGGCAATCATAGGGGCTCCGAAAGGCGATTTAGTCTCGCCCAGTTCCTTTGCCGCCACCTGCTTGACAATCTCATAAAGGCTGAAGTATAGTCCCGATCCGACGGTGTCACGCAGCACATGAAGGCGGAAGCCTGTGTATAGGCCACGGACGCCATGGCGCTTGATAATCTGTTGAATAGCTTCAATGGTCCCCAGGCGGGGCTTGCGGCGCAAATCGGGATTTCGAGCAGCATCAGGGGCAGCTTGAGCACGGTTGGACACCAAGACTGAAGTCTGTACCACATTCTTGGCAAGCTCGAATGGGCCTTTTGAGGTCAGTCAAACTACATGATCAAACATCTCCAAGATAAGGCAAGTCTTACAGGCAATCGGCGAGGAAAGCAGGCCAGCCAGTGCACCTGCAGTGGCAAAGGTCAAGATCCCAGTGACCGAGGGAGTGCTGCCAGGCTTGTTGTATTCCGCAAGCGGCGATACTCCAGTGATATGCTGGAACATATCAGAGATGCGAACCTTGGCCCAGCTGTAGGATGTGAAATTGACGACCCGGACAACAGTCACGCTGGCCAGGGGAGGAAGAGCGCCTAGAATATCAGATCAATGCTTTATTCAAAAGCTGACATGCTAATTGCAAACCTACCGGCAACGTAGCCACGATGTCCCTCAGTCCGCCAGATGTAGCGCATGCATTGAAAAATGTTCTTGAAGTTGTGTCTAGAGATACCACTCCATCAGCCGATATCCTTTTGTCTTTCACAAATTAAAGAGAACTCACGTTTGCATTCGTGTCTTCACATTCTCCAATGGGGTCTGTTCGTGACAGATGATCAAAAGTCAGTGATCCATTCTGTTTCCGGTTTGGCCTCAGAAGAGCTGAGGTGTCAATAGTAACATACCACCGCCAGAGTTGCGCAAACAGTTGACGCTCCCGACGCCACCTGCGTCTGATACTTCTTCAAAAGGGTGTTGCGAGTTTTTTCGTCCATAATCCAGGAGTTCTGAGACGGCATTACAGCGGGGTGTTGATTCGAGGAGGGAATTTCATGTTCAGGTCGTTTTTCAATAGTCATGCCTGACATGTGTCGATGTAAAGACCGCGTGTTCGCCGTCGCGAGCGGTCAATTCGCCAAAATCTTGTCAAGTAATATGAGTGATGGGAGAGATAGTTGCCTCGAACGCAACACCAGGCTGGGAACCCTATGGAACGCAAAGCGGTCTCTCAGTACTCGAGAAGACCGTTCAGCGTCCCACGATTATCCATTCGTGGAGCTCTTGCAGTTCTGGCCTTCCTAAACCCTGAGAGCAATCCAAGCGGATCTACTGTACTGGATAATTCAAAGTTTATGGGTGTGAGACTGGTGATACGAGATCGGATGAAAAGCCCGCGAGTCTCGGCAATCAAATAGTGACCCCGCGACGGTAGTCGAGCGGAGCAACGAGCTTCTTTGCTGTCGGGAGACTTGAATCTCGTACCGATTATGTTATACAGAGCTTTCTCTGTTCCGGATCGGCTTGGTCGACTTATCCGGAGAAAGTCCTCGGTCGCAATGGGTGAAGTGTGGTCTGGTACGGCAGCTGGAGGAAAATTAGCATGGATCCTAGAAGTGTTTCCCCTAGCCCATTTTGCTGCAGCGGAAGCCAAAGAACAAAGAATCTACGATATAACTCACTGGTACAACCTTCAACCCAAGCACGAAGCAGGACTAGCTCATGGAACAGAGGAGGTGGAAGAGGGATCGAGGGCAAATAGGCATGTGGACCGAGCTTTGTAGTTCGCTCAAATAGGTTTAGGGCGAACCTAGTGACGTCGTGAACATTGCCCCCATTGTACTCTACACAGTACTCCGTACTACACATTGGATCGGGGCTTTCCCTCTATTGATCGAGTAACTTCACGTTTTAACAGGAATCATTTGGTTCCATTTGATGGGTCTTGTGTATGAATGTCCATCTCCAATAATGTTGTGGGGAGATCGTTAGCCTTGATCCCATAATCTGCGGGGCAAGGCTTTTCCGCACCCTACTGTATAAAGATATTTGGATACTGGATCGGATCAAAATTAAACTTCAAATGGATACGTATTAATAGGGCGAGAAGCTGTCATAGTGGAAAGATTGCGAAAAAGCTCATCATAGGGCCGTCACGGATGAGACGACAGGATCGCCAAAATAAGGTCTTCGGGGTACCATGGATCGATGACATCCTCCTAATCCTGATTATTTCGGTGGGAGACAGTAATCCGGTACATTATGAATACTTTGATACCCACTAAATGATTGGTGTGTGTTTGTGATCTGCCAATGTTTTGGAGTAAAGTCTCATATCCTGAGAAATAGAAGAACTGCTGTTTGCAAAGGTCCAGGATGTAGGCCAATTAAGATGGGACTTGCTGATTGGGTTGTTTTGCAGATCACCAGAGAACTAGCTTTCCAGGTTTCCTTGCATGATCCTGTCTGCATGTGCTCGTCGAATGTCTACTCATTAGATTAGGGCACGTTGCCGCAGCGTGGCCAGTAGAAAGCGTTGTACTCTACTAGTGCGACCGGACATACATCCATCCACTGCCGGCGATATTTACTGGGATGAAATGCGGGGAAATACACTTCTTTCCTCTTTTCATTTCCACTCCTTCGGCCTGTTTCTTTACGAATGGACAAGGCACTATATCCACGATCGCGTCCACGGACTTTGTATATAATCCATTACGACAGGACGTATAAATGTCCCGCTTCACCTGCAATGGCCTACGTAGCCTAATCATGTAGTCACCAAGGTCCTTGTTATTCACATTGGCCCTACCGACCAATAAGGAGAGGAATGAAGGTCATAGAGCCACCAAAAGTTTGCAAAATAAGCAGACTAGATAGTAGTACTGTTGGACATTTTGTTCTCTACAGGTTGACCACTTAAGGGAAATGCACGTGATAAAGCATCACCAACCCTTGGTGAACATTCGGCCCAACCATATGAAAATTCATATGCTAAGTTCAAGTGTGAAAATGGAGATTAGAACCTTAATTTACTAACAAAGGATCTAAACGCCGGAGTTTTCTATGGAATCGAGATTTGTGCAACACTTTTTTTTTTATTCAGCGTGCTCCCTCGGGTACTCGGGACCTCGGTCTCTCTCCCCCGCAAAATAGTCCCCACTCGTGACATAAACACTGACTTAGTAACTACATATAGCTGCTAGTCTGTTATCAAACCCATGGGGATTCCAGATTAACGTCTATTCGAATCTCATACACATACTCCACATTCATCATGGGTAAGAAACAAGCTGGCCCCGCCTACATCCTAGGCGTGGGCATGACCAAGTTCATCAAGCCCCGTGGCAAGGTCGATTACAATGAGCTGGGCTACGAGGCCGGCATCAAAGCCCTGCTTGACGCCCACATCACCTACGACGACGTTGACCAGGGTGTCGCATGCTACGTTTACGGCGACAGCACCTGTGGCCAGCGTGTGTTCTATCAATTCGGTCTCACCAACATCCCTATCTACAATGTCAACAACAACTGCTCGACTGGTTCTACTGGCTTGGCCATGGGTCGCACCATGGTTTCGCATGGTGCTGCCGACTGCGTCCTTGTCGTCGGCTTTGAGAAGATGAATCCCGGTAGCTTGCAGTCAGTGTACAACGATCGCACTAACCCGACCGGCCTGTTTGGAACAATGATGGCGGAGACGCGCGGAGTTACCAACGCTCCCGGTGCTGCGCAGATGTTCGGAAACGCTGGTCGGGAATACATGGAGAAGTATGATCAATTTCACCCCACTTCATCAACGAGGATCCCCATAGCTAACATCGGCTTTCTTTAGGTACGGCGCAAAGAACGAGGACTTCGCTGAAATCGCCCGCATCAACCACGAGCACTCCAAGCGTAACCCCTACTCCCAGTTCCAGGACGAATACAGCCTCGAGCAGGTCATGAAGGCACCCATGATCTTCGAGCCCCTTACCAAGCTTCAGTGCTGCCCGACTTCGGATGGTGGTGCTGCTGCCGTCATTGTCTCCCAGGAGTTCCTCGATGCCCGCCCACACCTGAAGGACCAGGCCGTTCTGATCGCTGGCCAGACTATGGCCACCGATACTGACCAGCTCTACAACACTAGCGCCATCGATCTGATGGGTTTCGGCATGTCGCGACATGCGGCCCGCACTGCGATCGCCGAGGCCGGTGTGAATGTTAAAGATATCAAGGTCTGCGAGTTGCACGACTGCTTCTCTGCCAATGAGATGATCACGATCGATGCCCTCGAGCTTTCTGAGCCCGGCAAGGCCCACGAGATGGTCCGCCGTGGCGATATTACCTATGGTGGTAAGATGGTGATCAACCCTTCAGGCGGCCTCATCTCGAAGGGTCACCCGCTCGGTGCAACTGGTATTGCGCAGGCTTCTGAGCTGGTCTGGCACCTGCGTGGCTGGGCCAACAACCGTCTTATTGATGGCACGAGCGCTGCTCTGCAACATAATCTTGGTCTGGGTGGTGCCGTTGTTGTCAGCGTGTACAAGCGTGCTGATGGCAAGGTTGCCGCTGCCGTCCCATCAGATGTTGTCGCCAAAATCACAGGCCTTGGCTACAACCCGGCCGTCGAGGCTCGTGGGTTCACTGCTGAGCAGGCCAAGTCAGTATGCAGCAAGAACCACAGCAGTGCATATGCTGTCGGTGATGCCCATGAGCGGGTTCTTGCCCGTTTCTAAGTCCGATATCCCATCGAAATCTGTACATACTTAAACATGCGTTTAGCATGATCATGATTCCAATTGAATTCATTTAATCCCCTGGTTATCTCGGGTTACATTCCATAAACTCCACTCAAATCCATCCAGGGTCTTGGCATATGTACAAAAACCGGGTCCGTCAAACGTCATGAATGCGTATCCGCCCAGTCACTGGGTAATTTATAATCAGGCGGAATCTTATACTGTCCCCAACAAGTCCCAGGATTAGGACATTTAAGATCACACCGCCCATACAACCGACAATAGCAATCACCAGCACTAGGACAAGCATCCTTATTCAGCTGGCGCAACTCCAATTCCCCATCGGAATTCGGTTTCGCAAATAGTATATGCCACATATAAGATAAGATCCGCCCAGCAACTCGATCATCCAAAGGCGCAGCCGGTCCACCATGTGTCTGAGAGCTACGAGGGTCCTCAATCCCATCAAGCAACCACTGTCGCAAAGCGACGTACTCCGACCGCGAATGCTGCCATATGCGCTCCCGCGAAACGACAAACTGCGCACAGCATTGTGATCGCACAGCATCCGTCCGTCGAAGTTCCAGCTGGGCTTTACGCTCTGCAGCCGTGTAATCTTCTCCGCCGAATATAGATGCCAGTGCCCGGGGTAGTGCGGTATCGGATGCTGCGCGCGCACTCCACGGTTCCAATGTGGATTGCAGACGCATTTCCAAACTTCCTTGCGCGGCTACCGTTGGAGGACAGGTACTTGTACTCCAATCACAACGCAGATTGTAGTATCCCGTTAACTCCAATGCAACGGGTATATTCAGCACGGAGAGTAGAGCCGCGTTATCATAATCCGGCGCATCATTGTGCCATGCCCATCGGGATCCGTGTACGAATACCGCACCGGCGGCGGGTATCTCGGCGTAGTTGTCGATTATAAACGTCAGGTATGCCATTGCTTCGTGGCCGCGGTTTGCCGGGACTTGGAGGTAGACCGAGTTCTTGTCGACTGGGGCATCGACATTGTACATGCAGAGATGGTAGTCGGATGATAGTTTATCGAGCCATTTCGGATCTCCGTCTGCGGCTACGTGCGAGACGATCAGAGCGGGTTTTTTGGAGCCGGATAGTTTTGGACAGATGCCTCGGGATTCGGGGATGGTGCGGGATGTCGTCTTGTAGCGGATTTTAGTCCATGAGAAAGTTTTGTCTTCGGATTGTGGGCGGTTGAGGTAAATAATGAATAGGAGGATGGAGGCAAAGAGCACTAGTTGATTTGTGGCTCTTTGCGTCTTACGATTCATCTTGATATGTTGGATAGGATTGAGACGCACTCACCTTAGGTCTCAGGTACCACCTGGCCACGCGATGCCACGCGGTGGCCTCCATATTTTCTAGTTTAGACCGGATGTCACGGCCTAATGAGTGGGTCTTATTGCCTGAGGCACTCTATTGTTAGCTGATAGTGGGTCGCATCAAGCGTAATGATTGGTTGAAATGAAAACAAGACATTGGATTGTCTAGTGAGAGCTTGGCTCTCAATTCTATTTACCCCTGACGTCCCGACCTCCTTCCCCACGTTTATTGTTATTATACTACTGCACTTCTGTGATAGCGTAGCATAACAAGGGAAGATAATCTTTTGTAGGCAAAAGCCTCCAAGGTTTCAATTTTTCTTCTTATTCGAAAGATAAGAGTTAAGCCCGGGGGCCGGCGGTGGCGGTAAGTGGGTCGCAATATATATACACCGAGATCGGAAAGTAATTTGGAAAAGATCATATCTTCGATTGGAATGGATACCACAAACGCGACATCTCTAGTACATGAGATAACAGATAATTATATGATATGATGTCCAGGTCAGAGAAGTTGATACAGAAAGAAAAAAAAAATATCAGGAGTAATAATTGATGCCCGCAACAAGTATTGAGTCCGTTCATCACTCTTAATAGTTGGGGATGCAAACTCCGGCGTTCCATTGAGTGGCACCAACACATTGCCAGCCGTCACAGCAAGCGGTGCCCGTGGGGTGGCATGCGACATCGTAGTCTAGAAGATCACAGTCAGCTATTGAAACGCACCAGGGCTTCGTTTTCAACGATAACTTACTCGCGACACAGGAGCGCTTCTCTTCGGAGGAGGCAGAGGCAACGGCAGCCAGGGTAGCAATGAATACGGCGATGAACTGCATTTTGATGGTCGAAAGTGGTTGATCGGTAGATCGGTGATGTTGAATGGTGAGCTGATTGATTGGATTGATGGGTTGATGATTTGATGTGGCTCAAATTATCGAGGAAATCTCAAATCATTTATTTACTTTCCAAAATACCCTCACAGCTGTAGCGATTCGGAGTATTTACTTCTTATGACCATAGGTTGTGTGAGTTGGTTCATGATCTAAGATTATTTACTCACTTGGCTCCGGACGCATATGTCTAGCGTGAACAATTACCTCTTTAGATCAATTGTGGCCTTGGCTCGATGATGTATAACTGTATAGCTATTCTTTCTATTTATAAATTCAATTAATCTTGTGAATCCTTTGTCTTTTCTAGACGCAGGACAAGAGACTGTAAGCATTGGGGGCCACTTGCCCATATTAGGCTATGCCAAGCTCTTGACCAGCATCTCTAGTCTAGGCACGGAGTATCTTAATTCCAAGTCGGCAGATATATTGGTTACATGTCATTAGTAAAATATAATTCCGTAAGAAAAGCAGGAAACTCCCAAAATTGTTCGCTTATTGGCGCATTTTCTGTTTGGTAGCGTTATTCCACGGAAACAATACTTGTGCACTTGGGATGAAACAAAGCCAGTTTTTGAAAAGACCCAAAGGACTCAAACCTATCATCAGAGGTAGACTAGCAGAGTAGTATTCTGTAGCTAAATTCTTAAGAGACACGCAACCTGACAATGTAATATCTTCAGCCCGGAGATCAGCGAAGTTCCTTGCGAAGCGCCACTGTGTGATAGAGGATAACCCGTTTCAAGTTGTACCGGAATGTTACTCATCTTAATCAGGGCATTTGTCTGTCATTTCATGTAGCACAAAGACTTTGGTTTGAGTCAATGTTGGCAAGGGGGAAATGCCAACCAGGCCAACCAAGGGTCAGACATGGATATACAGAGGGGCAACTGTAAAAGTGCTAGGGTGGAATGTGCAGTGCTTACAGACAAGTCCTCGTGTTGTTGCCATTGGCTTTGCACAATTTTCCCTCTCATCTCCGATTGGACCGGATGGTCCCTTGCATAACCTCGAGGTCGATCATATTCTTGTCAAGGGATGTTTCAACGCAATGGCTGGCTTAGTCACATATTTACTTGGGTATCAACCATGGAATCAGTTTTTGTTCGCAAATCCAGAGTGGCTATTCCCTGCTACTTAGGTTGGAGGCAATTTAGGTTGCTACCACACGTAGAATACCTCGGGAGGACGCGAGTAAACAAGGTGATCCTCGCAGCTCAATTTCCTCCTATGATCCCTCCCCCCCCTTAAGTCCATTCCCTCCCTGTTGCACCTGTAGGAAAGGGATGGAATATAAATCCACCATCATTTCTCTCACGTTTTGGACGCGATTTCTTTTCAGGTCTACTTGGCGATAGATACCACTCGTTCTTTTATACGCCTTTCCACTCCTTTCACAATCAAACCACTGAATATACCACTTCACTTGATCTATTTTATCAAACATATACAACAATGGCTCGCTTCAACCTTTCCTTCCTTGCTGTGTTCTTGGTTCTCGCTGTTTGCGCTCTGTCACTCCCGACCAAGCGTGACTCGCTGCTCCCCATGAGTGATCTGGGACTTGATCAGACTATCGATGAATTGAAGGTATGTAATACATAGGATCGCATCTGTGACTCAAGCTAACATTACATACAGTCTGCCACTAAGATGATGAACGGCATGGACAACAAGGACACCAACGACCAGAAGAACCAGGTTGACCAAGACCCTGCTGTCCAGAGGAACTCTACTGAGGAGAAGAAGGCTGAAGTTGAAGAGCCTACCAAGACCGAGAAGAAGCTTACCTCTGGTAAATTCGCTACACCGACTCCTACTAGCACTCATCACGCTACTTCCGTGCCCAACTCTCTGGGCAAACTTCCCATTGTCGGTACCTTGCTTGGCGGTACTGGAGGTCTTTGAGCATATGACATGCGATCTCAAGGCCCAGCAGCTGGTATGATGAAAGAACAATATGTGATGCTTGGGTTGTGACGAGTCAAATTATGGGATTGTCCCTGTGGGTATTGTTCCAATGCTTATGCTGCGGACATACTCCGAATTTCGATGTTTATTTGGATCGATAAATCAGTTGCACATTAATTCTTTTTGGATGTTCTTTTTTTCAATCAATCCATTCTCACTTCATCTTGTGTAGCAGACCTGGAGGAATCCTACTTCTAACAATATTCAGCCGAAACAACGCATCTGGGATTAGTGTCACCTCTTTAGTCTTCAATTTTTATTTTCATATTCTTTTTCATATTCTTTCTTGTCACACTCTGTCTCGACATTCTAAAGTGTCCAGAAGTAACCATGAAATCCATCAAGAACATCAATACGTGGCCGAACTGAAGCAGTATCATCTTGATAACAGACGGGACTCGGGACTCGGCAGAACCAAGCTCGCTGCTAGCTTCGCCGAAGCCTACACCAATACGGGTGAGTTGCGGGATTTATAAGAGTCATAAAAGTCATCAGGCGTACGACAGGCACTCAAGCCCAATCAAATGTTGTAAGCACTAAACTTCAATAGATCGGCCACGTTGTTTGTTAACTCATACGCTTGTCTAAGATTGTCTAAGATTGTGTCATGATAGGCGCAAATTACGGAGCCTGCTTTATCTTACCCCGACTCCGTCGGAGTCCACATCGTACACATTCCCTCATCAAAACATATAAAAGAAGCTAAGCTATTGTGACAAAGTATTTTGAAAATCTTAACCCTGCTCAACCTAGAGAATGGATCACATTATTCCCAGAGCCCTGAAGAGAGGGGACACAGTTGCTTTCGTCTCTCCCTCCGCACGTCTGAATGATATCCTGCCCGGCCCTCTCGAACGCGGACGAGCATACATTGAGTCTCTAGGCTTTAAAGTGCGAATATTTTACACAGCTTCCACACCGGAAGATGGCATGGCTAAGTTGATCCGTGATCGCTGCGAAGAGCTTCATTCGGCTTTCCGTGACACCACCATCACCGCCATTATTTGCACGATAGGTGGTGACCATGCCAATGAGATGCTACCGTTTCTCGACTATTCCCTGATTAAATCGAATCCTAAGATTTTCGTTGGGTACAGTGACACCACTTTCCTCCATTATGCGATTACTTCTCGTACGGGCTTGCGCACTTTCTATGGACCGTCCATCTTGACAGACTTCTCCGACTTTCCGACACCCATGCAGTTCACCATCGATCATTTTCTACATGTCTTGACGACGGCGGATCCAATAGGCCCTCTACCTCGCTCGCCTATTTACACTGTAGAGCACTCTGACTTTACTTTTGGCGAAGGCCCCGAGAAACCACGCGAGATTGCCGCATCGCCATCATGGCGCTGGCTTCGCAGTGGTCGTGCCACTGGACAGCTCTACGGGGGTACTATATCCTGTGTTGTAAGACTCCACGGAACAAAGTACGCCCCTGATTCTTGGAAGGGGAAGATCCTATTCCTGGAGACCTCTATGGGCGACGATATAACCCTTCCATATTCTGTTACCGATTTCCGCAGCAACTTGGTTGATCTTGCGTTATCAGGTGCGCTGCACGACATCAGTGGATTAGCCATCGGGAGAGGATACAAGTATGATTCTCAAATGCAGGACGAGATTGCTGGGATTATAGGGGAGATTTTTGATGTCATCGTTCCCCGAAAGCCTGAAGAGCTGCCGATTGTGATGAACGTTGACTTTGGTCATACAAGCCCACTTTTGACTTTACCCATCGGCGCACTCGCTCGAATAGATTCCCATACTGATGAGTTCAGTATTTTGGAGCCAGGAGTGCAGGCTTAGTGGATGAGAGGCTTATCTGTATTTTTTTCGTTTTCTGTTCTAGTGTTGTAACATCCACATGAGTGCACAAGACTTTGCAAATTTTTATTTCGGAACAAGCAACCCAGAGGACCACCTGAGCGAGCGGGCTTCCATTTAGTCGCATTAATACATCTTCTCTTGCCAAATACTAAGCTCTGCTTGAATTGTCGACCTTCAAATACAGCAAAGTAGCATCGAGTACATCGAATCCATAGCTGTCCATCCGAGTGCTTAGCTCTTCGTCTGATTGGCTTGTTGCTGCCCTTCATGGAGGCCTGTGTAATACCCAGCATAGTACCAGGCCATCATGAGCTTCTTCAGACTTTCATCTTGGACTGCAACTTCGTGAGTAAGAGTTGTCCTTGAACCATGGAGTGAATAGGAATATCAGAAACTGACCTTGGGCTAAGACAGCCTCAGGCATCGGCATAGTGGCCACGGGAATCTTTGGGCCTCCAGCTGCAGGTGTTGCTACCTCTGGAGCAGACTGCTGGCTAGCCTCTAATGCAGGCTTGATGACCTATGAAGAGTCAGTGAATGCATAAAAAGCAGAATTGTATCTTTTAGACATACCGGAGCGGTAACATCTGGAGCGGATACATTAGTGCCCTCGGGTTCGTGCTCCATGGCAACATCGTGGACATTCGCTTCCTCTGTATCGACAACGTAGCCTTCCTCTGTAAGGCCCGTTTCTTCAGCCTCTCTCAGGACATCTTCGACATTCTCTCCCTTGGCATGGATACTGTGATAGAGCTGCCATCAATAAGTCAGTGATCACGTGAATATGTAAAAAATGGACATTGAGCGCACCTGGTATTCCTCCACAGCATCGTCCCACGATCTCACCAGGGACGAATCATCCCAGATCTCCTCGTGCGTCAAAGTATTGGACTTCCCCATGGCCGTCCAATCTTCTAAAGAGTGTGGTGAGATAAGGCGGTGATAGGCAATGGGTGGAGTCTCACCGCCTTCCGATCCAAATTAGTGAAAAAAAAGTTTCAGCGCAAAGAAGACGTGCTTGTCTTCAGTATTCAATTCTCACCGAACAAATACCAAAATGGCCCCTGCTAAGAAGGAAATGAAGCGCAAGGGTATGCACATCTTCTGCTATTTGCTCCAATTTTTTTAATTGCTTGCATGTCACTGACAATGGAAACAGCGCCCGCTGTTAGCGACCCGCCCGCCAAAAAAACCAAGAAGGTCCAGGCCAAACCTGTTGAGACCTCCGAGGAGGTCGCTCCCAAGTCGATCCTGAAGAAGAAGGCCGATGCCGCCTCCAAGGCCAAGGAGACCAAGGCCGCCGCACCTGTGAAGGCCAATGGCACCCCTGCTCGCCAGGCTAAGCCTCGCAAGCGCGCCGCCGACTTCATCAGCGATGAGGAGACCGAGGAGCCTGCTGCTCCTTCCCCTGCTGCCCAGAAGAAGGCTAGCAACAAGAAGTCCAAGAAGGAGGAGACCGCCCCAGCACCCGCTGAGAAGAAGGCCAAGGCTACACCGAAGAAGAAGGTAGAGGAGGTCGCAGTCGAGTCCGAGGAGTCTGAGATCGAGCTCAACTCCGCTGAGTCTGATAGCGAGGAGGAAGAAGACGAGGTTCTTGACGACCAGACTGCTGCCCTCATCAAGGGTTTCGAAAGCAGTGACGATGAGGATGACAACGAGGGCGAAAGCCACAACCCCAATAAGCCCATTCCCAAGATCCCGGATATCTCCAAGAACCAGCAGAAGAAGATCATGAGAAGCCAGAAGAAGACCGGCACTCCTGACGAGCCCGGTACTGTCTACGTTGGGTATGTGGTGACCTTCCAGTAATTTCCTTTGACTGATCTTTGCTAACGTTTCACTTTGCAGACGCATTCCTCACGGTTTCTACGAGCACGAAATGCGCGCCTACTTCTCCCAGTTCGGCGAGATCACTCGTCTGCGTCTCTCCCGCAACCGTCTCACCGGCCGGTCAAAGCACTACGCCTTCATTGAATTCGCCTCTGCCACTGTCGCTAAGATTGTCGCCGAGACCATGGACAACTACCTGATGTACAGCCATATTCTCAAGTGCAAATTTGTTCCCCAGGATCAGCTCCACCCCGAGGTCTGGAAGGGTGCCAACCGCCGCTTCAAGAAGACCCCATGGAACCGCATTGAGAAGAAGCGTCTGGAGAAGGGCAAGACCCGTGAGCAGTGGACCAAGCGTATTGAGCAGGAGCAGAAGAGGAGACAGGCCAAGATTGACCAGCTCAAGGCTCTGGGCTACGAGATTGACCTCCCTCAACTCAAGAGCGTGGATGATGTGCCTATTCAAGAGGCTCCCAAGGCTATTGAGGCTACTGAGGCTACCGAGGCCGTTGAGGCCGTTGAGGCCCCCGCTGAGGAGCCTGTGAAGGCCGTTGAGGCCCCCGTTGTCAAGGAAGATACCCCTAAGAAGGCCAAGAAGGCCAAGAAGGTCGAGGAGGAGACTCCTAAGCAGAAGGCCACAACAGAGTCCCCTGCGACCAAGAAAAAGGCCAAGAAGACCAAGGCCAAGGCGTAAAAATGGTGTACAAAATCGATTAGGTGTATTGTTTATTTCCCATAGCCTTTACGTGCATGTTATATGTTTCTATCTGTTTCAATCTATTCGAATAGATCTATTTGACAAAAATTTCTTTGCAACGAATAAAACGTTGATTAACGCAACCTTAGACCGCTCCGTCAGTAATGAACATAGAAATACCGGGACATTTGTTCTGATAATCCAATTTCAATCCAATTTCCATCTCCCTAATCGCTTAACAGTCCTGAAAGCTCAAATGGATTTCTCAATGACGCTAGTCCATATCCAACCTAGCCCCATCACATGATCTCCACTTGGTAAAGAAAACGCCGCAAATTTTCTTCCTATTCCTTTTTCCTTTCCAACTCCTCGCTCAAAGAATCGCATTCAAAGCTCACACACAAGAATTTATTTCTTCCTCCTCGCTTTGGGAGAAAGTCCCCGGACACCCTGCGCTTTGGTTCTCCAAAGTTACGTCAGGCAATGCGGAAACGCGCCGCCATAGAAGCAATTCGATAGCGGCTTACTGCCCTACTCCCTCCTAGCTCTGCTCGCCATCCAACGGTTCGCCGGATACAATGGGGTGGTGTCTTGGTTAGAGAGGGGAAGGGGAGGCTTCGGTCTTCTCTTGTTTTGGGTTGCTTTTCGTCGTGTTTGGATAGTCATGCGATTGCTCTTCATTCTCTTCGGAGATGGGGTAACTCAATGGGGCTCATTCTTGAGGCGAGGAGTTCCATGTTTTTCGAGTCTGTAGCTTATGGCAAAGCGGTGATGGAGTGAAATATCTCTTGACACAGATGCCCTGTCGAAGGGGCCGGACTTTAAACTTCTTTGCCTCGGTTTGAGCTTCGCATGTTCGCGTGATGATATAACAATCATAGAGTCAAGCACTGATACCCAAAGGGTCGATGCTGATAAACGATTTAAAATTATCTGATGAACATTAAATACAATTTTTTTTATTTACAAATTTATTCAAGAATTCTCCAAGAATTATTTTCGGACAGACCTTATAGCTAAGCCCTTGTACTGAGTAATCAATGGCTATTACTATTTTGATTGAATGCAATGGCTATGCTATAATCATTACATCGTGGAACCCCACGCTCCTTCAGTATAATACACCGGAACCTAGTGAAGTCCTTGGACATGACCGTCTCTCATTTATTGTGTCTTCTTGGCTTCGTTGGCAACCTGCTTCTGACCAATAACCCGCACCAACACCGCACCCAAAATCTCGGCGATGGCAGCAACGGCGCTCGCACACACCGTGTTCCAAACGTTAACACTCACGGAACCGAGCGGTGCCCTCGGGAACGAAAGGATCCATTCCACGTAGTACGGGAACCAGCCCTCCGGCAGGGCAAAGACGGGTGTCTTAGAGTACCAGAATTGTAGGAACATCTTGAGTCCGTTGGTGCTGATCCAGCGCGCGATCTTAACGGCCCAATCGAAAGAGCTCTTCTGTGTCGAGATGGTCTGATCTGTAAGGGGAAGTATTAGACGACTGGTCAATATGTGTGCCAATAGAACACGTACTCATTGCCTCGAATTCCTCAAGAACCTTGTCATGACGTCTGCGTAGCTTGGCCCATTTCGCGAACTCATCTTGGGAGCTCGTGCTATTCATCTCGCGCTTCAGCTTCATAACTTCGCCCTTCAATCGTTGCTGTTCGCGGGCATTGCGGGAGGTGGAGGTGGGCACTTTCAGGTAGAGTTGCCATAGCTGTGTGAAGATAGGTGGTTAGTCTCAGCGCGGGTGACATGGAGCATTTTCTGAGAGGTGTAATTCAGAATGCTGGTCATGAGAAGACGTACCAGGAGGTCGACTGTAGATGCGCCGATTGTATTGATTAGGTAGATGGCGATGTGCACGAATAGGATCAAGAGCACGAGTGACAGCATGATGGCGGGGGTTGGCCAGTCGGCCAGGTAGGATGTTCGTGAACGCGTACAGCTCAAGGAGAAGCCAAGAGCAAAGAGGAGCGAAAGACCAGATCCGTAGGTTGATTTCCGAGAGGCTGTGGGATCGCGGGACTTGATGCAAGTCGCACAAAATGACGTCCGGGCGATGCGTGTGGAATGCAAGGCGAGTCTCTCCGCCTTTGTCATGCGGGCCTTTTAGCAACAACTACACAACAGCTTTGTTTCAATTCATCAGATCAGTTCTGCCGAATTCGCTGGTCTAGAAATTGGCGCTTCGAATTTATTCATGAATCTCCATGACTACTCCTGAGAATGCATACCAGGAAATTGCGCGAGTCTTCTCTGCCAGAGGCAACCAGGTCCTGGAGATTGAGATGATCTCTTCGGCTCTAGGGACCCCCTTTTTGCAAGATGGACTGTTCATTGGAATTACAAAGAAAATGCTAGTACATGCATATACAATCGCGCGAAAGTTGTTTTTCCAGCGCCTAATGTCAAGGTCTGGAGATGACTTCCATGTGGACTACGAAACAAAAGACTCCTGTGGGGTATCAGATCGAGTGATCACAGAAATCATGCTGCTCTTTGACTGTGAGCACTTGACAGCATGTAACTGGCGCAAACGTCGGCTGCTGGCAGCTACTATACAGTGCGTTAAGGATAAAGATCAGATTGCCTCAACGAGGCAGGCGTTGGAGGAAGAACTGACGCTCTTGACGACCTATCAATGCTCACCATTACACCGACATACAAAATCCCCGAATTTATGGTCCCATCGATTGTGGGTTTTGAGACAGTTGTTTCAGATTCAGCCTTGGGGTACAGAGGCGCTGTTGAACCTGGAGCGTGCGGAGCTTGATGGAGTTCTCCGCGCTGCTGAGTTACATCCTAAGAACTACTATGCCTTCGGCTATATGCGGCAGCTTCATGCTCTTCTTGCAGATACTGCAGAAACTGCAGACCGCGCAAGTTGGTCTGTTCAACTGGCTAGGCCCTTATTGGACCCGGTTCTTGACTGGTGTCTTGCTCATCCGCGGGACATATCGGCCTGGGTCTTTGGGAAGGATTTGCTGGGTTGTGTTCCAGAACAACAGATTCGGACGGACACTGTTGGGCGGGTTGTTTGTTTTGCGCGGGACATTGGCTGGGAAGGCGAGAGTTTGTGGACTTTCGTTGACCAGTCCATTCGCCAGTTTGACCTGGAATGTGTACTCGATGAGATTCTCCCATCTGATACGCCGAATGTGGAACAACACATGCCGCCCAAATGGACATGGCTGGGCCGGCTGACCAGGGCACAAGCATATTGGACCAAGTATCGGAATACAACGGTAGACAAATGACATGCGACAGACAAATCGCAGATGCCAGTTCAGAAGGACAAAGGAAATGCGCTCATGTCTCATGTATATAGTTCTCGCTCTGATTTACAGTGTATGATGAACGCCTCGCTAGTCGCTGGCAGGGAAGTCACAAAGCAGATGATATATATCCTCCATCAAGGTCCCCCCAGGATCCATTCATGCCGAGCCCAACTCAATATTCACATGGTCACTGGAGGTTGTCGCCAGTGGAGGGAGGTTGATCGCTGAAACGTTCGTAGAGGACGGAGGTATATCTAGAGGTCTTGTCATTTCTTCCCTCCTGCCGCCTCTGCAGCCCTTTTCTCATCGGCTGTTCCAAAAATTAGGAATCGTCGGGTCGCAAAGTTCAGGGTGGCACAGAACGTACCTTTGCGCTGCTTCTCCCGCATAATGGAGGCAGCATCCTCCTTGGACTTCTGGAATTGGGAACCAGTCTGGGTGTTCTTTCCTTTCTGTTTGGGGTCAGCCACTAAGCATGGAGCGTGGGGGAGGGGTAGAAACGTACTGTCGCATTGGCCTTCTTCTGGGCCTTGGCCCGATCGTTATCGCGCTGATTTCCACGGGTCATGATGTATAAAAATTGGACTATAAGATCGCTATATGCAGAGCGCAACGCCGGCTGTAATGTGACTGGGGTGGGTAAAGTGGACAAAGAGAAAGGGAGGGGCGTGTTTTTTTTCTCGGCGTTAAGGCAAAATCCAGACTGGGAATGGTTCGGACGAATCAGGTGAGCCATGGAACTCTTTTTTTTTCCTATACTTAACGACAACTTTCTATTGACGGCTAAATTATGTTCAGTGATATGTATAGGTGTCAAGAAAATCAGGATGATAAAACTCATGCTAAAATAAATAGAAAAGCAAATGCGATCCTGCAGAACACCTCCTGGCGCTTGGAGAGCCCCCCCAATGATTGGGCGCGTAAATAGTATCGTTTCAAGCATGCCAAATGGGCTGGAATAGAACGTATACTTATAACGGTAGAACTTTTTATAATATCGAGTTTTGATGTAGTGTACTTATAGGTACGTACTCATCGTGGTTATAGTGAATGTTAGGACGGACTGGAGTACAAGCCCTACTGTTCTACACGAGTATTCACTTCCACTTCTACATAGGCGCCCATCTATGGAACCTGTTTCACCATAGAAACATATAGGAAGCTCTCAGCCAATCCACCCCCGATCCATCTCACTAGTCCAGAATGGAATTGAGCCGCCATCGGGCATCTGCCCCCGATCTCTGCGCTTAAATATGGCAAACCAATCAGAAGGGCGGAGACAAAAGTAGGGATGAAACAACGATTGTGTGACAAAGACCCTGGATAGAAAGCCTCAAAATAGTCAGTCTTTGAGATATGATTCACTTTGTGTTTTACTTTCTAATCATAGGTTCCGGGATCTGAAAACAAGGCGGCTGGGTGAATGCAGAAGTAGATATTCTAGCCTTCTCCCCCTTCCCTATTCAATGATTCTTCTTTGTCTCTTTCTCCATATATTTCGAGTTGTTCTCTCCTTGTTTCCTTTGTTAAGTCCTGCTGGCCAGTTGCTTCCTTCCCGTTCTTTTTAATCTCTCCACACCCATTTCAACGGTTCTAACATTGCACATCCCCTCATTTACACCGATACATTTCGAGGATCCGGTTATCCTCTGTCTAAAATCCAACAGGATATCAGTCGCACCATTATGATGGGTAAACTTCGGGAGTCTCTGGCTGGTCCAGGGTATATCATCCTCAACGTTGTTCGCGCTTTCAATATCATCGTTTTCCTCGACATAATAGCTGCCTGTGTCGTCATGCTCGTGAAGACCAAAACAACGAATGGCTTTTTCTTTTTCCAAGCGGTTACACATGCAGTGGTGGCACTCATCAGCAGTAAGTTATTGACCGTTCTCGTCTAAGTCTACAATAGATTATATGGGTATGTACTAACTAACTCAGTTTTCCTAATCATCTCCGAGCTTCCTCTCCTTCAGAGCTACTTCAATCGCTCGTGGCCTCTTTTCGGCGAGGATGCCGGGTTCTTTACCCTGGCAGCAATCATGATGATCCTCGGAGTCGCAACACTGGGCAATTTGAACATAGCGGCCATGAGTCAAAAGTCTCTGGGGCTATCATTCTGGCGAATTGTGATCTCGGCCGGCGTCCTAGCCATGGTAATGAGTGTGATCAACCTCCTGACGGTAAGTTCTGGCTTTTTGTCACTTCTCTTTTCCTCTCTGTTTTCATAAGCAAGAAACTAATGTCTGTCCGATCTAAAGACGTTCATCTTCACCGATCGTCAAGCAGGCGTCAGCGCACGTCATATTCGGGCATATGGTGCAGTGGCTCCGCAAAAGGTGGTGAGTCGAACCAGCAGCCGCCGCTCATTTCAGCTCAGTCTGAAGCGTGAAGACTCCCTCCCAACCTACACCCGCGAACGCGAACCAGCCTTGAAACGAGCCTCGAGACGATTCACTCAGGCGGCGGGCCGATTCCCTTTGAAGATTTCATCCCCTCTGGGCAATTCCAACAACTTGAATGCTCCCCCTGTCAATGACGCCGCTTCGTCCAAGTATTCGCGGGATTCACATGAGGTTCGGATGCCTGAGGTTCAGATGCCTGATCCTGCGCATCACCCGGCTATGTATTCGGGGCATGTTTAGGGGTTGCTTTTGAGAATTTGTTTGGGACTGCAATGGGAGCGATGGCGTTTTTCAGGGGTTATTCTGGGAGTATTGGGACTTTAATTTTCATCCAATTTCTTGTATTGATAAGTCGATGCTGCTGTTTTCGAATCCAGGTGCATATTCAAATTGTGCTAGCAATGAAAAGGGGTTATCTACGGTTTTATAGCTCTAGGTAGACTTGTGTCACTGATCAGGCGGTGTCGCACTGACCGTGTCAACACAAAGCTCTGTGTGGCCCGCACTTCATAATGGAGACAAAGCGCTACAATGGCGCAGTCTATGCCAATCACACAAATCACGTAAAAAATCCAAAAGAGTGGGACCGACGGTAGCCCGGTAGCCGGAGACTTACATTCGATATTACGGCGGACGTGGCTCGAGCCATCTCGTGGCGGGTCAAGGGTCATGTTGAGTGGATCTACATAGGAGTTTCAGTGCGGGGGTCAAGGGTTTCGAACTAAGATTTAAAACCTAGAAGCAGTGCAGATACATTTTTTGATCCTTACTGATCATCCTCAACTCATTATCCCACCATTTTGAGGCGGTGTGGAGTGTCGATCATCATATCCTTGGACTTGAAACGAGCTCACCGATTCCTTTCCCCTCCTCAATTCTCTCGATTTCACGGGATTCTGGTAATTCCTTTGCTGTTGATACCTTCGTTGGTCACATTTGGCGACAAAAAAGGCAAAAGAGAGAGAAAAGGAATAGGAATAGGAACATCCATCTCGACAGTCCTATTTTTGTCCTTTAACCAGTGACGCGGCGGATCCGCCCATGAGGCCTCGAGACCCATCGTACCCATTCCGCCTCCTCAGATTAATTAGTGGCGACCACTCGTTTCTTCGCTATTTCATCTGCCGAAATCCCCCAGCCTTTCTGGTTGTTCGCCCTCCGCCATGACCAAAGAAATGGCTATACCGCAATCAGAGCTCAATGTCTACGTTTCGAGCAGAAATGGCCCTCGAGCCAAGGAGACCACGTTCCGGGAGTGGGTGGTCAACAACCAAATCGGTATGAAAGTCAACATCCTCCCCAATGAAGTGATTATAACCACCCCGCCATGATTTGGGCGCATTTCGAAGCTGGAGAATTGCTCCCTCATTCTCTTCACAATTCCATACCTGCATGTGCATACTAGCTCCGGCATGGCCGGAATCAAATATTTCCTAGCTGACACTTGGCTTTTTGGGCACAATAGGCATCTCGATGACCATCCTGGCTATGTTGCTGGCTCTTCATAACCTTTACCCGTCACTCCGTCCGTACACACAACCGTTCTTCCAATTGTCCTACTACAATCAGTCCGGAGATTACTACGTCCAAGGCTGGGATGATGTCTACTTCGTCATTAGCGCTGCGCTCGCCCTCACTGCGGTGCGCGCGTTCGCGATTGAATGGGTTCTACAACCGCTGGCCCGCAGGGCAGGCCTGAAGCGGAAGGGCTCAATTCGGCTTGCCGAACAGGGATGGCAGGCGATGTATTACGGTGCCATCTGGGCTGTTGGATTGGTAAGTACTCGTCTCTCGGGGAGAATGAGCGGTGGATTGACAATCGTGCTTTACAGTACCTGTGGAAGAACTCCTACTACTGGCGCGATTTTGGGGCCATCTGGACGGAGTGGCCTGCTCGCCCGTTGTCGGGTTTGATGAAGTGGTACCTGCTCGTGGAACTGGCTTTCTTGGTGCAACAGATCTTCGTCATTCACGTGGAGGAGCGCCGCAAAGATCACTACCAAATGTTGTCGCACCACATCATTACCAGCACTCTCTTGAGCTCTGCGTATATCTACGGATTCTACAATGTGTCCAACGTGGTGCTGTGCTTGATGGATGTCGTGGATTTCCTTCTTCCCGTATGTATAACCGATTTCCTCGGGGTTCGAATCCAATACTAACGGTTGTAACAGTCAGCGAAGATCCTGAAGTACTTGAAGTTTGAGAATGCCTGCAATGTGGCGTTCGGCGTTTTCATGTCTGTCTGGTTCGTCACCCGACACGTCTTGTACAACATGCTCTGGTGGTCCATTTACAAGAACGTGCCCGCTCAAATGTCATACGGATGCTACTCGGGCGTTAATGCTGAGATGATCAGCGAAAACGGGTATCCCAATGCCTTTACATACTTGTTCGCGCCTTTCCGCAGCCTGGAAAATCCTATCTGCATGAACCGCACCATCAAGTGGATTTTCCTCTCATTCCTCCTGTCTCTGCAGGGTCTCTCCATCGTATGGTTTACCATGATCGTTCGAGTCGCCTATGGCGTCGTTGTCACTGGTAATGCAGAGGATACCCGCAGCGACGAGGAAGACGAGGTCGAAATCGAGGGCCAAGCTCTCCCGAACGGATCTGTGCGGCTGGCCGCTCAGGATGGTGCTAACGCCGCCTCCGTTGCCAATGACAGTGCCCCGGGCTTGGACCGCCGCCGGTCCAATGGCACTGCCTCAGTGCGTGCTCGCGGTCGTGGCCGTGTGCCTTTTGATCAGAGTGACCGGAAAGCTCTATTGGGTCGCATTGGATGCGAGAAGCCTACATAGGGTCCTGTCATGGTCTGTTTCTTTTCCTTTTTCTCACTTGTTCTGGTCCAATTTGATGAATCCAACTGGAGACCTTTATTTACCAGTGCATGCCGTTACGTCTGTCTATCTTAGTATTTACTTGCTCTGTGTCTCTTGCAGCTAGAGCGGGCTCGGAGCAGTATAGTGCTAAGGTCACGATTTGTTTTACTCAAAAGATCGGGATGCGGTTTCGTCCCTCCTTACCAGGTCAATTATATCCCTGAGTTGTTCTGAATTTTCTCTTTTCTCATCACGTTGTTCTGACCTGCTGGAGGTCTCTCGGTTGTCTCTACTGTTCGTTCAAATGTGATTATAGATCCAGTTACCAATACCCAATGGATGCATTTGACTTTTTCAACTTACAAACCTCATGCAGAATTCTCAATCTTGGTTGTCACCAACTGCGAGGTCTAACATGATGACACTTTTTAATGAATTCAGGGCATATCTCTACTCGTCTCAACTGGGTGAAGAGAACAAAGGGAATACTAATCAAGACAGAAAGACAGATCACATGAATTTTCTATTTATGCCCGCACAAATATCAACTCCATTCGACGCCTAGTATTTAGGGGATGCAGACACCGGCGTTCCACTCAGTGGCGCCAACACATTGCCAGCCATCGCAGCAAGCGACGCCACCGTTCTCGCAGGCAACCTTGTAGTCTATAAGGATGATTAGCTATGCTCCCAATCAGTTGACTTCTAGATTGAACTTACTGCCGACACAGGTGCGCTTCTCGAAAGCATCAGGGTAGGGAGAGGCAGCGGCAACAGCGGCCAGGGTAGCAATGATGATGGTGGTGAACTGCATTTTGATTGATTGGATTGGTTGATCGGGGATCGGTTGATTGAGTGGGTTGATTGAGTAGAGTAGACTGGATTGTTTGAGTTGACTGTGTTGATGATGTTCAAGTTATCGAGGATACCTTAAGCTATTTAACTCAATGCCAAGCTGTTATTGAGGCCATTGAGGATTTCCAAGTTTAGTATCTCTACTTCGTAAGCGTATAGATTTTATGGTCAGATCGGTGGCGTTGTGGGCTTGCTTACGCTTTTGCCTCCTTATCCTGAAACAAATACCTCTTTAGAACGCTTGTGGCCTTGGCTATAATCCTGGCCTTGGCGAACTAGTTCAGAAATGGCTATTATTGCTAATCATGGATTTATTCTTGTACCCTGAAGGGTTTCGAATACTACGTATCCGCATTTGAAGCGGATTAGGAATTACTACTCAATGATACTAAATCATACGGTCAACAAGTACGGTAATCGAAGGTATGCTAGAAGTAGAAGATCGGAAGAAGTAGGTATATGATGTAGGAACCAATGAGCATTAAAGAAGAAATCAAGTAATACAAGCTTGAGCCCCCTAATCTTATGCTGATAGAAAACTTGAGAAAATGAGGAATAAGTGTGAATGGCTTCAAGATACCTCCTTCATAGCGCACTTCCGCTTCTTCTCTATTCCCAACGTTACGCTAGCGTGAAAATGATTGATGTTCTTGAATTATAATTGAAAACAAGAAAAGACAAGATTCAAAGCTTTCTTGTCCCCAGTGTACTAGATGCTCACCCACCCATTTGTTGACCGATCGCTGATATCTGGGGCCAGAAACCGTCACTAGACACCACCCAAGTACCAAGCGTTCTTGGGGTTATTAGCCAATAAGGTTAGCTAGGTCATGCGGACGTTGATAATAAATGTTGCCTTTCATTTTCTCGAGTACAAGAATACGCTACTTTTCGGACTAACACCCTCTGATATCTCAAATACAAAATTTTCTTTGTAGAACTGGAGTCGGCGATTATTTCCAAAACCCACAGTGAACAATTTACAGCCTCAGGTCCAGAGGTCATGCTCGTTATATTGACAGGCTACCTGGATAGGTCGACGAAGTCTACATCAATACATTCTGGTAATAAAGTAGCATGTACCTAGACATTAAATTGTATTCCAGGCTCCTAATTTCGAGTTTTTACAACACAGAGGCAGGTCTCCAGCAGGATTTGACATTCTCATCCACCCGGCTCCAGCTTTCTCGAATCAATGCATTCACATTGACCTGTCCCAAAAATTCATCACTCAGCGCATTGCAAGTAATCCTTGCCATCTTCCCATCTAACATATCGTAAACAGCCCACACCTTGACTCGAATCACGTCTCCGGGTTTCACCTTGTGGCTATGCACTGCCTGATCGGTGGTTCGCGTGTAGAGGAAATATGCTTCCATGCTCAAGAAGACTCGTGCACCATCAATCATCACGAACATTGGGACGACGGTTTCCTGCGCGTCGGCGTGTACTTTGGCGTAATGGTTCATGATTCCGGCTGAGCCAATTAGAGTTCCGATCTCGGGGTCGGGAATGACGAGAGTGACATTCTTGTGGTAGAAGCTGTGTTGGAGCTTATAGTCCTTTGCGTTGAAGGCTTCAATGTACCTGAGGAACTGTTTCAGAGACATTGAAGCTGATATTGGTTCGGACATAAAAGTTTCGGGCTGCGAGAAGATATTGCTTCTTCAGTGCTGAGAATGTAACCGGTGGAGATATAAATATTGTCTAAAAGCTGTCATTTATAGATGATATTCATGTGGAGACGGTTTTGTTCCGAGTATTTGTAGAGTTGTATACATATGCATACTGAGCTGACGTAGTAATTGTGATCGGATTCAGTCTCCGTTGTCTCCACAACGGGGCTACGCACTTGCTTCGGCTATAGCTTCGTAGTTGTGCCCCGTGTTAGAGGTATTTGACGAATGATTTCACAAATCATAATTTCCATAGATCTCTCAGCCACTAAACATATTCCAAGGGTTCAAGGTTCGCACTGTGGCGCAGTCCAGTTCGGCATTTGCGATCCCCACCTTCCGGCTTTCGGCTCCCCCACATTTTCCCACTTCCCTGCAACCCATCACTCAATGCCTGTATGCTAGCGCCATGAGTTCCCGGTCGATTCAAAAGGAGAGCATGGTATCAGCTAAGCGCTTTATATGCCAACAATGCAGCAAAAGATATACCAAGCTAGAACACCTGACAGTACGTTTAATCGCGGAGCTCCCGAGGAAAGCAACTGACGTATCCCAGAGACATGAAAGAACCCGTGAGACACTATTGATCACCTTTGACTGAATTCTATATTCATTCATCAGCAGATGCAAATTCAAAGCCGTTCCAATGCCACCAATGTGATCGGCGTTTTGGGCGCCAGGATGTCCTCGGAAGGCACATGAGACTACACACAAGCAATGACACTCAGCCTCAACCACCAAGATGGGCAAATGGCGTTGAACATGCAGTCTCACAGCCTCCGCCTTCCAATAGTTCAACCACCAATTGCCCCCCGGTTGACTCTCTAGGGCAACCGAATTTCTCCAACCATGCGTTATTAGACTCAGGGAATCTTCTCGAGTGGTTGATGTCTGACCTCAATGGGGCCCCAATGGTACCACTCCCTTTGGTAGACTTTCCTGGTCCAATAGCAAATGACAGTCTAAGCTTTGCCCCTCCTGGAAACGTGGAGATGCGAGCAAGTGAGGGCCCAGGCAACATGGCAGTGGACCAAATTTACAGAACAATTGACGATCTGTGGAAAAGACTTAATTCAGATGTTCATCGCTCGGGGTTTACCTCCTCCTTTTTGGACTCCTGCCTTCATGAATATTTCAAAAGAATATCTCCCAGCTTTCCTGTTATTCATGAACAGACCTTCCAAGCGCAAAAGACCATCCCGCCTCTGTTACTGAACATGGTGGCTCTGGGATCTCTCTTTGTGTGTGAAAAAGATGCCGTTGAGAAGGGCGAAATGCTTTGGCGGCTAGGCCACACAGCGGTTGCCACGAGTTGGCAAACTTTGATTGAAATACGAGGACCATGGGATAGCTGCGATGGCGTCCAGCTGGTTCTGACTGCTCTTATTGGGCAAGCATATGCATTGCTATCAAGCAACACTAGCATTCGAACAACGGCATCAGTATTTCACGGATTGGGGTTCTATTGGGCTAGAACCTCAGGCATGTACTCCATACCAGATGTTTTATCAGGTCTACCGAGTCTTGATCTACCCGAGGCAGATAGAAACACCCTCTGGAAAACTTGGGCTGCCACCGAAGTTCAACGGAGAGCGATCTTGGGTCACTATGTTCTCGATGGCCTAATATCACAAGCATCTGGCTCACCAGCTAGCGCGAGACATCTCATTAACAGTCTCAGTACGGCTTGTTCGGATGCTGCTTTTGCTGCGAAGACTGCCGACGAATGGATACTGGAGATTACACGTCCAAATCAATCGCAGATCCCGGTATGTGAGGCTTTCACGCAGATATTTTCGCCAAATTACAGCGAAAGTCCCCTACAATTATCAAATTTGTCTACATTCGTCATGATCGAAGGGTTACAATCGCTGATCGCTGACCTGCACGAAATTCGGGGTCCTGTGTTTGGCACTGTCTCGAAGAGCCAGATTGTCCAAGCGATGCTGAATATACACCAGGGAAACATTGTGCCAGAAACTGAATCAGATTCCCATCGTCTTCCTATCCTCATAAGGTGGCACTGTGTTTTTATTGAGACCACTGCTCCTTCAATCGCAATTTATCGATGGCTGTGTGATCACTATGAACTTCCACAAGTCCTTGGTGGAATACATGCTAAGAGCCAGCTTGGGAATCTCAACCTTATTCAATGGGTTGGGCAAGCAGATGCGTTCCGTGCTATTCTACATGCGAGCTCTATCACGCGTCTTCTTGATACCTTGCCTCTTAGTCAGGTCTACAGGGCGATGCATATTCCTACTGCAGTCTTTACCTCTGCAATGATCATTGCTACGATGTGTCTTTTTAATGGACCTGTGATTAAGATCCCGGAACGATATACCTGGTTCGACGTTTGGAAGGGTCACCTTTCTGCGAATACTGATCAAGAATCCTTGAACCCGTCGGGACCAGAAGATGTTTTACGAGATCTGGGGGTTTCAGGTCAGGGTGATATGACGGTCTTAAATCTCCTCGACGAACTCAATTCCTTACAAGTCATCCTGAAAACCGTCGCTTCAAGGTGGGGTGTCTCCGCCCAGATGGGCGATATCATCGGAAGATTAGCAGTCGTTGCGCGTGAAAGCCGCCATTCAATTCGATAGTCCAATACTATCACAGTTTAATCTTTCTTCGAGTGTTTATTATACATCTCAGGTAGAATAGTGGCCAAGATAGCCATTTCCTCAGTGGCATGCTGCAAAAGCCCTATACCAAATTCCAAAGGCACGGCCGCCTTCCTCGCTTCAGGATCGGTTATTCCATCGACGTCTCCCATCCAGAACCGGGACCGCATCCTTACTCCATCGGGCTCAATTTTAATCAAATGAATCAAATGCCCGACATAAACCACTTCGTTCTTTTCGTCATCCCATTGTCCTGTTCTTCCACATATAGCGGTGGAGTATCCAGCGTCCTTGAATGCAGTCTCCCATCCGGGACCGAAATATTCACTCGGATCCTTGAAAGAGATCTTCAGTTTCTGTAGCTGGCCACCAATATACTCGTGCACCAAGTGATGACCCCCAATATAGGTACTGTTGTTGTCCCGTGGCCCTTCCCAGTCGGAAAACACATGATCTCGGGGGTGCCAGAGGAGGTATTGGTCTGTTGTGTGGATCCAACCAAACCACCAATCTATCATTTCGCCTGTGCAGTCTTTCATGTAGGTTGAGGCCGCAATGTGAAGCATTCCGTCTTCGGTGTGTGCGACTCCTGCTTCCATTGGGAGGTAGGGATGTTCGAGGAGGAGCTTGGCATCTTTCACGGCGAGGCCTTGTGAAGGAGTGGTTGAGGTCATGGTGGCCTTGAGGGCTTGGGGAGTCCTCAAAATGGTAATTGGCGTATTTGGAGAAGTGTTTCTGGGGAGATTAGTGTATACATATAGCATGAGTGTTCATGTGGGGAAGATGGGGAAATATGGAGAAGCGGGGTATGACTACGTGGTCTTCGGATATATCTGTGGAGAACTATTGACAATCGGCAACCTTTTGGAAGGCCTATATCACTTGTAGAACCAACTATTACTGAGATTCGTTCATGGACCCACTGGCGAGGGCTAAGCATTGACCCGGGGAACGGCAAAGGGAATCTTGCCAATATGAACTTTCAAGGTTCCTGTTTGTTCTTCTAGAATACTGAGGGGCCCAAGACTGGGAAAGAGCGGCGTGGGCTCTACTAGTGATTGAGGTCCGATATAAAACGAAGCATAAGTCATCACTTTTTGTCTACATGCGCCAATAGCTAGACGGAGTTTATGGCCTAAATTTAGCATTTGTCATGGCAACCTTCTAACTATACTCTGACTTCTTAAGACTCGAACTTAGAAGTATGTATGGAACCTGTGTTTTATTTACTATCGTTCCTAGTTCCACTCAAGATGCTCCTTCAGAGCCTGCACCAAATCGCCTGATCCAGCCTGTCTTGAAATACAAGACAAGATGTGTTGATCTGGGCGAATGAGGATACCCTGCTCCTTTACTCCCATCAAATTTATCCAGCTTTGATTCTCTGGCCCCGCCTGTAAATCAAAATCAATACCTAATACAACCACCTGCAGAGGCAAGACCCTTTGAATGTCTTCGGGCAAAGACGCAAATGCTTCAGCCACCATCGACTTGAAATGAGACGCATTGCTTTCGTCAACAATCAAAGTGAATTTATCGAGGCGGCACAAATCCAGAGTCGAGTACTGCTTCGCGGAGATTTCGTCTTTTGTAAATTCGTGCACATAGCTGTTGTCTATCGCAGGGAGTTCCAGCTGTCCTGGAGTAACCTTGATCCATGCATGTGGAAGTCGGGCCCCGGGCACACACGAAGGATGGAAGACAGACACGTTGGGAGGGATCTCTTTATCGCCATACACGTATCCAATGTGCAGTCCAAGGTTATCGAAATGTTCCCGTTGACCTTCGATTCCTTTGTTGATCTCGACCATGGCTTCTGGATCTTGAATATTGTGGTAAAGGTTTTGTCGGGCGATGCTCACGTCGGGATCAGTCGTGCCTAGTGCCTTTAGGAGACCAAAGATCTGTTTACCATTTTTGACGCTCTGGTCGGAGTTGACTAGAGCCACTTGTCGGCGATCGGATTCATAGGTATCGAGGAGACTATCACCACCCCAACCATGGTGGACTGCAGCGAGCTTGTATGCCAGATTATGAACATCGCCTAGGCCAGAGTTCAGGCCAAGGCCGCCGGTAGGAGGAAATGAATGAGCAGCATCGCCAGCACTTCATATGAATTAACGTCAGTTATTGTATAGAATTGAGTCCCAGTTCTTGAATAGACTCACAGGAAGACTTGGCCCATGCGGTATGAGTGAGCTACTTTTCGGCTAAGAACCCATGGCCGGTAGCTGAGGATGTCATAGGGCACTTTGATTCCAATGGCCGCATCAACGATCTCGCGACAGTGCTTTTCGTCCCAGGACTCCACAGGGCATTTCTCAGGCTGCCCATAATTGTTAGTAGGTATTCGCTTTATCGGATATTTTGCACTCACGTCAAAGTTGCAAATCAGCACTTGGTTCCCAGACAGATCATATCCAATAATAAATCCAGAGACCAACGGGTCCATGACCCAGTGCAGCATGCCCACTCGTTCCTTGATCACAGGATTCAAGTCGGCATTCAAATGGATTGTCATCATGGTTTCACCTATGATAAACTCTGTCAGTATGGAAAAGTCTAGGGGATTAAAGTCTACTAACAAGTCTCTTCTCCATCACTTTCTATGCCAAGATGCTTTCGAACAGCGCTTCTGGCGCCATCACACCCAACAACATGTCGGGACTTAATGCTGTATTCTTTCTGAGAGGCGCGATCTTCGATTCTGGTCAAGACGAATCCATCTCCCTACTTATGAATGAGGATCGGAACTTCAAACATTCGAAAAGATGGTACTGACCTGCTCTAGGCTCACGAATGAGTGATTCTTACGAATTTCAACGAGATTGATTTTCGACAATCTTTTGGCGATAAAATCCTCAAACGCAGGCTGAGGAATATTGTGAATCATCTGGCAAAGGAATCAGCGTGATATTCAACCAAGGGTAAAGGATGTCTAACAGTTGGAGTGTCGTTAAGAACCTCCTGGTCCATGCGCTCGTAGGGCAAACGACCAACTTGCTTACCAGCCAAACTTGTAACAAAGTTGACCCAGAAAGCATCTTGACGAGGGCTACCGATTTTGCGAATCTCATTCACGTCCAACCCCGCTTGGCGGCAGAATTCGAGAGATCTGGGCGACAGCGCATGTGTCTTGGGAGCTGCCAGCCTGGTTGGGTATCGCTCAACGACCAACGATCGGACTAGATTCTGTTAGTGAGTTCGTTACAGAAGAATCTCTGGTGTATTACCGTTCAGTCTAGCGAGCAAAAAAGCCAAAAGTAGACCTGATGGCCCTCCTCCAACAATCAGGACTGGCACTTCCTCATCTGAGGATGAACTTTGGAAATGCGGTGACATTTGGCTTGTTTTCTAGATTACGAAATCTATACGAAGGAGGGTTCAAAGCGTAAGAAATAGCGTGCTTCATAAGTGCTTGCGGACTTTTGTAAGGCTATGTGACTATGCATGATTCCCCACATGGAAAGTGGGAAAGAGCGGGGAGGTGGGAAATCCACGGAGAATGGGGATAACTCCGTGGATCAAGGCCGATGACGCTGTATTTTATTGGTCTTTGGATCTCTATCAAACCAAGGATGTAATGCAATCATAGGAAGTGTTCTCTTTACGCCTTTAATGCCGGTCTTCAGCCCCTGATGCCCTTTCAGCAAGTGTCGTGCAACAGAAGGGCTAGGATGTGCATCGAGAAGAGTCTCATTAGGCCGTGAGATGATTGAGGGACCCTTGAAGACCTTTCAAGCCTCGTCTGTTCCTGTATCGATTTATGGACCCAGAATTGTAGGGTTGGTGGAATCAATGCTATCGCGCATTGGCGTGATCTTCATCCGTCGGTATCCCGCAACTTCGCTAGAGCGGCCATGATACCGTCACTCAATTCCTCGGTTGGTTTGTTTGGCTTTGGCGGGCTCTGATTCGCTGCTGCCTCTACTGCTGCTGTCTCGCGGCTCTCTGCCAACACGGCTCGTAGAATTTCCTCATCTTCATCGATTTCGGCCCGTCGAGGCCGACTTGTAAGCCTTGGTGGTTGGGTTTGTGTCGCAGGCCGAGGAACCCCGGCCTTTTTCGTCGATTCTACCCTAAAGTCTTCCCTGACAGCATTGCACCATTGCTGGACTTTTTTCTCACCCCAGCCAGGGACAGAATTGATCTGTTCTGGTTGGGCGTTGACGGCATTCTGCAAGCTCCCAAACGTAGATATCAAACTTGCAGCGTCTGACTTGTTGATACTGCGTGGGGTTGTAACAAACTCCACTAAGGACTCTTTGTATGACTGCGCTTGCTGGGTACGAATCGCAGTGGGTTGTGCATTTTCAGATGACTTGAATAGTTCGAGGTAGTGGGCGGCTTCGGGTGCGGACCAGCAAAGGATCAGAGTAAGATTGTTGACTATGGATGTTTTCGAGAGCTCTTTGAGTACCTCCTCATGATTTGGAATGTCGACCATAACCAGCACAATGCGTAGGTTGAATTTGCCAGCGAGGAGTCGGATTCGTGAGTAAACGTACTCGGGGTGTAGCCGGTGGTATTTCAAAGACAGGAACAGGGCACATGTCGTCATGCCAATCACATAGTCAGCAGGAGTCTCGGTATATTCCCAAGGCACAAGCTTGATATGGTTCAAAATAGGATTGCCCTTTTGTCGCGTCGACACGAGAATCGCGGAAGGCCCAGACCGGTTGGGAAGTGCTTGCGGTTTTGGTTGCTGAACTTTGGACTGCCCGGGTGAGGATGAGGTAGGAGGTGGAAGACCGGACGATTGAGCATTGACTGCACTCCCACTGCGGGATTGCGCCCGCGACTCTGCTGCGGACCGAGCATCCATGGTGGAAAGGTGGAAACTGGGATACTTTGGATACGATAAAGGATAACAGCTCCGGCTTATCAGGACCCACTCTCCATACTCACCGCCATGGTTTTTCTGCCGTCAATTTTTGGAAGAAAAAAAAAGGACGAACCAGTCAGTCTTTTGTTATTCTACATACGTTTATCATGGCGGAACCACACAAAAAAAGACGCCTGTCACAGGAGGATCCTGCCAAGGATACTGATGCGAAAATGGATGATGCTACCAAGACCGATGCCACAGATGCCACCGCACCAGTTCAACCGAAGCGAACCCTCTTCGTTCGATCGCTGCCCATCTCGGCAACCTCTGAGAGCCTCGCCGAGTACTTCTCCCAGTCCTATGTGATTAAGCACGCCACTGTTGTCAGCGATCCACAGACAAAGAAGTCAAAGCAATATGGTTTCGTGACGTTCGCCGACCTCGAGGATGCCGAGAGCGCCCTGAAGGAGTTGAATGGATCCACCTTCGACGGCAAGAAGATTCGAGTCGACTACGCCCAGGCCCGTCAACGTGAGATTGACGAGAAGCTTGGCAAGAGTGTTCCCTCCGCTGCTGGCCTCAAATCTAAACAAGACCGAGAAGACCAGAGAACAAATGCGCCTCCGAAATTGATTGTTCGCAACTTGCCTTGGAGCATCAAGGAACCAGCTGATCTGGTCGCCCTTTTCCGCAGTTTCGGATTAGTCAAGTATGCGACTCTCCCTAAGAAGGGAAACACACTTGCAGGTTTTGGTTTCGTGACTATTCGGGGTAAGAAGAATGCCGAGAAGGCGCTTCAGATGGTGAACGGCAAGGAAATTGATGGCCGTACATTGGCCGTCGATTGGGCCGTCGAGAAGGAGGTATGGGATACTCAACAGAAGGAGGAGAAGGATCAGGAAAAGGAGGAGGAGGAAGAGAAGGAGGGAGAGTCTGATGATGTGAAGATGAAGGATGAGGATGCTTCGGAGGAAGTTTCCGAGGACGAAGGATCGGATGAAGATGAGGATGAGGATGGGGATGAAGATGCGGATATGGAAGACTTGGAAGATCTGGATGACGCAAAGGAGGAAGAGGAAGAGGAGGACGACCGCAACAACTCAACCATCTTCCTACGCAATCTTCCCTTCACTTGTGACGATGAAGCACTTTATGAACACTTCAAACAATTCGGACCTTTGCGGTATGCTCGTATCGTGGTAGACCATGAGACTGAGCGACCCCGTGGTACTGGATTCGTGTGCTTCTGGAAGCCTGAAGATGCCATTACCTGTGTACGCGGCGCCCCCAAGAATCTGGGACCGCCTACCACCAAGGAGCGCAACAACCCAGCATTGAAGCATTCCGTCTTGCAGAACGAAAACTCCGATCCCAGTGGAAAGTATACTCTGGATGGCCGCGTGATCCAGGTCGCCCGCGCCGTGAACAAACGGGAAGCTACAAGACTCGAAGAGGAGGGTGTATCACACCGTCTTGTGCGTGATAAGGATAAGAGACGTCTTTACCTTCTGTCGGAGGGTACTATTCCATCCAATTCCCCTGCGTACAAGATGCTTTCTCCTTCTGAAATCAAATTGCGCCAGGAGAGCCACGACCATCGTCAAACCGCCATCAAGAAGAACCCCGCCCTCCACCTCAGTCTTTGCCGTCTTTCCGTTCGCAACATCCCCAAACACATTACCTCGAAGGATCTGAAACAACTCGCTCGTGAGGCCGTCGTTGGCTTCGCTACTGAGGTCAAGCAGGAACGACGACAGCCCCTGTCTAAAGAGGAGGTCCTGCGATCCGCCGACACTATGAAGGAGCTCGAGCAATTGAGAAAGGAAAAGAAGGTGGGTATTGTGCGACAGGCTATGATTGTCTACGAAACCCGCGAGGGAACCAAGGTCCCAGAGAAGGCCGGTGGTGGTCGTAGCCGTGGTTACGGTTTCATCGAGTACTATACTCACCGTCACGCACTTATGGGTCTTCGCTGGCTCAACTGCCACGCCGTTGATATCCCTGCTAGTGCTCAAGCAGAAGGCGAGAAAGAGAAGAAGAAGCGACTGATTGTGGAGTTTGCCATCGAAAACGCACAGGTCATTAGGCGTCGTCAAGAACTGCAAGAGAAGCAGGAGAAGGAGAAGGCAGAGAAGGACAAGGCCAAGGCTAAGGCCGAGGAGGAGAAGGCTGGCCAGAAGAGGAAGCGTGCTGCTGAACGGGAGGCCGCGAAGGAAGCAGAGAACGAGGAGGAGAACAAAGTTGCGAAGCGCAACCGTATCATCGCGAAGAAGCGGATGCAGCGCAGGGGCCGTAAGGGCTAGTGGTTTGACGTTTTTTTTATCTTTTGTATGTACAGAGAGGGCAATGCCCATGTATCCAAGCCTTACAGCTTGACTCTATCCCTTTCTTCATTTAATGTTGGATACCAAACATCTGGAAATAAAAGCATTTGTGATTGTCGACCTGGTTTCCAAATTCGCAATACACTTTGGGTATATTCATATTCCATGTAGCCAAGAAAAGTGAGACTACCATGAGCATAGGCCCAGGCAATGGTATGCCTCTTTCTCCACCTAGGTATTCTTCGCGCCCTCCACCTTTCCAACGATGTTGTACCGCTTGCTGAAGAAGGTAAACCACTCATCCAGCGTAGTTTTGTCCTTGTCCTCCAGGTCATACCATTCCGGCACACAGTCTTCAGGCTTGAGGGAGGAACGCGCGAGAGCGCGAGAGGCATCCTTGCCAGCGAAAACTATCGAACGAGTTTTCCAGGTCAGTAGCTGCTACCTCGGTGTTCAGATACCCCACAGCCGAGGTAATAATTCGTTCGCGAATCTAGGGACTCACCCTTATATTGACCAGTAGATCCGTACGCTGCGTTGCGTGACACATCAAAGACCACTCCCTTGATCGCGACCAGGGTTGGGCGACTGGGATCGGTACCTGCGATGAAGCGTGAGTTCGGAGTTCGCGTGCGCGGAGAGCAAATCGGTAACGCGGGGTTCTCTTACCGTCGCATTTAGCCAATTCCTCAGTTGAGATGAGGTCGTCCTTTGGTGGGTCCAGCTGGACTGGCACCTTGGGCTCGAAGCGCTTGGATTGAGTTCCTTCGGTCATTTTTGTGGTTTGGAGAGTGTTTAGGAGACGAAGGTTGGGGAATTATAGTCGTGGGGCAAGCGGGGTGGGGTTCGGAGCATAACCGACTGCTTACGAACTCGGCCTTGTGATTGCTCGGATACCGATGTAGATATTGGGGCTGTATTTGGAGTTATATTGGTTTATTCGTCTCATAATTTGATCGAGCTTGGGTATATTCTGGTCTTTACTACAATTTAAGTAGAATAGAAGGACATAAAGTCTTAGATTCCCCCATGCATGCTATAGCCAAAGACTTTGGGGATAGAAAGGCCATTTGGGATGTATATGGGATTCCAAGCTTGAGAATTACTCAGCTCTCAAATATATCAGTTTAGAGATGTAGTCTGGAGTGGATAAGCGCTGTATATTCCGTTTGAACAACCGACGTTTTTCATGACGTCAAGATTCAATGAATGTAGTAGTCCACCGACCTCTTTACTCTCCTTGCGTCTTGTACTACGATAGGTAGCTTGCCTAAATATTTAGCTGAAAACGGCATGTGCTAGTATTTAGCTCAATATATGCTTTGGTGGCGAACCATCTACATCAGATGATGACTTGACGCAACGTCCCTCTACATTAAGGTTGCTTCCTTCATCCGAATAAAACCACTTTGCCACGCAAACCTCTTGCTCAAAATATGTCTTCCAAAGAAAATACACACTCTCTCCCACACTGGGTTTATCCTCCGAACCCCAACAGCCCTCGAAAGAGCTCTACAGATGCCGTTGTCCACCATCTATACTTCGAAGACAACGATAGTTTCTTCCCTCCTACCTGGCTCGGAAAAGATGATGCCTCCATGCGACGTTCCTCCAAGGATAGCTCAGCAAGCCATGAATCCAAAGATGAAAAAGAGGCCACACTGAAGCCGGAGATTTCTAGATGAATATGAAGGGTCAAACAAGGCAACCGAACTTCTCTATAACTGCGCTATATCTGTTCCTTTCAAGCGTGCACATGGAGTACTAGTCAATATGGTATTTCCTACCTTTGGCAATGAGAGTTTATTATAATAATTAAGTTGAATTTTGGAATAGCTGAACCAGTACAAACACCTTCCAAGATGCATATTAAATATCTTACAGAGCCCCACACACTTATTATTTCTGCTCTTTCTCAGCTTCCGCAGCCCTCAACGCAGCCAGGCGCTGCTTATTCCGCTTGCCCAGAATCCGTAGTGTGTTCTTGCGCTCGATGTCCGTCATCTGCTCCCAGTTTCCAATCCGCGCGAGTGTTCCATCCACGTTGACGACCATCGGTCCCAAGTGATCCAGGCTGACTGTGGAACCGCCTTCAGCACTGAGGTCGAGACGGTGTGTTTGGTCGCTGGTTTCGCTGGAGGGGAGGTAGAGTTGTTCTGAGGGCGGAGAGACGTTATCTTCCGACTGGGACTTGGTGTCCTCTTTGGGGGTTTCGGTGTTTGATGACATTGTGTGTGCCTGGCGACTATGTTCAAGATTGCTGAGAGGCGAGCACTGAGGGAAGAGGACGTTGTATAGTCTTGAGTTTGAGGTTGGGAGGTGTGAGGTGGTCTTTAGGCTGGCGCTTGGAATTGCGGCACGGGCAATGAGTGGGTTCACGGTCAGGTGAAGAAGAGCAGCGCGGTAGGCAGTTCGTGACAACAGCATGATGGAGTTTGGAAGAGTGGATGGGTGGAGGCGGAGGTTCCCAGAAGATAAAAATGCGAGTGGAGCCAAGACGATTCTGGAACTTGCGGGATCTATTTTCATCTCCGATATTCTATCAACCCGACAAAGCACCCTATCGAGTAGTGCGATGCTTGGTATGTAATCTGGCTAATTAGATTTGAAATGTAACGAAATTCTTATAATTAATTTGTCTATATTGTACAATGTAATTGCTTTTTTACTGATGCACCGCACCTGTTCTAGTAAAACATGTCAGATACTACATAGTTTATCGGAACCACCAATTTACCTATTTCCAATGATTAGCAACTTCCTCTTCTTGTTCAACACTCCTAACTTACCGAGGCAGTGACACCTTCTCCTACGCCCTTGATACTATGCCACCAGCCTTTGGGAATAAAAAGACCATCACCAGCCTCCAGATGTACTTCGTAATTATGCCCGCTTTCTGAACCTGCAGAAGCCGAAACACCCCATACCATCTCATCCAATAAGGCTCGCTCCTGACCCTGCATCATCTCCTCGCCTCGAAATGCCGCCGCTTCTTTGCCGCCACTTTGACCCAATTCCCTGCGAACCGCAGAGAATAACTTCTGTCCCTCCGCAGGAGCTAGGAGTCTCACCACCTTCTGTCCCGCAAGCTGCACAAACAGATTGGGATTGGGGTCCCGGTGGAGCGGAGTGTATGTAGGTGGATGTCCAATCCACACATTCGTATCGTACACATCTCCCTTGCCAGCTTGTGCGACAATCTGCGGCGTTGGAAAGTCATCTCGCAGGACTGGCGGGAGATCCATCAGCTGGCACTGCGCGAGATACAGTCGAGCTGACTGCGGGGATGTCTCTGCCATGCGCATCCAGTCAAGGAAGAGTGTAAGCGGCGCGTGAAACTGCCGGAAGCTCACAGCTTCGGTCGCGTCCTGTTCTAGTTTCGCGCCATTTATATTGGGGGGTTGGACGGTTTTCTCGGTAAGTTCGAGTGGGACGAACGCGTCGGCCGCATGTGTCCGCAGGTAGTCGTCGTTTAGGCGAGTCACGGCGGTCGGTGAGGGGCTTTGGAACCAGTTCTTCAGTGCAGGTAGGTCATGGAACTGAGAGCGCGGGAGTAATCCGGGCTGTTCTGGGCGGAAACATTGCTGTTGGAAAGTCTTGAGGTGGGCATCTTCGAGGGCGTCTAGGGAGCGGTATGGATGGGTTGTCGATGCGGAGAATTTGCGGTTGAAGCTTGGACGAAAGAGGCTAGGAGACGATAAGCAACCGGGTCGTCGCAAGACCCAATTGGTGGCTGGCCATGACAGGAGCTTCATTCAGACGATCGCCTCTGGAATAGCTGAGGTTGAAGTTGGGGCGCGGAAGAGACTACTGATGAGTACTCCGCACTCCGCCCTGAGGGCGTGGGACCATAACGGGACCTCGAAGGACAGAAAAGTGGACAAAGTTACTAGTCTCACACATATAGCAATAACCTTCACTGATCTACAGGGATCCTCGGTAAAACAAAGCATTCACGATCCAAATAAACTACGGACCGAGGTTGCCAAGCATTTCCCCTCATGGGGATGGCGCTCCTAAAAACCGATGATCCTCAATATAATTTTAACTAATCTTATTTTGCTAACTTTGAGTTGTTGATGTGCTGTGGTTGCAATTAATTCGAAATTTGGTGCAACCCCAGTGATATATCAGTCCATACTACTTCTGTCGCAATCCCGTCTATGTCGCGACTCGCGACCCATCAGACTCAATAAGTCGGAGAATTTGCACAATGCCTTCAGTCGCAAATATTCATAAGCGCCGTGTGTACGGCAAAGATGCCCATACATATTATCCAGTGCTTATTGTCGGGGCCGGGGAGTCTGGAGTAGCAATGGGCTGCCGCCTGAAAGAAGTCCTAGGAATAGATCAATTTCGAATTTTTGAACGACAGTCGGGCATTGGAGGCACTTGGTGGATCAACCGGTATCCCGGTGCCGCGTGTGATATGCAGGTCTATCTTGATCTATTAAACGATGTTACTCGCTAACGTAATTCTAGCCCAGCGGCACTATACTCATTTTCCTTCTCTCCCAAAAAGGATTGGTCGACTCTGCACCCTCCAGGTGCGGAAATTGCACAGTATATGGCCGATGTCTGCGAGAAGTATCAGATCGTCGACAAGATCCAGTTCCACACCGATGTGAAGCAGCTCCGATGGGTGGAAGAAGATGAAGAATGGGAAGTTATACTTTCCCATCTGGTGCCTGGGACTGGTGATCTCTCACAATATGAACGCGATCAGCTCGCTACAAAGGAAGGCCAGCATCGCGTATATATCAAAACCGAGATGGTGCGAGCGAAGATTGTTGTGAGCGGCGTGGGAGGACTAGTTGAACCCAAGACATGGCCAGATGACATCCCAGGCATCGAGGAATTCCAAGGCGAGATTACTCATACCGCTAGGTGGAATAGCGATATCGACTTTCAGGACAAGGATGTGGTTGTTGTTGGTTCAGGCTGCAGTGCAGCACAAGTTATCCCCTCCTTGGTGAAGGATGGTAATGTTCGCTCTATCACACAGTTGATGCGAACGCCTCCTTGGGTACAGCCAGATCTTTTACCATCAAATGCCCTCGCCTGGTGGGAGAAGTGGAGCCCGACCCTGATAACCAATGTCCCTGGCCTTTCACTCCTTCTGCGCAACTTGGTTTTCTGGGGGGCCGAGCGAAATTGGTTCTCCATGTTCGCTGACAATGCCTACGGTCGTTGGAAGAAACCACAGATTGAGAAGAGATTTTTGGATAATATGCGCTCTTATGCGCCTAAGGAATACCACGAGATTCTTACTCCGAATTACAGCCTTGGATGCAAGCGTCGCATCATTGACAATGCTTGGTATAGAAGCCTGAATGCGCCAAATGTTGAACTTACAACGCAGCCATTGAGTCGAGTGCATGCGCAAAGTGTCATTCTAGGTCCTGGGAGTTATTATCCAATCAACACGACCAAGTCAATCGGCGAAACTCGAGAGATACCGGCCGATGTGATTATCCTAGGAAATGGATTCGAGACCAATAAGTGGCTGCATCCATTGAAAGTCGTTGGAAAAGAAAAGAAAGATATGCAGGATTACTGGGACGAGCGTGGAGGTGCACAGGCATATCTTGGAATTGCAATGGATCACTTTCCAAACTTCTTCATGATCTTTGGACCAAACACAGCAACGGGTCATACTAGCGTGATATTTGCCACTGAAAATGCGGTGAACTATTCATTGAAGTTCATCAAACCCATTTTGGAAGGTAAAATCAGTTCATTTGAAGTCAAGGAAGAAGCGGAGCGATCATGGGCACAGCAGGTGCAAAATCAACTGCAAAAGACAGTCTTTCGTCGTGGTCTGTGCGCAAGCTGGTATAGCACTGCAGACGGATGGAACTCAAGCACTTATCCGTGAGTATCGGGATACTATTTTGATGATTACTGCCTTTCCCTCGAGTTGACTGACCGGACATTCAGTTACACCCAACTCCACTACTGGTACCGATGTACCTTCCCTGTCTGGCGAGATTGGACTGCAAGACCTACACGTAAAGGCTTAGTAATTCAGCGAATTCGCAGGGCCTTTAGATTATGCGTATTCTTTGGACTGCTCGGTGGGCTCGCGTGGTTGAGGGAGAAGCCGCAGCATCAGCAGCAAGTGATGCAGACTCTCCTTGCAGGCAAAAACTTGATTCTATCTAAACTTCATTAGCTTGTATCATATTTTTTAGTTCATTTGACTTCAATATATGACACCCTTCCCAAGGTTCGATATTAGTACTAGAACGCGTAGTTGATCTACTTGTTCGCCCAATCATCTCCATATGAAAGAGATGAGTCAGCCCGAATCTGGGGAAACGGCAAACCCCGCGAGGAATATCTCCGCACTCCATCCACGCCATTTCGCCCTATACGCTCTCCCCAGTATCGCTATTTTCTGCATGTCATGGCTTCGGAATCGCCTCAAATTGAAATGACACCTCCGAGGACGGGCCTCGGGGATCAGGCGACCAGTCCGGTCGCAGATTCGGCTAAGAGAAAGGCGGAACAGGGCAACGGAACTCAGACGCGCGCAAAGCGGAATCGTTACATCTCCATCGCATGGTATGTTATTGTATGATCACCTCCTATCTATTCCGCATACATCGGTCGGCATTTAATATTGCCTTTGCCCAAAGTAAGACTAGCTGCAGCATCATGCCACCTGATGCTTTATCCGGCTTTGCTGGCTTCCGAGTTGGAAATCAATTCCCTAGTGTGGGCTAACAAATCATACTTTTAGTAATGAATGCAAGCGTCGCAAGATCAAATGTAATGGACAGGTTCCATGTCAACGATGCGGGCATCTTAATCTGGAATGTATGAAACCTTCCGAACTGGAATATACTTGCCATGGACAAGCCTTGCATCGCGCAATGACTGATGGGGCTGTATCCGTGGCAAAAAAAACTATCTCGCCTTGCTGACCTTGTTCCTAGGTCGATATGCGCCAAATTGCTGTAGCAACAGCTTCAAAGACTCGGAGTGAGTCGCGGAATTCCGTTCCGAATGTACAATGCTAATTCTTTCCAGGGAATTTCGGTCAATGGGGTCGCAGATAGCGACGCTGCAAGATCAAGTCAATAGTCTTTTTAATAGCCTCAACGACCTGCGAACCCAGAAGCCCAGCTTTGAGAGCCCTTCCTTTGATCACCTATCTCGTGATGGCTCCTCTCAGTCCGTTTTCACTCCTCTGCCCGGCGCGATGCCAAAGGTTCGATCCAGGCATCCACGCTTCCATGGTCCAACGAGCTCAGCATTTAACTTTGATGTTGCCAAATCGAGCCTTCAAAGCATGGGTATCGCGCCGGCGGAAGATGTGATAGCTGACGATTTGACAACGGCGCATGTTACCCCGGCTGGCTCGCCGCCTCCGAATATAAGCCCTCATGTTCCCACTATCCACCCGACTAAGGATCCTCTCTGGGCCATTCGCCGTGAGGAGACCATACGGCTATGTAAAGTATACGAGGAAGAAATTGGGATCATGTATCCCTTGGTCGACATCACTACGGTCATCAACCAGGCTAATCTACTCTACACATTCATGGAGGCCGCCACGCGCACTGGTTTTGCACAGCGGAGTTTCCCTGGAGCCGACAGCCTCCATGACGAGAGCTCAATTCTTTTGAAGCTCATCCTCGCGACCACCCTGGTTGTGGAAGGGGGTGGGCAGAGTGAGCTTGGTCAGCGACTATATTTAAGCATCAAGCCTGTGATTGAATCTAAGCTATGGGAGCCTCACGACATCAGAAATATTCAACTCTTCGCCATCGTGGTATGTATTGCTTCTCTCTGGGTCATTCAAACAGTTGTTAACCTGAGTCGGGCAGGCAACCTACCATTTTCACACAGACGACGATGCTATGGCCTACCGACTGATTGGCTTGGCTGCGCGCATGTGCCTGGAGATGGGGTTCCATCGACGAGAAGCCTTGATCAAATCATTCCCAAACGAAGATCAATGGAACGAAGTTACTCGCATATTTTGGACCGTTTACAGTTTGGATCGACGATGGAGCTTGGGTACTGGATTGCCGTTTGTTATCCAGGATGAGGATATTGATCCTAACCTACCAGAGCCGGTAAGAGAACATGACGTTGTTTAATGAATTTTATTTCTGACATCAACAGGATGCATCTTTGCCTTATCTGCGGTGCATGATCTCTTATAATCGAATCAGCTCCAAGATCTGGTATTCCGGCCTCGGTTCAGAAGGAACGACAGATATTCGACGCGATGAGATCGGTTACTTGGATTATCAGGTTTTGCAGTGGTACAAACAAGTACCAGATGAACTGAAATTCTATCCCGTTGAATCCCCCAAGAATGGAGAGACTGCAAGCCGCGGCATGAGACGTCTCCGGATTCTGCTGTACTTGCGAATGAACCAGCTACGAATCCTGATCTACCGCCCAGTCCTTCACTCTGCGGCGAGCATTGCCGAGGATCGAGGCCATGCTCAGACCGTGGTGGATATTGCAAAGGACACCGTTCGAGTGCTTACACGTCTTAATCAGATGTCTGATATCTACCGCACCCAGCAGATCACCTTTAACTACTTCCTTGTTGCTGCACTAGCGGTACTATTCCTTGCTGTGTGTCATGCACCTGCCGACTTCAACCGGCAAGTCCGGGACGAGTTCTACATGGCTTTGGACTTGATCAACGGGTTCAGTACCAAATCATTTGTATCAAAGCGGTTATGGAAGACCATTAGAGGTCTTCGCATGATTGGAGAGAAACTTGGAGTCCTGGCCCGCCCGTTTGGTACTGACTCTAGTGACCCCCATTCTACCGCAGCGGTGGCTATGGCAGGCCTTGCCGGGCATTCGATCGATGATCTGGCTGCCTATGGGCCAGTGAATGGAATTGACGAGCTTGGAAATAGCCCCTTGAATGGTGTCCAGATGAGCCATGAGCTGACACATTTGTTTGAGGCAGTCGGTTCATTTGGCAGCTTCATGCCTGGCACCAGTGGCCCAGAGGGTATCAATGGATTTGTTGGCACGGATGGTGAGATCCAAAATACTGGTGAAGGGCTTTCTGGGATTCTTGGTGGCGAGGAAGAATTTTCTCGTATCCTCCGTGACTTGTTCTGATATAATATGACTGGAGAAATGTAAATATGACTTGGTATAAGCATATATAATTCGCTATCATGCGCAAGAATCTGACGCCATTCACGGAATACTGCATATGGATTCGTGTCTTCACGTGATCGTCACCCCCATTGCGTGGTTTTCATATTCATCCAACATTTTAATCCACGGTTTTCAGAATCGCTTGATGCAATTCATTGTTGTTGCAGTGGTCCTCCCTGCATTGTTCTGATCCGTGCGGTCCTTCCACCGCCCCACGATTTCCGAACCGAAGCTAGCGTCCTAGCGTGGCTTCAAAAGACATCCGTCACAAAGCACCACCTTTGACGTGAGCTCATGTCATTGATGAACAGTGTTCCCCATAGCTGTCTTCATGTCCACTGGTGAGTGATTCGGGTGAACTTCTTTTTGTAGCTCTGAGTTGATGGGGAACTGATAAGATTTTGGTGGGGCTAGCCTGAGATACGACGTTCTCGACTTCGCACAACCTCCCCTCCCGCAAATTGTCATGAACGTTGGACTTCTCCACTGAAACAACCCTCAACTTCGACTCTGTTCACGGCCGACCGACAGCTCGGAAACTTTCGCTTCCCCACTTTCTCGGTGACCTGGATTGCTCGAGTTTTTTCTGAAAGCAAATTCTCCGTGCCCCCACGTTGATCCTCCCGCCCGCGGCTGCTATACCCAACCCCTCGCAATTCGCGTGACAGGGTTGCTGTTGTCGTCGCCCTTCTCCCGCATATCGCACAATCTCGGCAACGTGTCGAGAGAGACAGGTTCGGCGTTGGCCGACGGCCTGGACAGGCTGGATCTGAGTCAACTGTCTGAATCAACTCTTTCCTCATCCGCGTCCGCTTCATTCGATATGTCGTCGTCGGAAGGTGCGCCGGAGTCATGGATCTCCTCATTCTGCTCGCTCATGGGCCATGAGTTCTTCGCTGAGGTGTCGGAGGATTTCATTGAGGATGACTTCAACCTAACGGGCCTGCAGTCGCAGGTGCCCATGTATAAGGAAGCGCTGGAGATGATTCTTGATGTGGAGCCCGAGGATGAGGAGGATGAGGAAGATGAAGAGGAAGAGGAAGAGGATGATGAGGTTCTGGGCGAAGACCGACCGGTCAATTACCGGCGAGCTAGTGACCGTCGACACGCCCGCGTTGCTAGCGATCTTAGTGTGATCGAGAGCTCCGCCGAGCTACTGTACGGTCTAATTCACCAGCGGTACATCACCTCGCGACCGGGTATTCAACAGATGCTGGAAAAGTATGAAATGCAGCACTTTGGCGTCTGCCCGCGCGTCAACTGTGGCGGATGCAAGGTCTTACCTGTGGGCCGATATGATACCCCAGGCCAAGAAACGGTTAAGCTCTTCTGTCCCGGCTGCATGGACATCTACACCCCACCCAACAGCCGCTTCCACTCCGTCGACGGAGCCTTCTTCGGCACAACATTTGGATGTCTGTTCTTCATGACATTCCCTGATCTGGGTATCGGACCACGCCTAGATGCCTCCTTCTCCACCGTGCCACGAACCCCCACACAGACCGGAAACCGAACTCAACCTCAAGCAGAGGCCGAATCACCTTCGCCCGAAAACCAGCCACTAGAGATCAATGGCGTCCGCACAGATAGCTTCTGCCCCGGTCTTGGGCGTGGTAAGGTTTACGACCCCAGGATCTACGGATTCAAGGTCTCCGAAGCCTCGCGTGTGGGTCCACGCATGAAGTGGCTTCGAATGAAGCCCAGAGATATCTATGAGCTTGACGAGGTTATGCAACACGAGGAAATGGGTGCCTTCCCGGAGCCAAAGTCCGGCGCGGGTCAATCGCGGGGGGATAAGGATGGCGATATGGACATGAAGGTTGGACAATCTCAAGAGGCATCAATCGCGAATCGGAAAAAGGCACCCATGCGGCGACGACGAGTGGGTGACGCTGCCCCGGACCAGATGAGTGTTCAGGGAGCAGAGATCGGCTGAAGGATGTATCTTCCCAGAGACTGACTCTACACTGTCTCTATGATATGTTGTTTTCCAGGGCCGCTATCTGCCCAAGTGTCAAACATGTTCCTGCTGGGGTAGTAGAGGATGTCCTGGGACGATGACCATAAGCTTAGCAACCCCTTTCAAGTCTCTTTTCCACGAATGGGACGGTTCATGTTACTTGATACTGCGATCGATTTTCAGCTCTGTGCATTTTTCTTATCCCTCGTCCATGGTGTTCCAGAATCAATTGAAGGCTCAATTTTTAGCTTTAATCTTACCGGCTTTGCGATCTCATTCTTCGTGCCATAGAATTGAGTAGATAGTAAGCAAGGAGGAATGAAAAATACGAGCAGCAATTATCCTGGGCTATTTTTATAGATGAATTTTCCTTATGAGGATTTCTACCATGCGCTGTGGTATCTGCCGAGTTCAATAATCAGTATCATTTCCTTGAAACGCGATGTAGGCATACAATGATATAAAGATCTGATAAATCTACGAAGCGAAATATTTAGGTTTAAGAGGTCTACGTATGGCGATCGCAGGAACCTCGTCCTATGAAAGACCGAGGATAAGAATCCTACAAACCTTAAACCTCTCTATCTCTAAGACGACCATAATCACTTCAGTGACAAAAGTGCCTTTGATTGCAGTTGCACTTCGGTGTCCCAAACCATCGGATCGGCATTTTGATAGGGTACATGTAAGCGATACATGGCCAAAAAGATGGCGATCATTAACGCCCTATAGACATGGCTATCCTACCGTGAAGTTGCATCGGCAGGGTAGCATGACAGGGGCAAAATGGCGTTGGCCACGTCGTATAGTAGTTCTATTTGAAATCACCCCAGGAAACACAGCTAGTAGACCCGAGGGCTTTGTCTCCTACCGGGCTAGGCCTGTATTTAATGGACTAGACAGGGTCTATTGACCACCAAAAGCATATTGACCTTACTGACGTAGGGTATTTCGAACCCATGGTTATAGTCGGCGTCCCCGGCTCTTTAACTCGGGGAGTGATTGAGTATACTTCTTTGTTCTCGGCTCCACTTGGATCCACAGAGCCCGTGTGTACAGACTAGTTGTCTCACAAAGGCGACGCACCTGTCCCATCCCTGACTCGTGCTCGGCACTGGTCTTCTTTTGATTGGTTATGATTGATAATGGATTGATAATGTGCATCGCACTATCCCTGGTCCTTGACTCCAGTCCCAACAAAGCAATGAATGCGACTTTTGATCTGAAGGTTCCAACAGAACCACGTCACCAGACTCGCGGACTATCAAAGGCCCCCTGCATCGATTGGTTGGATCGGATAATTGGGAGATCACACGTTTCCAAGAAATATGTACAAGGTGATGAGTCGACATCGGGGTGCTTCCGACCTTGAAAATAAAACGTTCGATCACTAACTCGATCTAGCAGGTGGGAAACCTGCCGGCTCCACTAGGGGCCAAACTAAACCTGAAGACTTTGCTGCAGAAATAATTCTGGGATTCTCTGCTTTCTGGAATTCTGGGATGGACATGGGGTCCAATTTTAATGCCGATCGGACCCCCGTGAATCGGTGGGGCAACTTAATGTAAGCTCAGGAGTTAGAGTATAGATGCTTAATCTGATTTGAAGCACTGTTCCCCCTCGTGGCAATCCAGGATGGGATAACTTTATTGTCTTATACTGTGGGTACAGAATACTTTGCAGATATGCCCTACAGACTCCACTGTGGATTTTTTTTTGCGTGGACAATTCACGGGGAATTCTCGTGTTTCAAAATAGTAACAATGTGATATCAATCTACGGATACTAGCGGCAGGATACAATTTCCTATCTTTAAATTGTTTCCACATGAAAACAAGACTGATCTGTCGCTCGGTCAACCACCGAGGTCCTCGCTAGGAATGACCCTAGATGCTCTCTTGCAGTTGCCTTACAAGGTTGGGCAAGGTACCCTTAGCGGATTCCAAAATTCCAGAACTCCAGAGTCCTGCACCTCCTGCACTCCTAAACTCCTGAACTCCTAAAGTTCACCCTGCAGATGATCCGTTTCATCTTTGCCTTCAGGGCGCGGATATTTCCAAGAGAAAAAAAGCGAGATATGCAGACTAACCACAAAGGGAAAATGGGGAACCGCAATTCTTTCTCCCCCCCCCAAACGTGCATTCGGCCCCCCCTTTTAAAGCCTTCAGGCCAAAGTCCCACCTCATTAGCCCCTATACGGACACGAAGGGCGCGGCATCCAAACAAAACCGTCCTAGGGCAAAGCCCAGCCCTTGTACGGCCGAAACTAACGGCCCAGTGCGCGGGCCACCCGATTGCAATTGCCTGGGGCTGAGGTGCACCCCTCATGTCTTGGAGGCTGCCGGATTCTCATTGGGAACCACTGCGGCGGTAACGAAATAATAAACGAGATGCATTGATTGATGTGCATTTCCTAAAATAGAGAAGCGGCTCTTCCTCCGTAACAACCCGCCGGAACCTTACCAATCCTGGGTCCATGTGAGGGGACGAGGATGATGTACAGGGCTGGAGTGGAGGGAGAAAGGGAAAACAGAGTTGTGAGGCGCAGTCGCGTTGTCTAGCTTGGGACTTGGCTTCTAGGCATCCCTATCTTCCCGAATCTCGGGATTTCTTCTGTTTTTGTAGACCCAAGGGACTGGGACTGTTCTCGGATTATTGCATCATCGTATCGGCTTTCGGGCGTAGGAGTGTGGCCGAGACTAGACCAATCTCTCTCCGCATGATGATTGGTGGGGGCACGGGTGTCGGAATCCCGGATTCTGCAGCGATCATGAAATCCAGTACAATGGGTACAGGCCACATGGTTGCTAGACGGCTCCGCCCGGATTCCTGAGTCATGACCTGGAAGAGTAGGTGATTCGGGGGAAGCTCCACTTTACCCGCTCGATGGATACGCCTTGCAGGCTTAGTTCCAAGGTAGGAATGGAACAGCATCCAGCTGTCCTATTTAGGCAAATGTACTTTGGTTTCCCATCTCGAAAGGGTAAACGGTATTTTTCAGTTTCTGGGGGCCATAATATGGGACGCCTTGTATTTTATACCAAAACGTCCGTTTGTCCACGTTTTTTCCCTCTGGGGGCCAGAAACGTGGCCAATCGTCTATGCTGATCAAAAGGTTATTGACTTCTACGATGAAAGCTGAATTCATGTTGAAAGGTTATTATATTGACCTTTTTTAAATCTCCTATCCCAACCTGTATACTCGAACATAGTAAACGCCCAGATGATGCTCGCTTCCCAATGAAATAAAACACAACACTTTCGTTAGACCCTCAGATAGTGGAGACTTCCAGAACCAGTAGAGACAAAAAAAAAATAAAAAAAAGTGAAAAATAGAAATAAGAAATAATCATCGCGTTCATTAATCATCCTCCTTCGGATCCAGCGGAAGTACCCGCAAGACAAGGCGTACGCGTGTTTCGACGCCCCATCCCCCGAGACTCGATCCAAGAAAGGAAACTCTCCACCTTTAGGGCCGCAGATCATATTCGTACAGTCCAGGCATAGATCGGGGAGAGCAAGGAGGCGATTGCGGTGTCAGGGGAAAGGTGAAGATCGACGCCTCCGGAGAGGTTGATACACGCCGGTCATCGTAATATGAAAGCGAAGGCATCTGCAAACATCATAGAGATATTAGCTTCCGCGGTCGATGAAGGTTCAGCGAGCATAATGTACCGAAAGACCCGGTTCGGGATGTGAAGGTTGAGGACATAGTTCGATGCCGGCCATCGAAGCATAGCTCATGCTGAATGGACTCATGATGTCCTCGTCGTAGGCGGGTTTACGGGGCGCTCCCATCGCGGCTGTGGGAACCATCGGGACCACGGATGGGATGGTGTCATTGTATTCTGGGAATGACAGGCTGCCGTATGTATTTTGGATGGTCTGGTAGACGGGGATTTGCCCATAGGTTTGGCGATAGGCATCATATTGTGGCATCGGTGGGTAGGTAAATGCCGGTGGTGGTGAAGCTGAGAGTTGGCGAGTACATTGTTGACCAAACATGGAGCGCTCATCGGGGGTGTGATAGTAATCATATGAGGCTGGTCGGTCTCCCTGCGATGGGTGGGATAGGTGTGGCTTCACTTCTCCGGATTTGGAGTTTCGCTTTGTCCGAGCTTTCGGGGTTGCCTTGGGGGGCTCTGCATGGGATTGTTCTGGGGAGGCGGAAGATGCAGCCCGTCGCTCTAGATCCTCCAGACGGCGCTTCAATTTCTTGCCTGTTGATGGTTAGCTGGGGGAATCGTATGTGAGTATGTTCCAGGTGATACTCACGATAATTTCTTTGGGCAATTCGGTTCTGAATGCGACGACGCTCTGCTAGATCGGAGATCTTGGTCCAGTCTTCGTTAGGGTTTGCGTTGGGACTGAAAGCACTACTATTGCTGTGACTGGAAGACCGAGAGCCCGAACGGGCATCGTAAGTAGAGCGCTGCATGATATCAAGAATTAGGTAAAAAGGGCAGGATTAGTGATGGTCGAGAGAGGGGCTAAAGATTGATTATATACTCGGAGGGTCGGAGAATGGGGCTCCTAATTCCGCAGATCAGCTGGGAGCCCTTTTACTCTCTAAGCCCCTCTCGAAATCCGTTGCGATAGCTATGCAGTCCGTGCTCGCATTAGACTCTGTGCCATGTGTTATTTTGGGGCCGTAGATCGTGATTTAATTTTATTTCAATATTTGCAATCATACAGGTATGTTTCCCGCATGGACGGACAGGGATCATTCCGGCTTCAGCCTCGATCCTGGTCAACTCTGAACCACGTTTTATTTTGTTTCTTATTCCCGTCGCCCCTAGAGAGTGGAGAACGGAATTTGTACATGTCTAGGATTACACAGACTCCATGGATCAGAAGGAATGGAACGTTCGACCGAAGTTCACCAGTCCGCGACACGATTCCCAGGGGAGATGAAACGGGGAAATGCGTTGGGTTACACTAACATTCTTGGGGTTCGAATGTTTGGTTTTCAAATGGTTTGATTAATGGTTTTGCTCGTTTTGATTCGGTTTTGATCTAGTTTGTTTTCTTTTTCTTTTTTTCTTTTTTAATTTGACAGAATCACGTGGAGGAGTCTAGGGGGGCCACGTTTTTAATGAATTTATTCAGTAATTCTAGTTCTATTTTGTCTCCCTTGGCAGGCTAGGGATAAAGATCTCACCCGTTGATCGTTGATCAAACCCTCAAGCTATGTTCATCCGGAGCCCGAGTCCCAGTGGAGAATGGGGGCCAGTACCGAGAAATTAAATTTATTATAAATCATACATGAATCATTTATTACAGGGATAGCCATACCCACCTGGGCGTAGGGGCGGAATCCCTTGAACCCGAAAGCCTGGGACGCTTTATCCGTAATCGCTTAACAATGCCTAGATTGATGCGAAATGAATTCGTTCTTGTGTAGCCCTAATTCCCTCGTGGTTTGACTATGATCCAAACCCCCCAGATGTAACGCTCATATTGGGTTTTTGATCTACTGTTAATAAAATCTTTCTTTCTTTTTCTTGTCTTTTTGATTGAACTACCAGGATAAAGGGTCAAACAAGACATATTACCGGGGTTTGAGGGGAATTTGGTTCGGCTTGATTGGCGTAATCTGCAGCTGAACGGCACATTTTCCCAAAGTGCTGACCAGCTGGGTGGGCATAAACGGAGCGGGGTCAATGACAATTGTTGTCAAACAATAGGGTGCGTCGTTGCTGTACATGCTGGCGTGGCAATACTATATAGGGCTGAATTGTGATCCCCGAGACAGTGACAGCGGAACGGGGCTGTGCAAAGCCTCTTGGACTTTGGACTTCACCGCTCCTCACCCACCTAGGCGGCTCGAACGTCAAGCCTTGCGCATCAATCCCGGGGAACGTCGACCCTCGAAGACAGGGATTAGAGCCAGTCAGAGCCCGTGCTGGTCGCCCCGATGCTTGGGTGGGATTGCATTTCGGGCCTTCTAGTCACCATCTAGAAAAGGTTCCTGGCGGTGTGCATGACACGCAGACACGAAGTCTGCAGAAAGGTTTCCCTTTCCCTTTCCCTATTCCCGTTTCTGGTGTGACATCTTATCATCTACATCCTATTCCAGATTTCAAATTTGGAACCGAAACTCCGGAGACATGATTCAATCATCCAAAAAACAGCCACGGCAATCTCCGACCCCTATGACGCCGGTTGCCCCCAGACCCTTTCAAAGTTACACGGGAGAATGTGAAATGGACCGAGTACGAACCGGATGCGGGAAAAGCTCCTGACTTGTCCTTTCGAGGGTCAGGCTTGCCTGGTCCAACCGTCTTGCACGTTGGACAAGGCGTCCAATGTTGACGGCCTCAAGAGAATCCAGAACACGCCTCATCTCCGACAACCTCTTTTCAAGGGGGTGCGGTGTTTCTGGAATACCACCTGCGAGATTAACATGGTTCAACAGTCCTAATCATGAACAGAACTTTTCAAATTCAATCCCAACTAAAGGACTCCTTGGAAATTCCTACGCGCCGCGTCATGGTCCATATTGAACTGGGAACAGACAAGGAAGGTAGTACCAGCTGAATGTTGCCCCTTGGGCCTGCCATTCAGTCGGCGAGCTCGGCGAGGTATTTAATCGAGGAAATCGAATCAAGACCCTTGATTGGCCACCTCGCTAATGCAGAACATTGTAGCCACCGCTAGGAAAATGTTACTCTGCATGTACAGACTCAGACTGAAACTCGAACTTCTTTTTTTGGCTCCACGTGGCCTACACGTGCTGCAACTCGCCTATCCTTTCTCTCTTGGGGAACAGCCTCATAACTGGTGTTACTTATCATTATACCCCGATGACCCAATCGTTACTAACTTTACTTGGGAGCTACTTTGGTTTCGGGCCTGTTGGGCCGCAGACTTGATCCACCCCCACTTTTTTCAGTCGTATGAGTCGGTGGCTAATGTCTGTCAGCACTGTGTTTGTGCAAGGCCATCCTGACTAAGGAACTGTGCAGGTGATTTCACCTGTAGTCGGCCTTGACCCGGATAAATTTGGCATTCTCCCTGGTATATGCTACATGTACAACCGCATTTTCTGCCAAGTAAAGTCGGATTGGTATCTTGAGCTAGGATAAGGATGGAAACATACGAGATTTTCTAAGGAGATAAAATGTCGAAACCTTGGAGCGGCAAACTTTCACCGCAATTCTGTGTGCCACCATGATGCAACAAATAGTATATCTCAAAGCGACCAATCCAAGCGACGAAGCGTTCAATGAGGAATGTCAGCAGGGGAACAAGATACATAGTTGAGGGGACAGTATAGAGAATGTGGGAGCGAGCATAGGGTTGCCTTTTCGTGAGAAAGTTTTGTCAACCGTATGCTATAGTCTAGATCCATGTCCCAGTATAGTAAGTGAAGTATCAATGACTTTGTTTGCGTATTAATTAGGATCCAGGTATATCACCGCAAACTCTGGGTACATACAAGGTGCGCTTCACGACCTCCTCATTAAGTGTTGATAGTTATTCGGTCAGGTAAGGCACAGGTTCATAGCCCAAATTTTACAGTTTATCATACCCGATTATTCGCCGATCCCTACATACTATCTTTCTAAAAGAGAATGTCGGATTAATGTACCGACGAGTACCTTTTTCAAACTAGGAAATGATCCAAGATCTGTATACTTCGCAGCAGGCTATTTTTACCCGTGAGTCCTTCAGATCACAACGAGACTTTTCACCGGTTTCAAGAACCGATGAATAATCATAAACGACTTTGACATGCTAAGGGAGATAAGCCTGCTGCACAATTCAAGAAAATACCCCAAGCATGAGTGGCTCGGATAATTAATTGACTTGGCACAAAAATAATTCTCAAACGTGGCTGTTTCTTACTAAGATTCCTCGGTAAATTTCCGTGAAGGCTAAGAATTGGCCGAGAATGTTCTCGGGCATACTTCGCAATCTTTCGAATTGTATTGACTAGAATGTGAGATGTACCGACTCACTGGCCTGAATTCTCACCCCTTGAACTCGACATGATTGAGTTCCTCATCATGTTTGACGTCAGATCGCTCAATATCACCCATAGTCTCAGCCAGGCCAGCCTTCTTCTTCGCTTTAGCCTCATTGACAGCCATTCGAGCTCTGGGAATCACGTTCCACTTAATGGCCTTGTGATAGAATTTTTGCTTTGACTCAATCTCCCGGTCCCGATCCTCGTCTGGCAAGAAAAGAAGATCCACGGACTCGAGATTGAGATAAGCTGTTTCGGGGTAGAAGCAATATACAATGATTGCTGCAACGAGGTTGAAGACCGCAAAAATAATGTACGTCTTATAGCCAATGTTCTCAAGGGCTGGTGGTGTGATTTCCACGACCTATGATTCATCGGTTAGTCTGATGATGCGCACAGAGGTAAGGCAACATACAATGAAGTTTCCTAGGAAGTCGGCTGCGGCTGCCAGCGCAGCTCCCTTGGATCGGACTTTTAATGGGAGAATCTCAGCTGGGTATACCCAGACTGTGGCCATCCAGCCTGTGAAAAAAATGTTAGATTTTTGTGTCATGCAAAGAGGAGTTGAGACTCACCCCAAGTGAAGCAGGCTTCGAATGCAAACACGAAGAATACTGCTGCGATTCCAGATTGCTGAGTACCAATGGCGACAGTGATAGCCTCACAGATCAAGACAACGCCCATCCCAATGGCCATGCTGATGAAAAGACGTCGCCTTCCAACAGCGTCAATCATATACCACTGGCATCGGTTAGCATTGTTATACTCAATTTGGACTCGAATGAGATCATACAGTGAGTAGAGAGGCCAAGATATACCACACTTGAAGAAAACAACCCACGAACAACGCCCGCTCTTGAGACATACCCAGACTCTCGGTAAATAGCGTTGGTGCGTAATAGCTAACAATGTTGATGCCTATGGGATGAGATATCAATATTATAGACAGAAGATTCCATGTACAGATAAAGCTCACCTGAAGTCTGCTGCATGAATTGGATTCCAAGTGCCAGGAAAAACCGCTTGTTCGCAGCACAGCCTCCGTCGGTGAACAGCGATTTCCAAGAACCTTCCTCCTCTGCTTCAATGTTGATAGCCGTCATAATATCGGACTTTTCCTTTTGGACATCTAGGTCATCTTCTGGCTTATCGCGTAGCTTTGCAAGGACCATGACGCCCCGTTTAGGGGAGGAATCATGAAGCATGAGCCAACGTGGGGTGTCCGGTAGCAACGGGGTGACAATCAGCACATATATGGCAAAGATGGCTTGAAAAAGCAGTGGGAATCGCCACTGGATTTGGCCGGGTTGAAAATAAAATGCATAGTTGATCCAATACGCCAGCATCAAGCCGAACAGCATTGTTGTCAGCTGGCAAGACACATGCCATCCACGTTGACTGGGTAGACAGATTTCGCTTTGATATACAGGCGCAACTGATGTTAAAAATCCAATTCCTGTATAGTTTGAGTGAATCAGTATCTCTACGGAAGGTGTGAAGCTCGGATATACATACCCAAGCCAGTAATGATTCTGCCCACGATCATTTGAACTCTTTCCACACAACTACCCATCAATGCCGAACCGATGATAATCAGAGCGGCACCAACCATCAATCCACCCTTTCGACCCATCTGCTCTACAGTCAATGCAGCTATGATTGCGCCAAACACTGCACCAACATCATATAGAGCAGTGATCGTGCCGGTCATAACTGTACTAGGGTGTCCCATTTCTGCGAGCCAGTAATCGGAGATTACCACCCCTGACATGACACCTTGATCATATCCAAATAATAGGAATGATGAAGAGCATACTGAGGTGATGGCAGCCACCAACAGCGCCCCTTTCAGGCCGCGTAGGCCCGTTTTGTCAAACATATTGCGAAATGGAAGCAAAATGACTTGGAAGTGGGAAATGCAAGGACCGAGCATTTATACCTTCGATCGGGCCGTATCTATGAGTTATTTGGTCCGAGACCGAAATGCGTGGGGGTGGATCTGGGGAATGTGGGGGATTTACCAGCTAATCATTTCCGTCAACCCTGTTTTCCTGATCTCTCTATGGAAAGGAGTCAAGTGGAGCCCGAAGGGATCGTATCGTTTATTTCCTGTTCGAGGATTCCCCGCGCATGTCGATCAAAGCTTCGCGCCAATTGCTTGTCTCCGGGTAATGAGCGGATTTACCCCCACAGTCGAACTTGGACCGTAGACTTATCAAGGAAGTGCTTGACTAGAGCTAGGCGGGGTATGCAGCGGTAACACGACTAGATATGGAAAGTCCGCTGTCTGTGGGATGGGGTCATGTATATGCAGTGCTTGTCTCTTCATACGTCATAAGTTGGCTGCAGCTGGTCCGTCTGGAGAAAGGGTGTGGCCCACTGCTGTAGTATTATCCACGTACCCAGGTAGTAAAAGCCTTTGGATTTGAATTTCAGGAAATTCTAAGCCTGTCTTGTTTATGAGATGCAACATTTCTGGAACGGATGCATCACCTGCGGTTTGCTTCCCACAGCTGCATCCTTGCATGATTGCATGGACGGACTTGGTCCGAGATGTATTGCATCATCTGGTGAGTGAAGACCTGAGATAGGGGATTAAGGCTGTTTGATCAACGTCACACCTTAGTTTAGCGCATACCCGCCGTTGAAAAGGCTAAGTACCACAATCACAGACCAACTCTGAATGATATAAGACGGCTATACTCAGCTCCTTCGATCACCTTGCTATAGGGCTACTGATTCTTAGTCCGGTTCTGTGGTGCTTATTTCCCATGGCTGGAAGTAGAAAGGGTTATGTGGAAAAATATGGTTTCTGTAAATAACCCGAAAAGAATACCAACGGCTTTCCAGGCATTTCAACATGTTCTTAACCCGGGGAATATAGCCAAGCTCCAGCTTTTGGAAACCATCAAGAAACCATCAATGCTGGAAAACGTATGCAAAAATGCACATAATAGATAGATTTAAAGAAACAATATACCCCACCAGGTCTAGGCAGCCAACACCCCCTTGTCGTTCCTTTCTGGCAATATCAATTTACATTTAAACCACGTGACTGTGAATCAATTAGCATCTTTCTCTTATTCTTTCCAGGGTAATGGACTTACCTCCACTCGTGCACCTCGTCTCCGTGCTGAATGGACTCGATCCAGTTCTTCATCTGAAGAGCAATCTCACCGGCCTCCTCTTCCTTCTTCAAACCGCAGTCCACCAGCTTACCACGGTAGCTGATGTTCCGCACGGGGCTCACAATGGCTGCGGTGCCAGCACCGAAGACCTCGATCATGCGGCCTTCCTCGGCAGCCTCCGCGACATCGGACATGCGGATCTTGCGCTCCGAAATGACCCAGCCCTGGGGCTCCAGTCTCTCACGAGCGAGCGCGAGGACGGAATCTCTTGTCACACCCTCGAGAATAGTGCCGTCGAGGGGAGCAGTGATCAGCTCCTTCTTGCCGGTCTCCTTGTTCTTCAAGGCAATGAACAGGTTCATTGTGCCGACCTCGGTCACGTATTCCTCTTCGCCGAAGAGCCACAGGTTCTGCTGGAAACCGCGGGAAGCGGCCTCGAGCTGGGGCAGAATGCAAGGAGCATAGTTGGCACCGAGCTTCTTGTCACCAACGCCGCCGGGCCAGGCGCGGACAGCGTAATCGGTGGCCTCAAGCGAGATGGCCTTAAAGCCAGTCGGGTAGTACGGGCCGACGGGGCTAGCAATAACAAACAGAAGGGCGGAGCCAGGAGGACCAACACCCAGAGTCTTCTGAGTGCCAATCATGGTGGGCCGGAGGTACAGAGAGTACCCACGGGCACTGCGACAGGTTAGATGGGTCGTTCAATGTTGATACGGGATTCACTGACTCGGGAATGAAGCGGTCTTCCAGCTTCACAAACTCTCCAATCAGCTTAACCAGCTCATCACCATCAAACTTCGGCAGGGCAATACGCGCGGAGGACTTGTTCAGACGCTCCATGTTCTTGTTGGGGCGGAACAAGCGAGTGCCACCGGTCTTATCCTTGTATGCCTTCATTCCCTCGAAACACTCAAAGGCATAGTGGAACACACAGGTGGAGGGGTCCAAGCTGAGATTCTGATAGGGAACAATGCGCGGTGTGTGCCAGCCATCTTCAGCTGTCCATTCGATCGAGATCATATGGTCTAGGATACATCCGAATTAGCCGTGGCCGGTGAGGCGACAGGAGAATTCGAAGCCTTACCGGTAAAAGTCTTGCCAAAGACCAGGTCCTTGTTAGGAGTGAGCTCCTTGGGAGTCTGGGTCTTGGTCACTGTCAGCTTGGAGGCATCCAAACTAGCCAATTGAGCGGCCGCGGTGGCACTGAAATTCCTCTGCCATAGCCGGCTGGCGGCGGTGGTCTGGGAGGACAAGATCCGGGGCATTGCCAGGCCGGTAAGGGCCGTTCGGCGAGTCAATTGCTGAAGGGACTTCATGGCAGGAAATCAGGTCACCAAATGGAAGATTGTGAGAAGATCAAGATGCCGCACGGGGGTTTTAAATCGCCAATATGACTCCGCACGCAACAATCTTTCGGAGCTCTGGACCAACTCCGATCGTGCCAACCAGAGCCGGCACAAGCTCACCGCCCACTCAAATGAGTCAAATCGGGCCCGATCTCGCCAATCATCGCGTTGCAGATTGTATGAAGAGACCCGCCGACTTCGGATGGAGCTGGGGCACCCTCAGGTCTGTGGTTGAGTCAAAAGCTCGGCTGATAGTGAGATTCTGCTATTTTTCCTTTTTTATATTAGTTGATGTTCCGACGCAAAGCGCGGGGTGAGTCACATGATTAATTAAAGCTCCCACGCACGTGATCGTCGTGATAGGAACACTGTTAGATGTTATCATTGACCGTTCGGCTTCCGCATTGAAGTGATTCGACGAATCGATTGATTTGAGGTACAAGAAGCGCATGCACTAGGCTTGGGTTGCTATCCGTCGCCAACCCTTGTCAGTTCCCGGCACTCAATTGTTTCACCAAAGCCATGCCTATCATCACCCTGAAAGCGCTGTGAAACGAATGCCCGTTGTCGGATACTGTCCCACTTCTCATGACTGAGTCACCTTCTAAACAGTGACGCCAACATGTTTACTTCAGCTTTGAAGTCGTTCAACTCCAACATCTCCGCCAATTATCAGATCGCTACCCACCCTACTGTCTACTCGGGCCCCTGGAAAATTCACGATGCCAAAAAGAAGTCGACCGGAACGGCCGCCTCGGTATTCATCTTTGATCGCAAAACCCTCGAACCACGATCGGGAGGCTTCGGATCTCGTTCGGGGTCTTCCTCCAAAAAACTACAAGAAGATGTGATCGAGCGGCTCAAGCGCGAGGCCAGCAATCTGGCCCGTTTGCGACACCCGTCCATTCTCCAAGTGCTGGAACCTGTGGAAGAAACTCGTAGTGGCGGTCTTATGTTTGCAACGGAGCCCCTGACTGCATCGCTTTCGGGGCTTCTACTCGAAAAGGGTGACCAAGAAAACGCTCATGGCGCCGATACACGCTCTGGTCGTTACATGGTGGAGGGGGCTGATGGGAGTCGGAGAAGACGTGACTTGGAGATTGATGAACTGGAGATTCAAAAGGGATTGCTGCAGGTCGCAAAGGGTCTGGAATTCCTTCATGAATCTGCAGGTCTGGTGCATGGTAACCTGAACCCGGATGCGATCTACATCAATGCCAAATCGGACTGGAAAATCTCCGGTCTGGGATTTGCAGGGCCACCAGACTCCTCGGAGACCAAGTCCTCTCTCCCACCTTTGGCCGTTTCCGAGGTCCTTTACCAAGATCCAAGGCTTCCCGCTTCGGTGCAGCTGAATATGGACTTCACGTCTCCAGATTTTGCCCTCGACTCCAATGTGTCACCAGCCGCTGATCTCTTCTCCCTCGGTCTAATAATCATTGCTCTCTATAATTCACCCCATGTCTCGCCGATTCAGGCGCATGCCAACTTGTCAACCTACAAGAAGCTCTTGGGCTCCTCTTCTACCACCCCATCCCAAGGCAACAATTTCCTTTGTTCAAGCCCTATTCCTCGGAATGTTCTATCCCAGGTATTGCCCCGACTGATCACACGAAGAGCCGCCCAGCGCATGAATGCACGGGAGTTCCAGCAGTCTCCATATTTCGATAATGTTCTAGTATCCACAATTCAGTTTTTGGAGTCGCTACCGACGAAGAATGCTAGCGAAAAGTCGCAATTTTTGCGTGGGCTTCAGCGAGTGCTGCCTGACTTTCCTGCTTCGGTTTTGGAAAGAAAAGTGCTGGGGGTATTGTTGGATGAGATGAAGGATCGCGACCTTCTTCCACTCATTCTACACAATGTCTTTGGAATTCTTCAGCGCGTTCCCAATGGACGCCGCGCCTTTCCTGAGAAGATCATTCCTCGCTTAAAGGAAGTATTCGGGACGGTACCAGGGAAAACAGTCTCGCAGGAGCGCGACTCCAAGAAGGATGCAGGCCTTATGGTTGTGTTGGAGAATATGAAACTTGTTGCGGAGAACTGCTCGGGTCTGGAGTTCAAAGATGGTGAGTGAATACGCGTCATACACATGAATGCGGAGCTAATAGTCTCGCTTAGATATCTTACCTCTGATCAAGCTAGGGCTTGACTCACCTACCCATTCCGTGGTGGATGCTTCTATTAAGAGCTTACCTGTCTTTCTTCCCGTACTCGACTTCAGCACCGTGAAAAATGAAGTTTTTCCCCCAATCGCCAGTACGTTCAGCCGCACCAGCAGCCTTGCCATCAAGGTCCGCGGTTTGGAGGCGTTTGTCGTACTCTGCGGAGGATCTCTCAACGAGTCTAGTCTTGAGGACGATCTTTCTGGCACGGTGCAACCGAACAAACCTACCAAAGCATCTATTCTGGACAAATACACCATTCAAGAGAAACTTGTCCCATCTCTCAAGGCAATCAAGACGAAAGAACCTTCAGTGATGGTAGCAGCATTAAAGGTCTTCCGTGAGGTGGGAAAGGTTGCAGACAGTGACTTCATTGCCCTCGAAGTGCTTCCAGTCCTTTGGAGTTTCAGCCTTGGCCCTCTCCTGAACCTTAATCAGTTCAATGATTTTATGGATTTGATCAAATCGCTTTCCGCCAAGATTGAGAAAGAACAGACGAGAAAATTACAGGAACTTTCGTCTGGTGGCGATTCAACTGGATTCCAAAACGGATCCAGCAGTTTCTCCCAGTCGGCGACGGATCTCACCTCTTCGGACACGGACACTGCAAGAAATAACTTCGAGCGCCTCGTACTTGGGAAGAGCACGACTCCCTCGGCTAGCAATGGTATGGACATGTGGGGTAGCATTGAAACAGAAGCATCTGCGTCCAAACAGACTACAACGTCGCCTGCGTTCTCGTGGTCTACAAACAACGGAACGACGCTAAAGCCAGCAAACTCGTCCGGTCAGCTTGGCTTCCGTTCCATTACTCCCGACCAAAAGCTGAGTTCTTTCCCATCTCTCGCGCCTGCCAGGCAGCCATCGCCTGCAGCGCCGGCTTTCCCTACCATGCATTCTATGCAGCCTATGCAACCATCATCACCAACTTGGGGCACTCAAGTTCAAGGGGGGACTCGAGCAGGCTCACTAGCTTCGCTTTCTGGAATGGCTGCTAGTACGCCAGCTCCCCAGCAGGCCAATTACTCAGCCTTCTCAATTCCGCCTCCGCCAGGAGGGATGAACTCGAATAATGCCATGAGATCTCCGTTGGGCATGAACACAACTACAACAACGTTCCCAACTCAGCCCCAGACCCAGTATCAACCGCCAGCACAGAAACAGGGGTTGGATAAATATGAGAGCTTGATATGAAGGATCATATACTTTCTATCTACTGTTCCTGGTTGCTACTTTACAGGAAAGGTATCCCGGTATATGATGGCCGAGTGAAACTCATTACCATGTAATTAGAATTTATGAACCTCCCGTATGATTAGCGTCGAGGTCGCAGTCAAGACCCAAACGGGGGTCTTTGTTAACTCCATGTCTGATGAAGCATGACCTACATATGTTGGCCACGAAATGTACAGATATCCCGCTTTAGATGCAGTAGTCTGAGGTATCAAGTAGGTGAATATATTGCCCTCTTCCATAGTATTACGTCCACAGGCTTGAAGCTTGAAGCGAAACGAAACAAAAGACCTAATACGTGACTACCGAACCATTTCACTCTGACCAACCTAGGTGTCTGCCTTTTCAACCTTGGAAACCATGGGGTTTTGTAACCTTGGATCCCTGTAAGGTTTACGTGAATTATAGTTACTGCATTACAGGATTATGTACATTTCAGGCCAGACACTGTATATATCCATGGATGAATACGAATACAATCAATTCAGAGTGGATATTACGTTGTACATTTTTTTATCGTAGAGTGGGTGCAAAGGTGGAGACTATCCATGATTGGTAGACATTCTTTCCCATATGTCATAGCTACCTCGACCTTTAACTCCCCATATGTACTCGCTGCGTCGCATTGCGCCGCGTTTATCGCTTAATCGGAACTCCGGTTTACCTCCGCTACCCCTCAATCGTGCTACTCACCGATTGTTTGTTCCCCACACCAAACCTTTCTCTACCTCACACCTCTCTCAAGCGCCCACCATGGAAGATAATGTCAAGCAGCACTATCTGGCTGACTCGCCTCCCTCAGTGGTCAGACTGGAAATCAAGTCTCACTTTGATGCCCTTCATGATGAATCCCTCAGAAAATATGCTCACTATATGAGCCGGTATGCCCCACCAGTGCGCGAACCTGAAAGTCGCTGAATGAAGCTAACTTCGGGATACTATCGCACAGAGCGGCATTCGAAGGTACTCGAGTTACATTGCGCCAGGTTTCCCCAGAGTCCGAACCTATCTACGATCTCATTCTCTCCCTCCACCATGCGTGCGATGGTGACTGGAACAACTTGGCCCAGAAGACCCAAGTTAGCGATGAACATCTCCGTTTCTTCCTTGAATATGCGGCTCAGTTCTTGGGTAACTGCGGTAATTACAAGGGATTTGGGGACTCCAAGTTCATTCCCCGTCTGCCACTCTCTGCTCTGGAGGCGCTGGCATCCATCACACCTGAAACCAAGGCGGCCTTCCAAAAAGCGAACACCACTGGAGGGGGCATCTACGAGACTAGTGAGCAGTCGATGATGCATCTTGGTTACCCCACGAGTGGGCACATGACCACATATTATCCTGACTCCCCCACCATCACCAAGGAGGAGATTACCACTATTGGTAATTTGATGGAGAAGAAGGGCCTGGCTTTGGAGAATACTAGAATTCGGAAGACGGCATCGGGTAATTTCGAGCTTCTTATTGCATCTGGGATTTCCAACCCCCCAGTGAGAGATCGCGACCTCGGAGAACTGAACACCTTTGAGCTGGATGGGAGCTTGAAGGGCAAAATAGTGCACCTTGTGTTTGGGGATCATCTGGAGGAGATGGCCAAGATTTCCCACTCGATCAAACAGGCAGAGCGCAACGCGGCGAACGATAACCAGAGGCAGATGCTGGAGTCATATGCCCGCACATTCGGTACGGGATCTATTGAGGCTTTCAAGGAGAGCCAGCGTATCTGGGTGAAAGATCAGAAGCCTGTTTTGGAGACAAACCTGGGCTTCGTGGAGACCTACCGTGACCCTCATGGAGTGCGTGGAGAATGGGAAGGCTTGATCGCATTGGTAAGACTGACAATATCTGGTTTGACGTGACTTACTGACGCTGCTAGGTCAACATGGAACGAACTCGGGCATTCGGTGCGCTGGTAGACAGTGCCGAGAGCATGATCCCCAAATTACCGTGGGGTACGGACTTTGAGAAGGACAAGTTTCTCAGCCCGGATTTCACTTCACTCGAGGTTCTGAGCTTCGCTGGTTCGGGAATCCCGGCCGGTATCAATCTGCCCAACTACGATGATATCCGTCAAACCCTGGGCTTTAAGAACGTGTCTCTGGGCAATGTTCTTAGTGCCAAGGCCCCTAATGAGCCCATTCCATTCGTTGCCGAGGTGGACCAGGAGGTTTACCGCCGCTGCCGTGATCCTGCTTTTGAGGTTCAAGTCGGTATTCATGAACTGCTCGGTCACGGAACTGGCAAGCTTTTGCAAGAAACGGCCCCTGGTGAATACAACTTTGATGTGTCTAACCCTCCAATCAGCCCTGTGACAAACAAGCCTGTGACGAGCTGGTACAAGCCCGGTCAAACCTGGAGCTCAGTGTTCGGGGCCATTGCTGGATCATATGAAGAATGCCGTGCTGAGTGTGTGGCCATGGTGCTGGGATGTGACTTTGAAATCCTGAAGATATTTGGCTTTGGCAATGGCGTCGAAGATATGAGCAATGAAGCTGGTGACGTTCTCTTCGCCGCATACCTTCAAATGGCTCGCGCCGGTCTGGTTGCACTGGAGTTCTGGGACCCCAAGACTAAAAAATGGGGCCAGGCTCATATGCAAGCCCGGTACAGTATCCTCCGCACTTTCCTCGCCGCGGGCGATGACTTTGTCAAGCTGTCGTACACCAAGGGTGATCTGTCGGACCTGGAGATCCGTCTAGATCGGTCCAAGATCTTGACTCACGGACGCCCTGCCGTGGAGAAGTACTTGCAGAAACTTCACATTTACAAGAGCACTGCGGATGTTGAAGCAGGCAAAGCCTTGTATGATGACATCACATCTGTGGATAGCTGGTGGGGAACACAGGTACGTGAGGTTGTCATGAAGAACAAGGTTCCTCGAAAGGTCTTCGTGCAAGCGAACACTATCCTGGAGGGAGACAAGGTTACACTGAAGGAGTATGAGCCGACTCTCGAAGGCCTGATTCAGAGCTATGTTGACCGCAAGGTCTAAGTCTGAAGATCAGAAATAAACAATCCTCGTAGGCCAGTGTCAAAATTACAAGAATAGTATATTATTTCTAGTCTATTATACTGGAAAACGATAAGACTAATTAGCCATGAGGCTGACAGCTCCTTTATGTTCAGAGATACATATGTCAATAAAGCTGCACAACAGGTGTACACTCAATGTATTAGTGGCGATCAAATACATGCGGGCGACTTACCGCCAGATATGATCGACTTGCACCTAAGCGCCCTCCCCATTCTTCCCTTCTCTCCTCCTCCCCCCATCGCCCCAAGCAACATCCGATTCACCCGCTTAGTCGTCATTGGAATCTATTTGATGGTTTGATAATTTACTTATATAAGACCACAACTGAAAGTCCTGGTGGATCTCTCCACCATCCCGCCTCCTGATCGACATACAAACGGACCCTTTGGGGTTATAAGTCTGGAGCCCATCAGATCGACCGCCTCGCTGCGATTGGATCTGATCCCTCTGCACTAGCACCGTGTCGGAAGAAACACCCTCAGGGCATTCATCAATCACGGCGCCAATACATCCCCCGAACGACTCCCTCGAGGTGGACGACTATTACAGCGCACCCCCGCCGCACTCCCCTTCTGAAGCGTCTGCTAGTTCCTCCGTCAGCCCGCCGCCCTTTTCCTCACTTGACTTCGCTTTCGACGCCAATCAGCCCAAGGTCACCGAGTCTGGTCCTGCATCCCTCCAAGCCTTTGCGCCGCCGCCCGTTGAAGAGCCTCTCGATTCGGCTCCTTCGTCATCAGTTGTCGCAGACACCAAAGCAAGCTTCTCAGAACCCAAGGGTGACGGGCCGGGGAAAAATTCCGACGACGGTGAACCGCCGCCGCCATACACCGAAGGCTACAGCCCACTTGAGTCATTTACCTACGTGATGGCTGCAGCTGGAGGTGCCTCGAGCATCATTACCCAGGTTCAACAGACGGGTGGACCACCGATCAATACACTGGGAGGTACGAGTGCAACTTGGTAGATCCCTGAAAAGTTGTATAGCGCTGACATGTTCTGCGCGCTTAGATATTGGCGGCGATGAGCATATCGTTCTCGACCTCCGGTAAGAGCTTTCGCTTCCAAGTGAATGGTCATTTCGATGCTGACAGTGACCAAGGGGTACCCGGTTTACACTATCCCGAGATGAATTGTTGACCTTGCCGGAATTCGTTCTTCTCTCTCTTTTTCCCAACGGTCTTCTCCCCGATGGACATATGGGCGGTTTCCATGAAGGCGACATTTATCCAGTTGACGTAAGTCACAGCTTTACCATGGTCTTTTAGTTGGACGCCCAACCTAACTTCTCCAGTATGATCCTGCATCACTTCAGTACATGCTTGATTTCTTCCGCTCTGTTGCTCAATCCATTCCTTCCTCGCTGCCTTCGGGATCGACATCTCCAGAGTTGGAAGTGCCGGATGTAATGCAAAATTCCGCGCGTGACATGCTCCAGGATCGAGCCGGTATCATCGTCCTCCGTGAAGATCTTGACTTTTACGTGATTCCGCCAAAGCCAGATATTGGGCACGAGGAGATGCTCGAAGTCAAGCGGGCCGCTGGCCGAGCCCTGTTGAAGCAGGACGGCATTTTCTCTGGACTGCGCAAGAGCGAGGAGTTAGGATCTACTGAGCAGCACTTGATCGAAATGTTGACTGCCGGGTAAGTTCGCTCATAATGTATCGCTTTTTCCACTGTAACATCTATCTAATCTTCATAACAGTGGATTTGATCGCGAAGATCAGTGGGGTCACCGAGCTCCGGAACCAAACAAGGCCGTCATCTGCAGCCTTGCTTTGGCCAAGCTTCGCACTGATATCCGGGGCGACCTTTCAAACAACAATGCCGTCGGAATGGCCCAGAAGCTTCTGCTCTTCTGGAGAAAGCCCGCTCGTCGGTGCTGGTGGGAGGGTGTCGATCTGGATAACGTTGAAGGCGTTGATGGGCAAGTCAAAGTGTGGATTCGACGGGTCTGGACTCTTGAAATGGTAAGAACGGCACCTCCATGAGAAGTATCTTGATTCTTCAGCTAACGTATTTCCGCAGAGTGTCATTGGACTCCGTTGATTATCCTCAGTTTGTTCTCTCTGCATCTGTACCTATACCCAGATCACCCTAGCTTCCCATGTTGATCTTTGTTATCTCTGTTGCTGCATTACTGTTATCTTGAGTCTCTGTTCTTTATTTTCCATTCATCCTCTCCAATGGCTTAACCCTGTGCCCTTTGGTCGGTTTCTTTTCTTTTCGACAGCAGGGCTGGCGTACTTGCGCAATTTGGCGTCTTTTTGCAACCTCTCCTGGTATATTCTCTATATTCATTGGACATGCCCCAGGACACGGCCCGTTTCTAGGGTGACATTGGACATACAATACAATTGGTCTTTATATTCTACCATCAGTTTATTTCACATATTCCAAGAATAATAGTCAGAGAACATTGAAGCTTGGTTGTGCTTATGTATAATCCAGTAGTTCATAGTTGATTGATGCTAGAAGCTAGAAGCTAGGGGCTTGGCATCACGTGATGATGGAATGGGCTTTGCTCGATCGGGGAAAACGCGACAGCGCAAAAGCATCCCATTACTCTGAACCCAATTTCATCTGGTTTCTAAGCCATTTTTGCTGTTTGAGACCTATTCAGATCTTAAATTAGCTATTTCTTCTACTCTATCCTCTACTGTCTCATCTTTTCCATCGGTTGTGATCAATCCTCGTTGGCGGCATTGACTGACGCGAAGTCTTGCGATTCGAAATTCCCCGCGAAGGGGCATGTATTTGTCGAAATAGATCGCCAACATGTCCCCTCTTAGAGGATATATCACTACATATCCACCACGCGTTCGGCAGTATGGAAATGCGCTCCTCACACCTGTCTACCCAGTGCAAACTGGTCCAACACCACGAACGACGAAGCGCGGCACCACCGCGATCAATTACGCTGAAGACGGATTCGATGATGATGACTTCGATGAAAGTGATGGGCCTCGGCGACCAACAGGGTTGAGAAGCCTGCGTCGTGAGGAATCATCAGGTGGTATTATGTCTATGCCAGAAAAGTTGGGCAAGGAAGCGCATGCGCCAGTGGAAGTTCAGGGTGTATTTCGAGAATGGATGATCAAGAGGATGCTCAGGCCAGCGTACGTATCTCTCACTCTTCACTCCTATTCCTCCTGTTTCTGTATTCGGTCACTTGAAGTGATTTCGTACCCTTCTTCCCTTCTGTTTATTGCGCACTTCCCTCTCCGTCACGATGTCCGCATCCTGGGGGAATGAACCGTGGACGCGAGACACTAAGCATCCAGTTTTTATTAACTTGCGTGATATTAGATGTGCCGAGCAACTTCAAATCCAAGCACAGCTTCCTATGACACTTGTTCCAATCCGCATTGATGTGGAAGTCGGTGGACACCAACCCCTGGAACCATTCCCCCTCCCTCGCGGTGTCATGGATCCTAGTATCAACCCGACACTTCCTGCATACCGTAGGCCTGATCACCTTCCTCCGTTCCGAATCAAGGATACTTTCCTTTGGAACCTTCATGAAGCTCTAGCCACCCCAGAGGAGTTTGCCATTGGCTTTGTGCGCGATCTCGATCTTCCCAATCCGCAGGCAACGACAATGACCATTAGCAATCAGATCAGACAGCAGTTGGAGGAGTACGCAGGTGTGGCATTGCATCCTTTGTTCCAAAGTTCTCAAATTCCCCCACCAAGTGTACCTCCACAGACTGAGGCCTCAAGAGATACATCCATGACTCCAGCTGCCACAAATATTGCAACCCCCGATAATCGGTCCAACGGCGCAACAGTCACTGTGACCAAAGAGGCCCTGGTCAACGACAGTCTTCTCAACCCAGATGATGCCTACCGGTGCCTGATAAATCTCAATATTAATCTTCAAAACAAGCTCTACACTGATCGATTTGAGTGGTCACTACTCCATTCTCCTGGAATGGCTGAAGAATTTGCGAAAATCACCTGTGCCGATCTACATCTCAATGGTGAATGGGTAAGTGCCATTGCGCACGGCATTTACGAGGCGGTGTTGAAACTGAAGAAGGAGGTTTGCGAAAGCGGTGGCCTCGTTAGCGGGATCAATGGTTACGGAAATGAGATCGACAACCAAGCCGCAAATGGCGTTGAAGCTGGCTGGCGATACGACCCCGAGACTCTGGGTGATGAGTGGGAGCCCAAGGTGGAAACCCTGTCGAAAGACGAAATTGAGAGGCGAGAAGGAGATCGAGAACGGCAAATCCGGCGTCTGCGGCGAGAAACAGCCCGATTCTCTTCTACAACAGGTATCACCCCAGACGCTTCTCGACAGAGCAGTGGGTACTTCGATATCGACAGTGAGACACCACTCGGCAGGGGAGAGCGAAATAAGCGTAAGCGTCGATTCCGCAGTCTTAGTCCCTTGGGCCGAGGAGGCACTCCTGGTGGCCGGGGCACTCCTGATACAGGCTCAGGAGCTGGTTATGGTGGAGGTGGCGGTACACTTTCTGAATGGTATGCAATCCTGAGACCCGGTATATTGAAATGGATGCTGACGCGTTCAATTTTGGTTTTAGGGAACGGCAAAGCTGGCGCTGCAGCAATTGTATGGTCTGGGGTGCAGCTGTTTGGGCTGTGCGAGACGGGCCAGATGGTCCTCGGGTAGGTGATTCCTGAACTTTTTAATTGACTTCGTACTGCATCTAACTATGTCTTTTAGACTCTCTGCCATAACTGCGGCTTCCTATACGAGCGAGACAAAATCGCACCGGAATGGTCAAAAGATCTCCACCGTCATGATATTCCCGTTGGCCGCTTTGGCTAGATATGCTGTCAATTTCTTTCACCATAATCTCACAATGTACCACCTGGCCCGCAAATGTTTACACCCATCCTACCTGTGAACTCTTTTTCGACAACCTATTCCCTAGCTCCACATTCACCACTTATCTTTTATTTCGTCTCGCGGTCTTCATACAGCAAGACATTATGCAGGTTTGGTTACATTGCAGCAAGGCTGCTCAAAGAAACGATCAATGGATATGAGATCATCCCGGTGGTTTTCAGTCTCGAAAGCTGCTCATCGAAGACTATATTTGTTCTTCCCTGGGAATTCTAGTTGATGTAATCTATCACTCTCTGGACTTGTTCAGGGACTCAACTTTCATCGTTTGCTTTTCTTTCTTTCTCTTTCTCCTCGGCTTGGTGCTGTTGAAAGGATACATGGACAGGCGTGGAGATGGTGCCTTTTATTTCTTAGTTAATGTACGAATATGGATGGGCTGCTTCCTTTCTCATCACGATCACTATAGTAGTACAATGCCTACTAGGATTATAGTTGACGTAAACTTTGACTCTATACTCTGTACTAAAAATCATGGAGAAGCGTGGGGACAAACGTGACTTGCTGAGTCAGTCAGATAAGAGATAAGCCGGAGGTTGTTGTGGCCTTCAACCCGCAAGCTCACTCGTACCAGCTCCTCCATCTCTTAATACTCCTCTTACAGCTTCGACAAAATGGTGAGCTCTACTCGAAGCTAATTCGCATATTCCTCTTTGTACTAATTTGTTATGATCCAGGCGGCCGCCCAGGTAATTTCGAATTCTGGGCATGAAGACATGATTGTACGTACCGTGTCCAGGCCGACGGGGCCAATTGCGCTCTTCAGCTCCCACATGACAGTATAAAGTTTATTTGACTGATTATTGGGCCTCAATTACAGCACGATGCTGGTCTGGATTACTATGGCCGCAGGTTGGCGACTTGCTCGTCGGATAAAACGATAAAGATCTTTGAGATTGAGGGGGAGTCGCACCGCTTGGTCGAGACCCTTAAGGGGTGAGAGCCTATTCTGGAATCGTGAAGATATATCAAGCATAGTTACTAACCCGACTTTGATCTCACCAGCCATGAAGGTGCAGTCTGGTGTGTTGCTTGGGTGGGTAGAAATGCTTTCCCCTCATCATTTCGCGCAATTCAACTAACTACGTTCTACACCCAGGCACACCCCAAATTCGGCACAATCCTGGCCTCCTCTTCGTACGATGGAAAGGTTCTGATTTGGCGAGAGCAGCCTCAGAATGCCACCTCCCCCGCTGGTGGAAGCACATGGACTAAGGTCTTCGATTTCTCTCTTCACACCGCTTCTGTCAACATGGTATCCTGGGCTCCTCATGAGAGCGGCTGTCTCCTTGCCTGCGCTTCTTCCGACGGTCATGCGAGCGTTCTTGAGTTCCGCGACAACAACTGGACCCACCAGACTTTCCATGCTCACGGGATGGGCGTGAACTCCATCAGCTGGGCCCCCGCAGCTTTTGCCGGTAGCTTGATCAGCTCCAACCCAGGACCGGGCCAACAGAGACGATTCGTCACTGGAGGAAGCGACAACCTGGTTAAGATCTGGGACTATAGGTACGTACATGGTGTTTACCTCTTTCTCTATTTCTTTTCCCTTGGTCATAATATGCATGCGTTGAGGGTTTATGCTAACAAGTGCTATCTCAGCCCTGAGTCCAAAACTTACAACACCACCCAAACCTTGGAGGGCCATTCAGACTGGGTTCGTGATGTGGCTTGGTCACCAAGCATTTTGTCCAAGTCCTACATCGCTTCCGCTTCGCAAGATAAGACCGTTCGTATCTGGACCTCTGACGCCTCCAACCCTGGTCAGTGGACCAGCCAAACCCTTGAATTCGATACCGTGCTGTGGCGTGTCAGCTGGAGCCTCAGCGGCAACATCTTGGCCGTTAGTGGCGGTGACAATAAGGTTAGCTTGTGGAAGGAGAACCTCAAGGGCCAGTGGGAGAAGGTCAAGGACATTGAAGAGTAGTTAATTTCCTGTCTCGTATCATTTATTCCCTTCGTCACATAAATTGTGTCGAGATTTGCTTATTTTCTTTTTTTTCAACCTTGGATCCACCTAGATGATCTTCCAGTGCGAAACACTATCAAGCAACCATCTTGTCTCCAGCAGACTTCTCATTCAAACGAGAGGACAGAAAACAAAAACAATAAAGAGCATAAAAAATATGGCAAAGAATAACATGCACGCCACGTAAATGCAGTCTTGATATGGAGACGCACTCATCTCACACATCCCAGAAAATAAATGGGCCCTTGCCTGAAGTGTTCTTCATGTCAACCCACCATCCCAGCATAAGCCTTCCTCCTGGGATGATGACAGCCTCGTATCCGTGGACCCAGCGAGACGACGCCGAGGACCAACTCGATTGCTCGATGCCTTCGGTCTTTTCACAGATCGCAAAGCAAATTCGAGACCAACCAGGAAGCTCACCATATTCTCTTTCCATTGGCTCAACAAAGCCAAAAATGGGGTTGGCGGCATCACGGCTTGCACTAAGCGTATTCTGGTAGCCACGGAAGTACAGTCGCTTGATATCGGGGCTTCCACATCGGGGGATAAGCTCTTCGCATTCCGCAGGCCATAGGGGCTCATATGTCTGCATTTCAATCTCGAGAGACTAAAACGCATTAGATCTATATTCCATTTTGAGTTGAGGGTACCAATCTGGAATACTTACTAGAGTATCAACTTGCTCCCAGTGTGAGTCTAGGTCTGCACATGTCTGTCGGCGTTCATCTCGGAACGAAATTGGCAGTGGGTGAAGGCAAGCTGTGATTCAAGGATTGTCAGATCAGTGAGGTGTTGTGTCTGATGTTTGAGACTTACAGTAGTAGCCAACCCAGGAGTTGCTCAGGTCTGTGGCATTGGATCCGTTTGTCTTTCGGATCTTGGGCTTGAGGTCATAGGCCAGGCTGGAGAAAGAGTTGTAGAAGGTCCCTTCTACGGGGCTAAGAAGATGTCTCGCCCAGAAGCTGCGCATTTCCATCAATCCGAGAATATCCAACTGACCATGTTGAATGAAGGGTTCATTTAACTCTCGGAAGTAACCTGAGAAAGCATATACAGAGGCGATGTTGTAATCGTCACGGTAGCCAGGTGGAGAGACCGCTGGATCGAGCGCAAGGGCAGTCAGGCACTAGACAACAGTAACAGTGATCAGCATGTAAAATGTTCTTCTTTGCTTTTCCTTTTGAACAGTAATAGTAACTGACCAGCTGAATGGTGTACATGAAACGCCAGATCCCCTTCATCTTGTTCTTGGTCTTAGGTCTGCTTAGGAATTTGGTGCGACAAACTGCCTCTCGGATTTGTTCATAGGTCTTAGACGTAGCGCCCACTGGCAAAGGCAGAGTCAATGTCTCGTGCAGCATAGTTTGGATGACCTCAAGCCAAAACTTCATCTGTTCATAGCTGCATCGTCCGAGGTCGATCTTTGGTGAGAGCACAATTGAACGACTCTGATATTCCATCATCACTTCTTGAGGAGCTCGTCCCTGGGGCATGTCGTACTTTTGTTCAAAGCGAGTCCGCCAGAATGATGCATTCGAGCCCTCAGGGCCCAGTATTCTGGCTTTGGTCTCTTTGCAAGTCAAAGCAAGTTTGACGATGTCCCAGTCGCTAGGCAGGAGAGTTGCGATATTTTGGAGGATCTTAAAAAGTCAGTCATTGATCTCTGTTCTTGAAGTATATCAATGTTGTCTCACCTCATTTGGAAGCTCGAGCAGAGAGCTCCTCGTCCTTTGGAAGTCTTTTGAGACTTTCCCATGCTCCATTATTGAGTCTTCGCCGTTTTCCATGATTGCTCGAAGTGCCGTATATACTTGAGGGTGGTCGTATACAGTGCTGGAAGATGGATCGGAATGAGCCAGGCTCAATCCGAAAAACTGCCAGTAATTCCTTTTGTGCGACATGATTCATATGTGATATGTATGGGCTATGCAAAGAAGAAAAAGTAGGGAAATAGAGAAACGAGGGAGAGTTGGTGGAGTTCGGAGATGCAGTTTTGGGAGGTGAAGAATGGAGGAGTGAGAGGAACAAAAGATCATTTTATATTGTAATCACCACTCAACCCCCTCGTCGTAGACTCTCTTTCACACCCCAACCATTGGCCAATAGACCATTGACTTCTTCGAGGCCAAGTCCACTCATCTCCGGATAAATCCTATGTACAGCTACCCATCCTACGGCACATACACCGGCGTAAATGACAAATGTCCATGTTGGAGACATCCATTCCATCATAGGCAAGAAAGTAAGCCCAACGAAGAAATTAGAGCCCCAGTTCGTGGCCGTAGCAAGACCAGATCCCAAGGACCGCACGTTCAACGGAAACAATTCCGACTGCTGCCATGGCACATTGCCAAGTCCAAATGCATAGGCTGCCGTGTAAACTGTCAAGCAGAACAAGATCAGCAAGGGGTAAATGGTGTGATTCTCGGCATCATCTTGGTGCGATGGAGGCTGAGATCCCCATGCAATATCTATCGAGGAGAAGGAAATGGCGCAGGAACAGAGTGCGAGAACCATAACTGGCATCGAATACAGTAATATGCGACGGCGCCCAATCCTGTCAATGAATGCAAATGCAAGAAGAGTGAAGAGGAAGTTGGTCACGGCAACCGTCAGGGACGTCAACGTCGGCGATGAGAAAGAGAGTGTCTTGAAAATGATCCCCGAGAAGTACATCAAGCTATTGAACCCACATAGCTGTTGAAGGCCCTGGAGCATCATCGCGATTATCAGGGCCCTTCTGTTACCTCCGGTGTAGAACAAGTCCTGTGTCCGCTGCGAAGCATCATGAAGCCACTGCAAGTTGGCGTTGGAGGCTTTACTCCGGTCCATTTCTTCTGTTTCCTGGGTAGCCTCCGCTCTAATACCGCACAGGACTCGATTCACGACCCGATCACACTCGGGACAGTTCTGGTAGATCCGAGTCAGGACCGCCACAGCTTGGGAATCATGCCCCGCCTGAATGAGCCATCTCGGGGTTTCCGGTAGGACCAAAAGCACAGCGAATTGGAGGAATGCTGGTACCGCCCCGAGGCCGACGATCCAACGCCAGCCCCCGCTCTTTTGAGAAAATAACCAACCCACAACATATGCAATCACTTGACCACCAGTAATCAAGAGGCACATGATCGTAACGAGCCGACCTCTTGCATGCGATGGTGCCACTTCTGCGATATATCTGGATTTGGAAAATATATTAGCCTTTTGTTCTTGTCCACGCAGGCGAGGGGTAGACGAACAAGGGAGTGACGGCACTCGCACTGCCAACGGCAAGTCCGACGATACTTCGGCCGACAATCATCCACCATACTCTGCTGGTGAAAGCCTGGGTTACTGCTCCTAACGCAAACAAAATATCGGCGACGAGTATGACCCTCCGACGACCGTATTTATCAGCCAGGACACCCGTGAAGGGACTGGCAACCAATGCAAATAGACTGGTACATGATGTTATAAGACTCTCATCGATTGTGGTCAACGGGCGATTGGATAGATCGGAGCCGATAGTCACGAGGGTGGAGGATATGACGCCGGTACTATTGATCCACAGGATCGTTAATCATCATCAATTTGTAACAGTGAATGGTTGCGACGTACTCGTAGCCAAAAAGAAGGCCGCTGATACCAGCTGAGAACGTCAAGATCCATATGAACCATCCCTCCGAATAGCTTAGATCGGGGTCCAGAGCCTCGTCATCAGCATCGCGGAAGTCAGGAGAGGCGTCGGTGGGGGCAAGTAGTGGAGCATCTGGACCCGAGGTATCCAGCTCCTCCCTTGAAGTCATATTATGTGGCTCTTCGCGTAGAATGTCATTGACCTGGAGCTCGGATTGTCGGGGAGGAGGTGGAGGAAGAGAGAAAGATCCGGGGTTCCTGCGCGATAAGTCTGCGATAACGAGTAGACCCACTATAGTTGATCATCATTTGTTCTACTGTCTATGCATGCCGACCACTATCCCAGGTATTGGGTTCATAAATTATATAAGAACATAGGTAATCGTTTTTATTTCATTGACATGGTGGAATCGATCTAACATTAAGCTTAGTGCTTAGCCACAACACCAGCCTCATCGGCCTGTGCGGTGATCATCTTCTTGTATGCCTTCACATCGCCGTCGAACTTGTGAACAGTTCCCTTATCACAGACCCAGAGACTCTTGCAGACATTCTGCAACATCGTCACGTCGTGGGAAACCATCACCACACCACCCTCGAATCGCTGGAGCGCGTCAGAAAGCGCATCCATACCTTCAATATCCAAATGGTTGGAAGGCTCGTCAAGAACAAGAATGTGGGGGTTAGTCAGAGACAAGCACGCGAAGGCGACACGAGACTTCTGACCTCCAGACAGAAGCTCCATTCGCTGAAGACCAGTCATACCGGTGATACCGAAGCTATGCGAGCAGATTAATAAGAGACGTCCAGTATGTTGTCGTGTTCGGGGTTAAAACTTACGCTCCCAAGTGTCTTCGGTACTCCTCGTCAGACTTGCCGGGGTATGTTTTGGCCATGAAGCTCACTGCACTGGAGTTCATGTCGAGAGCATCAACGTGGTGTTGGGCGAAGAACCCAATGCGCAGTCTCGAGTGCGCAGAGATCAATCCCTTGGTTGGCTGGAGTTGATTGGTGAGCAGTTTGAGCACCGTAGTCTTACCAGCACCGTTCGGTCCAACAATTCCAATACGCGAATCAAGCTGGACATCAAGTTCAACATCCTTGAGGAGGGGTCTTTCTGGGGTGTAGCCGAAGCAAACATCCGACATTTGGACAATAGGGGGTGAGAGTTTCTCGACCTCGGGGAATTGGAAGTGCACAACATATTCGCTCTCGGGTGCTTCAAGAGCTGGCATACGCTCGAGCTTCTTGATTCTGGACTGGGCTTCCGACGATTTGGCGGCATTGTATCGGAATTTGTCGATGAAAGCTGATTGCAAAGCGTTAGCATTGTACAAATATTCAAACTCCAGAGGCTCTTACCTTGCAAATGAGCCCGCTCCGCCATTTGTTTCTCATATTCACGCTTGGCAGTCTTTCTTCGCTCTTCCTTTGTGGCGTAGAACGATTCTGTATCATGTATTAGCGATGTGATGCAGTCTGGTTTCTAATTGAGACCCACCGAAGTTGGCGCCCTTGTAGTAATCCAATCTCTCTGAGTGTTGATGGACAATATCTGTGGCGACTTCGTTCAAAAACGCTCTGTCGTGAGAAACGACTAGCACCGTGCTAGGGTAACCTTGAAGGTAGTTAGACAAGAAAGTAATAGATGGAACATCCAACATGTTCGACGGTTCTATGAAAATGTTAGCGATATGGATCGTCTGCGCGCGCTACTTTAAGGGCATACCGTCAAGAAGCAATAGATCCGGTTCGCAGAATAGGGCTCGAGCCAGCGCAAGACGCATTCTCCAACCTCCGGAGAAAGTCTTGGTCGCGAATTGCTGCCTTTCTTGGGAGAAACCAAGACCAGCCAAGATGCTTGCTGCTCGAGACTCTGCCTTATCAGATTCCATCTCAGAGAGCTTGGAGTAAATATCACTCAAGGTGATGTCTAGGCCCTCTCGTTCTTGATCTAACCTGGCAGCATCCTTAGAAGTGTCTGCCATGGAGGATCGTTCATCTTCGATAGCTGACAGCTGCTTTGTGATTTTCTACCGAGTTGCTGTTTAGTAAACTGTTACAGAACGACCTCATTGGGAAACGACTCACATCTTGTTCAGCCAGCAGATGTTTCCGCCACACGTCTGCGTCCAACACTGCCTGGAGTGCTGGGGTATCGTCACCCGTGATCTTGAAATAACCGTCAGTATCGAGAAACTAGGCCAGTTGGGGCATATGAGGATTTACCTCTTGTTCAACATGGAGAATCGAGATATGGCTGGGAACGGCGACTTCTCTGCGACTCAGGGCTCGTAAGAGAGTAGACTTTCCGATACCGTTCTGACCAACCAGACCATATCGTCGACCGAAGGCAAGGGTCAAATTAGCGTCCGTCAGAATGCGTAGACCACCAATGGTGATGTCGAGGTTGTCCAGCTTAATGTCCTTGCTCTTTGACTGAGAGTCCGAGCCCAATTGTAGCGGGTTGACAGCCATGAAGAATTCTTCATATGACATGGTTTCATCTGGCTGGATTAGGCGCGAAGCCTCGTAGGTGACCGTCTTCATTTGTTTCTTCTCTTGCTTAGCTCTGATCTTGCGCTCAGCCTTCTCCAACTTCTTCTTATCCACACGAGACTCCACTTTGCGGGCATTGGCGGACTCCAAGTCCACATTGGTGCCAGTCAAGCCAAGGGTAGAGGACATGTTCCGCTGCGAGCCGACGTTGATTGTCTGGTCGAGTCTCTTGGCCGCAAAAGGCATTTGCCTACGCTCTGAATTGCCATCGGAGGAGCTCAGAGATGTAATGAATTTTTCCACCAGGTTGGCAATTGCATCGCGATTCTGCGCGGAGAAGTCTCCCGAGGCAGAGACCAGCAGTTCCGTCACTGTTTCGGCGGCTTCCGTGAGTGGCGATGGAGCATTTGCATCCTCCACATAAAGGTTGGAAGCATGTGTCAAGTACCCCTATGGCCGTCATTAGCTTCCCAACAAGAATGTCGAGAGGTCTTCACATCCATACCACAGAGTATTCAGAAATGACATGGTCCAGGCCAGCGATCTTAGCCTGAAGTTCTGCCTCCATGATGAAAGTTCCCTAGGCGACGAAGAGAAGTTCACGAGTTGTGATGAGGCACACACTACCAAGAAGCTCAAGAGATCTGGGGTAACGCTAAACGACCAGAAAGTGGCGTGTTTTTTGAAGCGTTATCGATAACGTCACATGACCCTCTCGTCCACTTTGTAACCATGATGGACAGGACAATACATTATGCAAACTTTAGAAAAAATGATTGATATACTTGAATGACCTTTTGCCAAGTCGCATATTGGCGAAAAGATTATGGGGGTAATATATTGATTCTTTGGCTCCCAGTGGCTGCTGGCTCGGAAATCACGCGAAAAGAGCCCTTGATATCATTCTGCCTGAGAGCTCCAGTGCCATGTTTGAGGATAGACCATTATCAATGTAATACGGAAGTGGTATTCAAAATTAGTTGTTTGCCCCTTTGCCCCTTTTAAACTCGTGTGGTAAACCTGTCGGATACAAAGATAAGCTCTGTCGATAGTTAATTCGTAACATAGCCAACCAACGGTGTTCCGTGTTCTAGAAAATGGGGAACCTCCGAAGTACGTGTAGAGTATACGTAGTTTCTACTCATATATCAATATCAATTCTGATAGTGAAAACCGTATGTTTCCCTTCAAACATCGACTGATGGTCGGACTCCCAGAAACAACCGGATCCGATAGCTAGGACTCGTTTTGGTCGCAGCTGGACAAATACAGGAGTGGAGAGCACTCTGCGGCTCCCCATGCTATCATTGAATCCCGATGCAGCTTCTTTCAAAAGGACCTTGCTATTGAATAATTTGCAAGATTGGTGTTTTATGGATTTGTTTTAGCAAATGGAGGTTCCAATAATTGATTAGGATATCGCCGACCTCCCTTGCATCTTTTCTACCCGAGTTAGCAGTTTGGACTTTGTTCCCGGAGCACTATAATCGCACACAACAATAAGTTGAATACCACATTAGTTAACGATACAAGCTAGGTTGCAGTGTTCGAGATTCCGGATTCCGAATCGTGATATTATCGAGTACGTGCCCACATACCTACTGAGTCACACTTTTCTGTAGACTACGTAGACTACCCAGGAATGTGATCAAGAAGTGATATCCACTGAGCGGCCCTACTTTACCTGGGACTGAACTTATATTTTGGCTCAAATGGGGCGTTATCTCGCATGTTGATTCGAATCCAGCGAGGTAATGTGTATGTTCTTTGACACCCGAGATATTATTTTGACTGAATTGCAATGACTATGCTAATTTACTATATTACTTTGGATGCAATTAGTAAGTGTTCAACCAATTTTGCTGTCAATTTGATGGCTCTTCCTGATAAGCTAAAGGAAAGAGCCGGGGAAAACACTTCGTACTATATGGTGTCATAACTAGAATTTGAGAATGACAGCAGTTTGTGCAGGGGTGACCCCCGTTCTTGGCTGCAGGATGCAGGCCAGACCGACATGACCGGAGTCGACAGTTTTCTTGTCGAGTGGTTATTGGCTGTGCGCATTTGAACTAGAATGGATCACCTGCAGGTGACTGTACCACGTTCATGGGTAAACACGTCAACGAAGCTCTCGGGAGCTTATTAACCAAAACATCAACAAAAGCTGGCCAGGATGAAACCTCAATCCTATGGGGAAATGGCAGGTGTCGGAAGTGCCGATCAATGAGAAATAGGGTTTAGATGAGTTCGATCGGCTCCCGGGTTATCCAGGTTGTCCAGAAGGAAAAAATTCTCTGCAACGCGGCAATACAAGTCCAATGGGAGCTCTAGTGGATAGATTGGCCCTAACTCGGTAGTAAGAACCGACTGTCGCGTTTGACCCACGGCAGCTTCTCCTTTCATTTACAAAGTGGAGGGTATGACGATATGGATCAAAGCTTGCCAGGATTAATCCAGATTACATTTGAGATCCGAACTTTCCCAAGGCCCGTAGCTGTTTTTTTAAAGGGGAGAAACAACGTAAGCGATTCGGAAGAGATCAGCGCTCGAAAGAATGGATCGAGTGGATGTCCGGCTTCGAGAAGGAAAACACGGTGAAACTGGTCAACTTGTTGGCAGCGTATGCCCCGCAACACTGGGCGTTGTCATCCCAGGGTTTTTATGGGGGGCCTTGAGGGGTTGTTTCAGAAACAGGCATTGACACAGCTGGGTAGAACAAGGCCCTGTTTTTGTTTTGTTTTTTTGGTTTGTTTTGTTTTTTTGTTTTTCCTGGGAACCGTTCGTCCAACCGGTGGACACAGATCGGCCGCACTGGGGCCCTTGCGATCGCGCGACTAACGATCCTGGGAAGGCGAGGGGGGCCGACGCGATCTCAGCCAGCCGAAATGAAAGCGATGTGGGGAATACATGGATCGCATGGCCTTTTTTCCTTTCTCGCCGAATTTCCCTTGGTTCACAGCCACTCGCATCCACTCGCGGACTTCTCCGTATCGGTCTGGACACGAGCAAATGCAATGTGAGCCGCAAGGGGTCCGCAATTTCACCGTCAATAAGTCGTGCACTTGTCCGCAGGTTTTTTTTAAATTAATTTTCTTTTGGATTCTGTCAGAGTGGGGGAAGTTGAAGGATTGGAGAAGAGAAGAGGTACAGCATATGCGAGATGAAGATACGTAAAAATAAGATAACTTGAAAAACAAGAATCAACAACGGAATTAAAATATATGATAACATCCATGCCCTTTACGGTATTTTTTTTCTGATTTCTGATTTCCCTTTTGACTACAATACCTCCCTGTATGACAATATTGACTTGCTCCCTAGCGTGACCAATTGGCCCCAGCTGAGTTTAGCGCTAAAATCCCCGTCGTTGTTGTTGTTGACCAAACTCCACACTCGCTCGTCATCGTCCCTGGTCTTTCCTCTTTCTTTGGCCAAGTTTGCGCTATATTCGATTCCACGTTCCTTTCTTCTTGACGGGGGGTTCCTGGCGCAGAATCTACCCTGGAAGTCCTTTGCATCCCTCCTCGCGCAACCATATGGGATGTCACTCACAAGGATTCTCGACCCTGCGGAGCTAAGCTGGAGGGTGTTTGACACTCTTTTCAGTGACCTCTGAGGATGGATCACATATCCACGGTAAGATTTCTCTGGGAGGAATGGTGATTGGAGCTAACGTGTTCACCCAGCTCTGTGCCCTGAGCACCATCGGGATTGCATCCACCGGTCTCGCACTCGGTCGGGTCGAACGAACCAAGCAAAGTGTTTTACGGCGCAAGACTTTGCCTTACGATCAGCCCCTGCCTAAGCTCCCCGAATCTACGCCAGTCGATGTTCGGCCCGAAACATCTCGATCGGGACGACCTAGTCCCGCGGGGGCGGCTTGGACACTCAATGAGAATGAGACCGACAGCGATAGTTTGCGGGGTAATCAATCCCAAGGGCCGGACCTACGAAGAGCATCGCTGTCCTTCGGCGCAGCCAGGTTTCGTCGTCGCGGTCAAACCTTGACCAACCCACCTCTCCGCATTCCAGAAAATGAACCGGCCGAGTCGCACTCTCGGCGGCCTTCCACCGGTTGGTTGCGACGATTGTCAATGGCCTCCTTTCAGAGTGAGAGCCCTTCGACCAACAGTCCTGTAACGCCGTCCTTCAATGGATCTGCGAGCCCTATCTTCCCTCGCCCAAGTAGCCAACGCAGGTCTCCCAACAAACTTGTTAAGCGCACGTCCTCACAACATTCCAATGTACACCCTCTTTTTGTCAACACATCCGTTTCCCCCGCGTCGGGTTTGCGCAGACCAGCCACCAGCTATCAGCGGTCCGATACCATGCGGTTGCAGTCCCCTCTCATTACTGATTTCGAATCACGTTTCTCCGGGGAATACTCGGTCGAATCACCGGCGATCGAGGAATTCGGACTCGATGACCAAAATGACTGGAAGCCATACTTTCTCCCACGATCTGAAGGGTTATCTGGAAAGTTGGCCAGAAAACTGCCCTCTGTGAACCCTGCCAATGTGCGGCGAATAACTTCCGATCAGGACAGCTTACCAGCGTTGGTCCTTGCAACTACTATCACAGCCAAGGTCCCTACTCATCTGGACCATCAAGCTATCCCCACCACACCGGTGATGTTCCGCAATCCATTCCAGACTGAGGCCCATGCGGTTGACCAAATCACTCCTTTACCAACCCCTCCACCGGAGAAAAGGGCTCACAAACACTCTTACTCAATGAATGATGTAGAGCCTAAGAAGATTCTGGTGAACACAGTGACCGCATCTGGTACCCCAATCGTGGAGCGGCCTCGTGGTGGCTCGTTGAAGCGTGTGAAAGGAAGAACGTTTTCCATTCCTCAGTCAGAGCTTTCGAAGCTGGAGAAAACAATCCCAGTATCACCCCCAGCAGCACCGCAACGACGGAATATTACTGATCCCAGTGTCTTTCGGCGGCCACATGCTCTTTCTCCGCCAGCCCTGTCACTATCTAGCTTCGGCAGGGACTCCCAGGTTGGGCCTCGATCGGTGTCGCAAGATTATACGATGGGCCTGCCTCGAAATCGACCGCTAACTTCAGATGCTGTTGCCCTATCAACTTGGCAACATTCCTGTCGACCGGAAGGGAATATGTACTCTTCTTTACGTCGCCGTCCGAAGCGACACTCGATTACAGCATCAGATCCCTCTTCCACAGTCATCGGCTCCGATGACACACGTGTATTCACATCAAGTGATGAATACGAGACCGATATGATGACGGACTATTGGGATTCAATTCGAACGCGCGGGACCAGTGGGGACGGAGTGAAAGGTTTGCGTATCGAGACGATGTTCGACAAGGCAGGGACGCGACTCTCGAATGAGGAAGTCATGACCCTGGAAGATCTTCTCCCACGTGGGTCCTTTGCGTCTCGCATGGAAAGAGATCCGCCACTATTCCCAGGTTCACTTCTTCCCGCGGCCCCTCTCCACATCAACGATGTTGTGTCTCTGTCCGAGGATGAAGAAGAGACGCGCAGCATGATCGGAGCATTTCCTGGTGAAACAAAAGACTCTTCTCACACTCGCCTTGCTATTTCTTTATCAGAAGACAGCCGTTCTGGTCTTCCTGCCATGCTGTCGAGTTCCCCCGTTGAAGAGCTGCACGTGAGCCAGAAGATGAACATTTTCGACTGGTCGGAGCAGTCGCGGACGGATCGTGACATGTCAGACTCCGATGCACGACCAAGGACGGTGCATGGGAAGCAGAATGGTCTCGATCGAGGCAGCCGGGCAGCCTGTCGCAAGGTTCCCTCTGCAATTCACCTTCGGAGCCAAAGTGTGCCCGTGGCACGAGAGGTCGCCCCAAGTGATTCTCGTCAGACATCGGGTAAATTTGGCACCTGGGGTCTGGGTAGCAAAGGCGTCAGTGAGGATTGGGACAGTGATTTTGACTTTGAGGATGACGCCGAGGAGGCTACTCCCAGTCAAGACACCAAGACGACTGTGTCAGAAGGACCTTCTCAGATCATGACAGTTCCACAGGCCATTTTAGAGCGCCAGGCCAGCCTTCGAGGCCAGTTCGGTCAGGTGCAAGAACTTACGCTTTTAGTGGAAGAACTGAAGCGGTTGAGACATCAGGCAGGTGTTTTGGATCTGCTCGGTGGGCCATCGAGTGAACTATGGAAGGAAGCGGAAGGGATTGTCAATTTGGCTACTATCGACGAGGATGAAGACCGCCGTTCACCTCCTGGCTCGCCCTCTTCGCTCACTTTCAGTTTTGATGATTCAGACGATGAAGGTCTGATTGTTTCGTCAAAGCACAACAGTACAGCGTCATGGCAAGGCAGCCCTCCGCGAACAGGCCCCCTTCCCCCTCCACCTTTCAAGCCACCAAGGGCAAGCCACGATAGTTGCTCACGGCAAGAAAGCCAGCTGTATAGCACGCCACTTCGACAATTCTCCAAGAATTCACCCAAATCCAAGTCTGTGCTGGACGTTCTTCAGCCTAGTCAACGTCCCGAGAGCTCAACCCTACCTAGGCTCACTCCTCCCTCGCGCTCTCAGAAGCTTCCGTTTGATACATCCTCTCTACGGGATCTTGTGGTTCGCGCTGGAGTGGTCACTCGTGCCTTGAAGGAAGTAATTCGAAAGGCCGAGGGCGTCGACCCCAACCCGGAAGATGTATTTCCCTCCGATCCTCCATTTCGACGAATCTTCGACCAACCCTCCCATGATGACTTTGCGAGCTTCGAGGCTGAATTGGCCGAGATGCACTGATTGTTTCTCATCTTTCCTATGAAGACCTCAAAACCTTGTCGTTAAGGCTCCATGATGCCCCATACCTATACCCTGATTAATGTTCAACTCCACGGGGCCTAGAGTCGACATGGAAATCCTTCAATTCCGGCGAACTCACGTTTTCATGAGTGCCTCATTCATTCGATTCCTCCAACCCATCAATTCCTTCCCGTTCCCTTCTCTTTACCGTGCTCTCTGAGCAAACGACTTCATCTACTTCCCACTCAGGCACCTTGAAAAGCCATTGCATCTCTCTGTACAACTTTTTTTTCCATGTACATTGCTCTACCATACCTTCTCCTTCCCACTGTGCACGCACTTTCCGGCTGCACACTTGAGCCTGAACCAGCATTCCGAAGGCTACGTCGATTTCTTTTGTTGGTTTGTTTTTCTTTTTACTTCAGCGTCACCGCTCCTTTTTCTTTCACCCTTGTTGCATATTTGCGCAGCTCATACTTCATAATTGCGCTTTAATAATCACGGAGGGTTGTTGATCGAGATGATCTGCATTGTGATGATGTTTTTGAGAACGAAGACCTACCATGAAACCCAATGAGGTTCAATGTCATACTATCTGTACCTGGACTCAAGTCCAGCATCTGGCGTATCTTTACAAATTCCAACCTTGGAAGTCAGGATATAGAGCATCCTTCCTGGATTTTTACTTTTTAAATCATATCCCGCTCAAGTAATCTCCATCTTTAGCCCCATGATGGCTGCGGAGGTACGTACATTTAGATGTCACGAGTAAATTAAAGACATATCCAAAACAGGCTTGCAGATCGGTCTTCAAGTTAATAAGTGGACCATTCCTCCGTGCCTGCCCAGGTGCAAACTTGCGACGTAATCATCGATAGATGTGGGTCACCGCAAACCTTGGAGTTCGCTCTTTGTTTGAATTCCAAGCTTCTGGGACCATAAATATGGGAAATGAGAACCGTTGGTGGATCCGTGTGTGGCTGATCGGGTATGCTTATCCGTCCACGGGTAGACTTGGAGTAATATATATTTTCAAGGTGAGGACTGATAGCAGGACAGATAAGTGAAAGGTGGGTTCTTGACCACACATTACTTCGTCAGTATATATGCAGAACACATCAGATGTGACAAGGGTATATAATGTCTATAAATGTTAAGTGTAAGAATTCAATATGGACCGAAGATTATCCGGCTGTGGCCTGCCAAGCTCATGGTGACGGGACGGAAAGAAAGAATGACGGGGTTAAAATGAGGGACATTCCAGTGTCTCAGCTTAAAACGATATCATGATACTAGTGGTTATCATTGCTTATAGGTGTGGCTTGATGGCTTTAGGGCTAAAGAAAACAAGCCGTAGGTGGATTCAATATTAGTTAAGGGGAGGGGGAATTGATTCGTGCGTATCCGTATATACTGTTTAACTCCGGGCCTGAAAATAGATTTCTCGAACGTATAATCGTCCAATCACAGAAGGAATCCACCGTAAATGGAACCTTGGAATATTACGTATAGATTATACAGATAGTACAAGTCACTCATCTCCGGTTCAGGGGCAGCGGGCGTATGATTGGTCGGTACCTGACCATCCGCGGTAGGGGCTCCATCCGAAAAGGAGCCTTGCAGCTGTTGAGACAGAAAACCGAGACACAACAATAAACAGGAGAGAAGGCGAGAGCATAATAAACGAGAACAAAGGTCTATGGGGCAAGCGGAGAGAAATTGAGAGATCAAGGAGTGTTTTGAATTTTTCTGTTGATTGTTCCAGGGGGAAAAAAGCCAGATGAAGCACTGAAGTGCGGAGATTCGAAAAGAAACCCGTACTGTATGTATGATACGCCACACAGACTTGAGAGTCTCGCCCCTTCTCCTCTTTTTCCTTTTCCTTCATCTCTCGTTTCTTCCTCCGACCTTCATTCATTCCTTTTGGCTGCTGGCCGCCACTCTTTTAATCCCAAGGACGATTGTCCTGTTCACTCCTTTAAAATTTGACTCCGAATCTTTTCGATCTGACGCACCATTTCTTTCCCCCGAATCATCGAAACATCGAGCTTCTTGAATCTTAAATGACTTCGAATTAAACCTCATCTCTTCCGCAATTTGGGTGTACGTTGTCGGCCGACGTGCTGGAAGCGGAGCCGCTCAATTTATCCCCCAACATGCCTCACCATCATACCGACCTGATGATGGGGCACGTTCGTCGGGACGTGATACCCTCTCACCGACTGCCACTGTTGGTCCCGACCACGACTGACCTGGGAGTCGGCTTCCCCTCTCTGGTGGCCCGATCCGATTCAACCTCGACATCAACCTCGACATCAAATGAAAAAGCTACCAGCAATTTGGATACGACCGTTTTGCCCGTGGTGCTAGGTGCTGGGTAGGTCCCCTTAGCCTGGTAAAGAAAGCTCCAGGACCAATGACTGACTCTGGCATCAGTGTTCCTATAATTTGTGCTATCATTGCCTTTATCATCCTTCATAAGAGACATGTGAAAAAATTGATGCATGAGGATGCGAATGATAAGCATAAATCGCTGGATTTCGGCCTGGATGATGTGAATCCTCATCGACAGAAAAAAGTGCCCAATGGAATGCCCCAAATGATGGAGCCTAGCCACACCAAGGGGCTTTCTCTTGACGTTTATCCTTATCTGATGCCCCCGGGTCTCCACAGCCCTCGAGAATCTATACATTCCATCTCTCGATCGATCGACGATGACAAGTACCGCCCCGCCACGTTTATCACAAATGACAATGCTTCCGTCATGTCATTCCCCAGAAATCGAGATGATGCGTCTAGTATGGCTGGGTCAACTCGATTTGGTTCAGAGGAGCCCAACGCGGGCCTTCTCCGGAACGCTCAGCGGATGTCTCGCTCGTCACCACCTCTGCACCGTCGCCCTTCGCATGAGCCGACGTCGCCCACTCCTGCCCATCTGCACCAGGACTATCCTGGACCGGCTTCGGGTATGGCGCCTTACCCCGTGGAGCATAATGAGCCGGCACACGGAGTAGCACTTGGCAGCCCGGCTGGTGACTCCAATCTCCATGAGCGAGCGATTTCGCCTCCGGCACCAGAACCTCAGTTCAATTTACCGGAGTCCCAATTCAATTTCAACTCGGCATCAGAGCTCCATTTTGATACACCTGTTCACGCGCAAGGCAACAATTCGAACACTTACTATGAGGACCGTCCCAACTTCCCGCTGCCAGACTCGATGCAAGCTCACCAGCCCGAACCTACTCCGGCGCCCACCATGCAGCTTCCTCGGATCTCCTTGCCAGTCAGCGATATCACCACTAGTGATTATGGCGATGACCACCGCAAGTCGGAACTGATGATCCCCGAGGTGAACATCCACAGTGCGGAGGAGGCAGAACATGAACAGGAAACGAACAAAATGCCAGAGCTTCCCGAGGAACCCCAAACCCTGGATCCTGTCTATGACACTCATCGTGATACCCGCCGGTTGACTCTCGGTGTACGACCATTGCCCCCAGAGGACCCAGCCGACAATCCAGAGCAGCGTGCCAATCGGATTCGCTCATTCTATAAGGAGTACTTCGACGATAGTAAACGGGAGACCACTTACTATGAGGACTACGGTCCTGAATTCTACGAAGGTGGTGGCTATGTCTATGACCCAACCAACGGGGATTACTTCGATGCAGCCCCTCCTGCTCCTTTTGCTGAGCCAATAGGCCGCCGAGCCATGACTCCCCCCCCTCGAGCTCCGCCCCGGTTCCAAGGAGCTGCTCGTCATATGGCGACTAACTCCGCCGGGAACAATGGCTTTGGTGGTCCCGGACCTCGTGCCTTCTCCTCTGCTTCTGGACGAGTTCCAGGTCCTAAGGCTCCCCGTCCGCGGATGCCTCCTCCCGCACCGCTTCAAGTTTTGCCCACACCGCACATGTTGAATGACGATTCTATTTTGACTGCCGCGGCTTTTGCCCCGGGCAAGAGCTTCCGAGATCAACAAGCCGGTCGTCCCGAGACACCTACCGGCGGCATGCAACCTTACAGCCCTGCGCTCCGCGCTCACACTCCCCCTGATGTCGTCATTTGATGATCTTGCCGTGATCCCCAGCCCGTAAGACATTCTCCTAAGCTTTTTCTCGAATTTTGATCCTCAGCTAACCTTCTCTCCAGCCATGCCTTACGCAAATCTGGCACCTTCACAAGTCTGGACTTTGCCCCACCGCCCCGATTCAAGAACCAGGACGGTGGCAGTGACGCCGGAAGCATTCGCAGCAACCGGACCGGCATCTCCAACACCCACCAGAACAACATTCGCTTGGGTAACTATCGGGTCAGCCGTCTACCGGCCGGAATGGTTGGCACCAGGGATGACATGATGACCAGCTTGCGCCCGACTATGGATCTGACGCGATAAAAGCTCTGCCCTTCCTTGTCACGACCTTGTAGTTTTGGTGTTACACTTCATATTTTTTTTTCCAGGACAGCTGTGATGACCTGCTTTTTTATTTATTCACATAGTACCCCGGTGCTCTCTGCAGCGGAGGACGGTCTCATTTGCATTCCCTCTTCCCGGATTCATTTCTTTATCTCACATTTTTGGTAATTTCTGCCCCGGCGTAAATAGATGATGGTTTGAAGCTATTTTTGCAAAGTTTTTGAATTTAATCTTCTTGTACGGCAATGTTCCTTGCTTGTATATATGCATCGAAATTCAATTTGGCCGAGCTGGACCATGTCCAGACTCGGATCGACCACACTCTTTCCTTGGTGTTTTTTGTTTTTTTCCCACTGAAATTCTAGACCTCTAGAACCTTAGCGTCGTCACTGTAAGACGAATTATTTCATTTTTACAGCAGTCCAGAAGCCTGGCAATACCTCTAATGAGAAGGTCCTAAGAATCGATGGTGATTGGACCTAGCAGGTATGAGGACGTAAGTCGAGCCACAGTGGAGATGCCCCGTTCCCCCTTTTGGTTCTTGTTACGCAAGTCCCGCATAAAGGAGATGGATTGAGATCTGGACTTGGGGGTGCACGACGTGAAGATGAATCTTGATGCTTAATTCATCATATATTGCTAGAGTATAATGAATTTCAACATTGTGTACCGAAACGAAAAAACCAAAACACCGAGCCTTGGTCCTCGAATGAAACTGCTGCATCAAAACCTGGAAACCGTTGAACCAAACCTTCATATCGTCCAATCACCGGTCGTTTCTCTGTGGCAACTGAATACGCGCTGCATCATGATGTCGAGCATTTGGTGTCTTATGCAATGGAATACGCCGATTTAAAGATGTGCATGTAACCATTCTCTTTTTATAGTATCTCATCCTTGGGGGCTCTGTCGATTCCTGCCCAGCCTTACGCATGGAGTAGGGTTACCCATGTTTTGGGCCATGTTAGGTAATCAACATAAACATCAAGAAGTAAGGGCAACAGGTCGCATGGCCGGATCCAGGGATATAAGTAATTTCAACGAACTAATCCGATCATAATAAACCATAATAATCATAATGCTACCTTGGGTAACCACATGTAGTGATGCAAGCAGTGGATTTCCATCTATTAATACGACCATACCACTAAGAATGCGGATACCGTTCCATCTCGACCGGGAGCGTAATCAATTCTCTCCACTTCTCTTTCACTCTCACTGCCCCGTTTTTCCCTTTTCACACATTTCCATCTCATGGCTCCCGACTAGATTCGGTGATTTGGAGCACCTTTTCTTCTTTCTCTCCTCCTTCCATTCTTCCTCTATTCTGCTATTTCCAAATCACCGGATGCTTACTCGCAAATCGACTTGAACCCCCCCCCCTGAGGCCAACAACACCCTCCAATTTCCCGAGATACCGACCCCGATTTCCTTCTTTGAAACGCGTCTTCAACTTTGGATCGCCCGTCACTCGCTATTCGGTCGATTCATGAACTGTCTTTGATTTTAATTTTGCGCTTTCGTGGAAGTGTAATTCTGACTTGAGATCCGATCCGACCGGTTTCCCGGCATCCTGTACGACCCGCTATCTTGAATTCTACAATTGCTACGAACATATCAAATCCACCCACCATGTCAGCGCCAGTAAAGCGGGCTTCGAATGCTGGCTCCAGCGGGAGTGCAGTTGCGGGTGTTGGCGCCACTGAGACGACGGCAGCGGCGGAGACGACGGCTGCCACTACCAGTGCCGCGGATTCAACCACCGCCAGCTCAACGGAAGCAACAACGTCTAGCGCCCCAGCCTCCACCAGTGAGACGTCCACCAGCTCCACCAGTACAAGCACCACCTCGACTGAGCCCACAACTACGGCGGCCCCAACAACTTCATCTTCAACTTCTACGACAGATCATACGACTACGACTACTTCCGAATCCACCAGTTCGACCGTTGCGAGCACCACGAGTGATCCGACCACCAGCACCACTAGCTCAGAGTCTCAACAAGCGACCACCATCTATATTACCTCGACTGCCACTGGCGGAGTCGTTACGACAGCAACCTCCACGATCGATTCGGGCTCATCCAGCTCGGCGGCCTTGTCCACCTCAACGGGCGCAGCTGCCGGGGGTGGTGGTGGTCTATCGGCCAGTGGCACTATCGCGGTTGCGGTAGTTGTACCCGTGGTCTCTGTGGCATTGATCGCCCTCGCCGCGATCTTCTTCTGGCGTAAGCGCAAGGCTAAGAAGGCGGCGGAGGAGGAGCGTCGCAAGGAAGTGGAGGAATATGGCTTCAACCCGAACAATGACGCAACCTTCCCCGGTATGGGCGGTAGCGTGGCACCCAAGGATGATAACTCGTCTGGTTATCGTGGCTGGGGGACCACGTCAGCTGGCCGTAAGGCCTCGACCAACCTCTCCAGCGGAATGGGAATGGCCATGTCGGAAGGCAGTGGCCAGTATCACCACAACGCTACTCCCAGCGAGGGCACTGTGCAATACTCAGACGGAGTTCGACCGGACTCGGGAGAGATTGTTGAACCAGTTGGCGTGTTGGGTGCTGTCCCTGTGGCGGCCAACAACCGCAATGGAGACATCCACCGGGGGGCCTCGAATGCTTCGTCAGCCTACTCTGCTGCTAACCGATCAGAGGCGTCCGAGGAGAGCCACATGTCTGCTGCACACCCGTCTGGTGGTTACTATGGCGATAACCCTTACTACGGCGAGATGACCGGACATGGCGCCTACGGGGATGATTCCTACCAGCCTGTCATCCGAGATGTCCAGGCGCGCCGCAACACTCGCATCGAGAACCCCGGTGTTTACCCTCGACAAGGTAATGCCGGAATTGCTCAGAACTTCTAAGATGCCTTGACAGTATCTTCTCCCACTCCCCAACATTCGATCATCGTTTGCCTCTCCAAAAGTTCGGTTTTTTTCCGACCTGATCCAATCTTTTCTCTCTCTTATTTTCTCCTTAACCACCGCCGATTCCATTCCTTCTTTTATGGGCTCCTTTGTAATCTTGGCCCGGTGCCCTTGTCGTTCCCGGCGTGGTGAACATTTTCACTTCCTCATGTGTTTATTGACCCTGTAACCTCTTATTTTCTTTTCCTTTTTTTTCTCTCTCATAATCGGCTTGGGGGTGGTCTTTCCCCTGTTTTGGTTCGTTACGCTTCTTCGTTTCCTTTCTTTTTCTGATCTGCTTGATATATCCCTCGCATCCGGTTTCTACCATACCCGTCGTTGTTCTCTCTCTCCGCATGTACATTGTACCCTACTCAGATCTAGACTGAATAGGGTATTGGTAGGGAGGTGTGGTTTCTCTTTTTCTGTACTTTTCAAAGTATATTCGAACCCGAAGAAATGGAGTCACCTGATTTGAATCTTAGATGGAAGTAATATGAAGTAACATCATCCTCTATAGGTAAACCAGTGTCTAGTTAATAGATATGACTATATGTAAGCTGGGATATAGGAAGTTGGGGATACTTCTGAGGTACCTGTTCTTAGTATGGTGAGCAGGTGTACAGTGTAGGTCTCTCGCAAGTACTGTGGAGTCTGGACTGATATCCTGTCGTCCCGAAACGTGCGCCCGCTGTTCACGGTGATTGGCGGTCCAAGCTCCCCACCAGCTTTAACCTCTTGAACCTCGTTCCTTCAGTTTTTGGAAATCGCGGGAAACGCCTCGACTCGGATTGATTGGCTCATTTCGAATTTGCAGGAAGACTCAGTACCTGAGATCTCGCGGACTTGTGGAATGTACCACACTGAAAGGGATTGAACTCCCGAAAAACTTCCCCCGCTTAGCTCTTCATGTCCCTCCACGCTTGATGGAATACATGCGCCCAAACGGCACATCTCTTACTTCCTGTCATACGCCTGGTGACACTACGGAGTACACCTGTCCCACTATAATCTTCCCCACCCGTCGCGCTGTTGCCCCCCCTGCCCACTCGACTCGAGGTCCCTCTGTCTGGGGTGCCTAGCAGCCTTCTCCCCCCCCCCCTCTTTCTTCCTTTTCTCACCCAATACTTCTAAAGTTTCTCGACTCCCCATCCCTCGTGAGTATTCAGATCCTGTTCCACGATCTACACCCCGCGTGAGCCGACGCTCTCAAGCTGAGAGCCCGTCAAGATGTGAGTGACCATGTCCGCCGCCAGTGCGCAACCGAGGCCCTAACCCTCCTGCAGGAAGTTCGGCAAACAGATCCAGCGCCGGCAGCTTGATCTTCCCGAATATGCGGCCAGCTTCGTCAATTACAAGGCACTAAAGAAGGTAGGATGATCACTCTAGTCCAATCGGCGCAGTCGCTATAAGACTCACGGCTAATACCTCCCGCAGCTGATCAAGCAACTGAGTGCCACGCCGACAATCCCAGCCCAAAGAACCCCCGAAGAAATTGCTCAAGATGGACATTTGGATCCGCAAGCCTCGCTTCGAGCGAACAAAGAGGTGTTCTTCTTCCGCTTGGTGAGTTCAGGACCCTCATCATACCTTGCCGATGTCTAACAGAACAAAATTAGGAGCGGGAGATTGAAAAAGTCAATGCATTCTACCTACAAAAAGAGTCTGAGGTAAACATCGCTTCCCCTCCATGGAGATGAAACCTTCGCTTATCCAGTCACCAGTTCTCGTTACGTCTCAAAACCCTAGTCGACAAGAAACGCGTGGTACAAGCCCGGACCAGTTCCAATTCCAAAGCCCCATCCAACTTCATGGCATTATTCGAGGGCTTCCAGCAATTCGATGGCGACCTGAATAAACTGCAGCAGTTTGTGGAAATCAATGAGACTGCCGCGTCCAAGATCCTGAAGAAATGGGACAAGACATCCAAATCCCGGATGAAGGAGCTCTACCTGCAGCGCGCAGTTGAAGTGCAGCCCTGTTTCAACCGGGAGGTCCTTCGGGATCTGTCGGACCGAGCAACTACAGCCCGGTTGGAGTTGGAGGCTTGGGCTGAGGGCGAGAACATACAATTTGATATGTCGCGGCCCTCAGAGCGTGGCACCGCCCCTGTATTTGGTACCGAAGAAGAGGAGCTGGACCTTCAAATATTACAATCTGCCTCAATGGGCAACCTACAGAACTTGCGCGAGTGGCTGGGCAAACTAGCGTCATTCCCCGATGCTCAAGAACGAGCCACGCGGACGTTCCTGACAGCCATCAATGGATTCTCTGATGATGTCCTCGCTCTTCTGCTCGAGAGTAAATTGGTTGACGTGCATGCAGAAGATGACATTAATGAACGGAACTGTCTTCACGAAGCCGCCATCTCTGGACGAGATTTCGTTATGAAGGCAGGAATTGCCGCATCGGTAGATATTGCTCGATCCGATGTTTATGGGCGAATTCCCCTCCATTATGCATGTATGCATGGTCGTGTGGATATGGTTCGGGACCTACTGGCCGTAGGCCCACACACCGTGGACATGATGGATCACGATAACTTCACCCCTCTCATTCACAGCATTGTGAAACGTCAGCTCGCGTGTGCGAAACAGGTCCTGATTAGCAATGCCCGCATCGATCCGGCATCGGACTCGGACCATATCCCGTTGAATCTTGCGTGCCAGCACGGATCTTTATCTATTGTGCAGATGCTTTTGGAGCGAAAGGCCCGGCTGCTGCCAGATGCCGAGGGCCTTTACCCTCAACATATGGTAGCTCGGGCATCGCAGTCGCCGGATCTGCTTCTTCTGCTGAAGCAACACGGAGCTGACCTGAACCAACGGGACAAACTATACCAATGGACACCACTGTTCCACGCGGCAAGCGAAGGTTGTGTACCGTGTCTGCGGACACTCTTGGAGCTCGGTGTAGACTCACAGGTCGCAGATGAGAAGGGTCTTTCTGCCATGTATTACGCTGCCTGGGAAGGGCACCTTGAGTGTATGCTTCTCCTCTGGGCTCAACCCCTGAATGATATCCCTTCACAGCGACCACTTGACGTCTTGAACGGGTTCCAAATTCAGCAGTCTAGCTCCATGGATGAGGACTACGGAAGACGAGCGAGCTCCGCTGAGATGGAGATTGCTGACGGCATCCCTGACCTTTCTCTCCCCCCTCCCATCATCCCTCTACGACGCTACGGCCACAACTTCCTCGACAAAAAGGTCTTTGTACAGCTACTCTTTGACCAAGGGAACGCTGGCTCCATACTCTTTGACCAGGCTGGCCGGCACCCGGCTGCCCGGCTGACTATCTCGTCCAAGCTGTCTGACTTGATTCCTCGTACCATAATGCTCCCCATTCAAGAAGACTCTCGCACAATATCTTTCCATGTTGATAACTTGGACACATTCGCGGTGGATTTCGAGATCTTCCCCACTTTTGGCTCCAAGGTGATCGCAAAGAGCGTGGCCTTGCCGGTAGCTTTCCGTGCCGAGAGATCCAGCACGGGTTCATGCTGCCTTCCTCTCTTCGACCCTCGCCTTCGGGCCATTGGTCAACTGCAATTCAACTTCCAGGTCATCAAGCCGTATCACGGTGATCCTCTGGAGATCACTCACTTTGCGACATACTGGAAGGCGACTGGTGCCATTGATTCAGAGCATAACGGGTTGGTCACTGGCTCTAGCTTGTCAGGGGATTATGTTCAACTGTTTGTGCAGCTGACACGGGATCGTGTGCCGGTCCTCTACCCCCAATTCCTTATCAACCATCACGGAATCGACATTCCAGTGTGTCAGTTGACATATGCGCAATTACAAGCTATTGGCCTGGAACGAGGTGTCAACCGAGCTCAAATTCTACAATTCCTGGAAGCTCAGGCACTCGATGATATGCCACGAACCCATCGTCTCCTAGCGGAGTCCTTCATGTCCTTACAGGATGTTTTGCAGGAATTGCCACAGGGTCTGAACATCAACCTTTCTATTCTCTATCCGTCCAGCGCCGAGGAAAGATCTCTCGAGATGACCTCTCTAGCCGATGTCAACAGCTTTGCTGATGCGATTCTAACTGTCGTCTTCCACCATGCGCGCGCGTCTCGCGAGAAGAACCCCGACTTCATGCGCTCTATGGTGTTTACTTCTTACAACCCCAATATCTGCACTGCTTTGAACTGGAAACAACCTAATTGTAAGTCTCTGACTTCCCAGGTACTATCTGCCAAACTCAGGATCACTAATTCTCTTATCTCTCTCTCGTTAGACCCTGTCCTTCTTTGCAATGATTTGGGACAGATTCGGGACCTAGCCCGGAATGTAGACACTCTTCCTGATGTCAACAGCAGCGGTCGCGCCTCTATGTCAATCAAAGAATCTGCGCGCATCGCTCAAAGTAATAACTTCATGGGCTTGATTTGCCGGTCAAGTCTTCTTGTACGTTTGACTGCCTTCTGCCCCCTAAGTTTTTGAGAAATTTGGGGGTTTGATTGAGACATTTGCTGACTAGCTCTACAGAACGTTGTTCCTGCACTTGTGGAGACAATCAAAGAACTCGGCCTCGTCCTGGTGGCTGATACTTCCGACGAGGCAGGCCAGCCTGACCGCAGGAATTCTCTTGCTGGTGCTAACGCCGTCGGTGTGGCTGAATGGGCTTACCGTATGCCTGATGGGGTGAACGGTGCAATGAAAGCCAACGGTGTTCTCCGATTCAACGATATGATTGACATGTAAGGACATACGAACCCAACTTCCTTCGAGACGAAGACCACGAGATTTGAGTAGCTCTATGCGATTGTCTCATGTTCATGATTTCCTTTTGTTTTTTGGAATTTTTTCTTTCCACCGGTTATCAGGGCGGCTCATCTATTTCCCAGCGAGTTCTAATGCGATTACTTGGTTTGTGTACCTGGTTCTCTTTTCCCTACTTTATCCTTGTCTCTTTTCTCTCTTTGCTCTCTGGTCTCATGGCGCTGGGATAGATGGCTATGGTGGAGTTGTATCATATCGTGTAGATTGAGTGGGGAGGGCGTCTGCGCCGGGATTAGATCTAAAATGGCTAATGTACAATGTTTCCCCTAAATATCACAAACACCGATTCTTCTCGCTATGCTTTATGAGTAACCACCCTGTCCTCAGGGAGTCTTGGGCTTGCGCTTTCCAATGTTCCAACCCCAGCTACGCAATACTTTGACAACCTTAGGGGTCACTGCCGCTGTCAATGGGACTCGGACGAAAATGAAGACACTCTTGTGGATAGCATACGCCAATGCAAGCTGTGTCCAGATACCTAAAGTTGCAAGGATATCATGAGATGTGATGATCAATAGATGTTCGGAGGAACAGAACTTACTAGCTTCTTCATATTTGCGTGCCTCTGTCTGCACAAGGCTAGCCTCCTCTTCACCCTCGGTCTTTGTCTGAGGCCAAATCGACGAGAATGTATTCTTCACCGACTGCACCACCACATGCTCATAATGACCAATTCGCTCAGGGCCTAGTAGTCGCACGGCTGCAAAGCAGATCGGAAAGTCCAACGCCGATAGCGTCAGATACACACCCAGCGCGGCCCAGCCGTATTCACGAGACAGCTTGCGTAGCCGTTGCGATACCGAGGCTCCCTCTTTCGAGGCCTCGGACGCATTGCTCGACGATCCCGAGTTGAAGCGCCGGTTTGTCCTTTGTTTGGGAAGCTGCACCGATCGCAACCCCGGCCGGGATCGTGGCATCGCACGACTGGTATAGTTGACCGCCGTTGTCAAGGACCGGCGCATGGTTTGGGATACCGTTTGAGAGCTGAGGAATGGCTGGCGTTGGAGGATGGATAAGGTCTGCTTAGACGCGGGTGCGGCTCTCGTGAGCTCGGCCTGCGCGAGCCATCGCGATAGAAGGGATGGTCGAAAAGACATTGGAATGTGTTTGCAGAAAATGCTTCCAAGGGCGAATACAGGAAAGGGCGGTAATGATACACGGGGTAGGGGGGGGGGAACGCGAGATGTGTTGTTCGGGGTTCTTTTTTTTTCCTTTGAGATCGGGCGATCCTTTACCGGTGACTTCGGCCGCTCCGGTCCGATTATGCATACGGCTCGGACTTAAAATGGATTTACTACTTGATCATGCCGATGTGGATGTTAACATCACATGTGTTTAGTTTGTCCCAGTTGTGATTTTAGACTGAGTTCAATGTTTGTTAGGACAAGCAATGGCAATCTAACAGTGTAGTATATGTAAGTAGTTCTATGCCCAGAATACTTAAGTTATAGAGCTATTCCCCCGCAGATGTGGCGTATGGACAACCAGGTGACGTTGCATAAGCTACATAGGAAGTATGAACCAGATTTAATCTCTTTCTAGCTCCTACTAATTGGGTAGTGATGTTGCTGTCATGGACATACCATATAGTGTTGTGAAGGTCAAGCCGATCTGCTGACTCATCCACCGGCCAAAAACTTCGAGTCCGCAAGACGGAACTTGCCAAACTTCTACAGTTGCAACCCACCGCATCATGTCGCCACGCCTACCAGGGAAGCTGCTTCAGCTTTCCTCGTCCCTATGGGAAACTCAATTGACTGTCCCCCGGATTTCTATGCGAAATTTCGGCATCAAATCCCTCAACACTCCCAAACCCAGCCGCTTCAACATCGGTCCCGGCCTGCCCGTCCTTGAGTCGACATCGACTGCAGCTCTGCGCCGCAAGGCAAACTCCCTCCCACTACGGACCGGTGTTATTGCGACCAAAAAGGGCATGACCGCGATGTTCGACCCAGAAACCGGAAAACGCACCCCCTGTACCGTGTTACAAATGGACCGCGTCGAGGTCGTCTCGCATAAGACTCGTCAAAAGCATGGCTACTATGCTGTGCAGATTGGTTCAGGCTGGAAGCACCCCAGCAATGTTACCAAATCACTCCTAGGCCATTTCTCAGCCAATGGTCTTTCGCCCAAACGCCATGTCTTCGAGTTCCGGGTCAAGGATGAGGCCGGCCTCCTCCCCGTTGGTCAGAGTGTCAGTGCCAGTTGGTTCCAGGAAGGCCAGTTCGTGGACGCTCGCTCCAATACCAAGGGTAAAGGATTTGCTGGTGTTATGAAGCGCCACGGTTTCCATGGTCAGGACCGTAGTCACGGTGTCAGTTTGACTCACCGTTCGATGGGTTCTGCTGGTCCCAGTCAGGGTGGTGGTTCTCGTGTGTACCCAGGAAAGAAGATGGCTGGAAATATGGGTAACAACCAAAATACCGTTCAGAACCTGAAGATCATGAAGGTTGATGCCGAAGCTGGAATCGTGGTCGTGAGCGGTTAGTTCCATTCATTCCCTCCCCAATACCCCTTTGCCTTTTCTGGCATATATACTAACGGTGTGTAAAGGTGCTGTCAGTGGTCCTAAGGGATGCAATGTAAGAATTCAGGATGCGATCAAGAAGCCATGGCCCGAGGTTGCCCCAGCTGAATCCGCAGCCACTGCTTAAGTTGGGAGGGGGAAGCATGTACTACTACTACACCATTCGCGCAATACTTGTTCACTTGAGCGGCGTTTGTATATGATACAACAAATGATATCCTTTAGTTTTTTTGTTCCACTTCTCGTTTTCGTCTCTTGGCTCGACTCCTGCAGTATTCTTTCTTCCACAGACGTCGCAATCGCTCAAGTAATACTCTTGTTCAATATCCCTAAAACGCCGGTTCCCAATGCACAAGACCCTTTATTTGTACAGTTTCCACACTTCGGTTTACCCTTCACTCTTGGCGGAAAGGATCAGTGTCTTTGTCCAGCAACTGCACCACAGTTCCATCTTCGGTTTCCAAGCTCCATTCCTCGGTGCGGAACTGTATAGTATAAAGCAATTAGCAAGCGAGGCTGAGGTTAAGAGGGGGGAATACGCTCAGAAAGGAAATTTAACTCACGTAACTCATTCGGTCCGGCCGAATACTTCTAAACCTCATCTTGCCCTGGGACTTGGTGCCTTTCACCCAGAATGAGATATCGATGCGCCCATGTAATTGGTTCATTTCTCCACTGATCCATGGGATCTGCTGAGCAAAGTAGATCTCATCACCCAGGATCTCGCGGGCCTGGGGAGACGTCCGCAATGCATATAGTGTGCTGCTGACGACACTTGAGGAGGATTTTTGGTAGTTGAAAATACCAAGCATGGCAGCGCCCACTGCTATCGCGAAGAAGGGGAAAGTTCGCATCCAACGGCGGCTGTTTTGGATGTTGGGGAGCTCGCGGTCTGCCCGTCGTTCCATCAATGGCCCCGTGTTGGGACCCGGGGCGGGGATCATGGTGCGGCGTGGAGCATTACGAGACAGGCCTGGTAGCCGGATGGGCCCAGCACGCCGGGGGAGAGAGCGGATGAAGAGCATTGCAGGAATTGAAGAGCGCTATGTTGGAAAGAAAGATCGGATGTTGTAGTTTTTGGATTTCCCGAGTCCGCAAACCAAACAGAGCAAACATGTTTTTTCGACGTCACTTGTATTTTCCCACTGTATGTAAACCAAGTTCACTACCTGTCTTCCTCTTTATCCATTTCCTGCGTCTACTCCATGGCAGCGGTGCGACTACGAAAAGTGTTTCAATATCCAGAAGATTCAGACCATGAGAATGACCGTGAGGAGCTTGATGAGCAGGAACAGGAGCGGGTGATTGAGCAGCTACAGCGACAGAATGATGACCGCAACGCCAATTACAATGTATAGGAATCTAAAATTATTTATTGACTTCCTATCTTTTATTTATCTTCTAACCTGTTTATGTAGGTTACATTTACCGGGATTTCACTGGTCTTGACGACTACTTTCCTACCATCGATACTGTGGGCGTCCAGTCTCTCTCAACGCTTTTGTTCCCTTGTAGGGATCTTCTCCTTGCTAGCGTCAGCCTACTTTATGCGATTTTTTCCTCTTCATCCAGACCGTAAGGGCAAGAAGCCCCTGTTGGCTGAAGATGATCGGTGGACTTTGTTTCACGCTGCCCTGATTCCATTGAATGGAGTGGTGTGTGGGTTACTGGCACTTTATGGCTTCCTAGGAACCCGTTCTTTCGAGCCTTGGTCGGTACTTTATTTCATTCCCGGTGGTAGGTCGTACCACAAGAATCCTGGATCTTTTATGCATTACCCAAATCTTACGACGCCTCTCTATAGCTATGCTTGGAGCAATCTTGCTCGCTCGCCAGGTAATGCTCTCAGTGGACCTTTCTGGACTCAAGGACCTCCAGTACGAGTACAAAGGCGCCTAGAAAATAGGGAATCAGGAGGCAGTAAGGAGAAGAATAGAGTATTATCAAATGGTCATTATCATGGTACAGAGATTTGCTGTAAGCCTCGGTCAGGTGGAGTAATCGCTTCAAATAAAAGGGATTGTCAAGAAGACTCGGGTCTTCCTTTCAAAGGCAAAAGAAAAGAATAGAAAGACACACGTAGTAGAAGAGAAGACAGCTTGCTGAACAGAGGCAAATGATAAGTATTTTGATTTCAAGCCTTGAGTGCATTCTGGCTCGAGTTCGTAAAGCCAGTTTCAAGTTCCAATGCAGGGTCTACCGGAATGTATCCTAGACTGTGGTGTGCTGTGTTTTCGTTCAATGTATCTTGCAGCCTGTTATCCATCACGATCGCACGATCATTTCGCATCTTTACCCCATTCTGCTCAATTTCGTCCATGCGTTGCCGCAGACGTCTTTGGCTATTCTCCTCCAGGCTTGGAAGCCATTTCAGATTGGGAAGACGCAAAGTCACCAGCGACTCAACACTTCGGGGGTCGGCAATCTTCCTGGTATCGTGTCCCAGTAAGATATGATAGGGCTCGTGGGGTTTCATGGCAGGGTCCCTCTGGCAAGGTGTACAGTTGCACACCTTCCGACATCGAGGGCACAACCAGTGGGAGCGTGCCATCGCGTCCTGGGGTGAGGTATCGAACGCACGGTAGAGAATGGCATAGCAGTACTTTAAGTGGCAGCTCGTGCATGCTGCCAACTTCCAAGAAGGCTCAATATTTCTACACATGTGGCAAGAGCCGGTCTCCGCACCCTTTTGCTGGACCTTCCGCTTCTTCATTGCCCGCCCATCATTGTCTGTAGCAGGAGGGCTGATAGACTTCAATTTTCTGGCGGTTGGGTTCTTGGGATCAACCCAAGGCCTGACAGCCAATTGCTCCTGGCAAATTTCAGCGACCGATTTCCGAGCTGCTCTGGATCGTGCAACGGTGAACACGAGAAATTCGGCTTTGTGTGCTTTATCAAACGGCTTCAAATCGATGATTTGACGCCGCCATGCTTCATGTCGATCCCGAAGATGTTTCCACGGAAATTGCTCCACCCATTTGAGCCTGGAAATGCAGTGGCAGCTCCGACCTAAAACGTAACAATCCAAACAAATATCATAAGCGTCATTTCCGTGCATGGTACAAGTTGAACAAGTAAGGAACCGATTGAAAATATTACAGCGACAATATGAGCATGTGACGTTGCTGTCAAATCTGACATACTCAATGCCCTTCTCCCCAGGAAGAGTTGACGAAAGACTCTCCGAGAGGAGGATCTCCGTGAAGATCTTGAACAGCCGTTGAAAATCTTCCCACAGCTGCTCTTTTGCAGGGTTATCAGCTGTCGGGGCTTCTCGTAGCAGTTTTGAATATCGCTCGAGAGCATAAAAGACAATGGCTTTGTTCTTATACTGTTCATCGCGACAAACCATTCGTGCATGAGGAAGTGCTTCCTCCATGGCCATCCTGAGGGTCTCCACCGTGGTGCGATTCCAAGCCACTTTCATGGTCCGTGTACCGCGGTTCCAGACTTGATGAGCCGCCAGTGGAGGGACGAGAATGAGATCCCCTGGCCTCTGTTCTACCACGTAGGTCTTGAATGGCGCACCTACCCATGCATTGAGTTGTGCAAAATGATCCTCGAGATCAATATCATGGCCAAGTACCGAGGCCCAATAGTCGGAGACAATTCTGCGTTCTTTGGTCTCTGTCATGAACCAAATTGATGAGCCCGGCTGGGTTGGCTGACCACTCTCGATAGAACCGTCTGACGCTTCCACCATGATATTGTGGCCCAGACTGGCACACATCTCTTGATGTGCAGGGGTGTAGGTACCTTCGGGGCCGATATAACACATGAGGTTTTGAGCGCGCATTTCCTCAGGCAGACAACTCATTAGATCGCCTGATCTGGCGATGGGCTCTCCGGAAGGCGTGGTGAGATGCTCTGCCAGATAAGTGAGACGAGACCCTGGGCCTTCGTATGGCTTAGGACCGTCGTTGAGATAGAATAACGACGGTGGGATTAGTCTCTCCAAGGATCTCTGCCAGTCCGAAGGGCAGTCAATATCCTTCAAATACAGTTTTTGGTCAGTGCGACAAAATGGCGAGAAAATAGGCTTCGTCGGTCTTTGCAAGCTTTTCAAATAATGTGACGTGCCCATGTGGATGTTGATTCCACGGGTCAAGTCACGTACCTGTTCGCCTGATATACAGTCAGGGGCGATCTATACAGGGAAATGGATCCAAAGAAGTGACTTACTCTGACCATTTTTCTGCAGCCACCTAGAAGAGAACAGCCCTTTGTCCAGATGTTCATGGAAGCCCTCAATGACCAAGGGCATCCCCAGCATGGTCACATGATATCGAACAAGATTATCAAAGTCCTCCCGAGGTAAGGTATCAACAGCCTCGCAAGAGATACGGACTGCAAACACAAAGTTGTCTGTAGTTTCCACTAGCTCCTTCACGTCGAGGTGGGTAGGAAAGGGCTCAAAGGTAGCTCGTGGTGGTAAAGCCATGATTGTTGGGGTTGGGGCAATCAATGGTACGAATTGGGATCAAGATATCCGTCCAAGCGGCGAGAAAGATCGTCTGGAAGAAGTGGCATGCTTGAGATGAAGGAAAGCCAATTTACTGAGATAGAAAGCGCATATAATCAGCAACCCAAATTTCAGTCACACTTTGAATAAACAACTCACTGGCAGACAATGCATTCCACTAAATCCAATTTCACAACATGGCCGTTTCAACCGCGTCTCAACCTCCCCCAAGGGAAAGTACAAGGGAAAGTAGAAAAGTCAAAAAACCGATCCCAGCAGCGGGGCAAAAGCATTAAAGTGAAAAGGAGCAAGGAGGTGGGGGAGGGGAAAGAGAAGGTAGAGAAAGAGCGTATAAAAAGAGCTAGACGCGAAAGTGACGCGGAGAGATTTGGAAGGGAACTACTACTTCGGGACTAGTGGCGATCGGCGGAACCTTTCTGTTTTAATTGCATATAATTTCTCTTTCTTTCTCTCCTTTGGTGTCGAAACTTATCCCATTGATCAATCGATTATGACTTGGGCCTTGGCTTGGATTGATATCCTCTCCAGTCCTCTCTCGGTATAAACCATGCTGCCATCTACTGCCTTCCGTCTCTCGCGACATCCTCATCTGCTCTGGAGGAATTCGATCTATAGTCAACGTCGTCATGGGTACTTATCGACCCTCACTACCAAATCTGCATTGTTGACGGCTCAGAATGCCCGATCTCGTCCCTCTCTTGCCTTAACCCTGACATCAACTTCGCGAACCCACACCACGGCAGCTCAGTCTCTTCAACTCGATGTGAAGACCCCTAACCCGGCAACCCATTACATTCCACCCCAGACCGGTCTGGTCGCCTCATTGCCCTCATCGTGGATTCCGTATGCTGAGTTGGTCCGCCTGGATAAACCCACTGGCACATATTATCTCTTCTTCCCGACTCTTTTTTCCACCCTCCTGGCCGCCCCCATGGCCACCCACGTCACTCCAATGCAGTTACTCGGCACGGCCGGACTCTTTTCACCGGGGCCTTGATCATGCGAGGTGCAGGTTGTGCCATTAATGACCTGTGGGATCGCAATCTTGACCCACATGTAGAACGTACCAAATTCCGTCCCATCGCGCGAGGGGCACTCTCCCCATCCAAGGCTGTGCTTTTTACGGGCTCTCAATTATTGGCTGGGCTAGGAGTCCTTCTTCAATTCCCGACCCAGTGCCTCTGGTATGCGATACCCAGCTTACCAATCGTGGTGGCATATCCCTTGGCCAAGCGAATAACCAACTACCCTCAGTTGGTGTTGGGGTTCGCCTTTTCTTGGGGGGCAATTATGGGGTTTCCAGCTCTGGGTGTGGATCTATTGAGCAACCATGATGCGCTCCTAGCTGCAGGGGCCCTCTATTCTAGTTGTATTGCGTGGACAGTTCTGTATGATATGATATATGCGCATATGGACATCAAGGACGATGTGGCGGCGGGCATCAAGTCAATCGCCTTGCGTCATGAACATAACACCAAGGCCGTCTTAACGGGTCTGGCGGCGGCCCAGGTGGCCCTTCTAGGTGCTGCAGGGGTTGCCGCAGGCTGTGGTCCTGTCTTTTTTGTAGGCAGCTGCGGCAGTGCCCTTCTTTCCCTGGGCCTCATGATTTGGAATGTCCAGCTTAAGAATGTCTCTAACTGCTGGTGGTGGTTCAAGAACGGGTGTTTGCTGACCGGTGGAGGAATCACAATGGGCCTCCTGGGTGAGTATACCGCTCAATACCTGGGTTTGTACGCTAGTACTGGACAGTCCGAGTCCGAGTCGACACAATGACAATGGCAGATGGCAATCAAGATTGAACCATCGGGAGACCCAAATACTCTTCCACGTTACGGACAATATCTCTCCAGTCCATCATTCCACCACTGCCTACGTCCCCACAAGCTAGAGGTTTATCTATCGGAGGGAGAACAGTCACCCATCCATCCGGATTTGTGGGACTCCATCCCCATTGGTCTTGTAGGACGCCGAGGTGCTGATGTGTGATGGGTTGGTGCCACATGGCGCTATTCATAGCAGGGGCCACGAAAATCCGTGGCTTTTGAAGCTTGAAATCTTGGTCGACCAGACCAGTTGTATCCCAGGCTCGCACCACCGACAGCAGGAGGTTGTCCGCGATGCCCACGCTCATCTTAGCCATTGTATTGGCAGATAGTGGGGAGATCAGCAACACATGTGCCCACTTGTTGATCGTTAGCTCTTTTCTGATCATCCAGTGTATACTCAATGTTAACCTTGCGTAATTCAATGTGTAAGATGTTTGCTCCACGAGTCCATGGTGTTGCCCATTCATCATCATCCCGGTAAACCGCATCCACACCCTTGGTTTGCCGAAGACTATCTAGATTAGGCTGCTCGGGACTCTGGCCAAACAGAAATCTTTCGGCTGATTGAGTCACTATGATTCGTAGTGAGATAGACGGGTGGCGGCAGAGGGCCTCGGCGATGTTCGGGAGCTTGATGGTAGCAACTGAACCGGTCTGCGGGAATCAGACTGAATCCTCGGAACAGACAAGAGCTGCGACTTACAGCTGCAAGGAGCACGTGGAGCTTCTTATCATCTCGATACTGTTTTGCGGAGAAGGAGGTAACAGACTCCATAGTGGGGGGAACAGGTACAAGATGATACAGTATGATGCAAGGTTCAAAACGATCACATGTGGGGCTCGACGTAACTAACTTAGCCAACGACTGATTAGATAATACCAATCTGCTCCGTGCTTTCACTCTTTCTCCGTTCCTCCAACCTCCAAAGTCTATAAATCTTGAGACAATCATCATGTTTTCCAGAACAATCTTGTCGGTATGTATCATCAAACTCACAATCATTATCGGACACAGGCTTACCATAATTCCAAGGCTTTCCGCCCAATCTCGCGGCCGACGCCGCTACGCCCTATCCGTTTCCCGGCCTTCCCTCCGCCGTCAACCCTCAATGCTCGTCTCCTATCGTCGGAGACCAAGGCAGCTATCGACAAGGCGATCGCATCTGCCCCCGTTGTTCTGTTCATGAAGGGTACTCCCGAGACCCCTCAATGTGGTTTCTCTCGCGCGAGTATTCAGATCCTGGGCCTGCAAGGCGTAGACCCCAAGAAGTTTGTGGCGTTCAATGTCCTGGAGGATCCAGAGTTGCGCCAAGGTTAGTTACCTTCTGGCCTTTATCTCGAAACGGAAGCTAAGTGACGTGCAGGTGTTAAAGAATTCTCGGATTGGCCGACCATCCCTCAACTATACTTGGACAAGGAGTTTGTTGGCGGATGTGACATCTTGATGTCTATGCACCAGAATGGGGAGCTTGCCAAGCTACTGGAGACGAAGGATGTTCTCGTGGCAGCAGATCAATAAATTGGCACAGACTGATGCCGTGGGTGCATTGCAGAAAGTTGTATTGTAAGATTATGTTCAGTTTCAATCTCCCTCGTCTACTTCTAGCTAGATATTATCTGTGGATATCCATTCTACGTAAATTTGAATGGAAGTTCTTATTGTAAAGATCCCCCACTTATTTCTACAGAGGTCTCTTTAGCTCTTCCAAATGTCGATACAGATCACGATTTGAAGGCCCATCCTCACGGGGGGAACATACAATACTAAATCTCCTAGACTTAGGCTCAAACGATAATATTGTGACTATGTAAGTATATTATATTGTATTTGTCACATAAAAAACTCTCCCAGTTGATGGGATTCGCCGTATGTACAGTTGAATTAGGTTCCCATTAGGCGATGGCAATATCGCCTTGATCTAAGCTGACGCTTGCTCCTGAGACTTGACTAAGTCTTCAGCGATGCCCTTTTCCAGTTTGGCCCTTTGTCGTGCTTCATACGCTTCTCGGCTCTTCAGGATGCGACCAACGATCTCGCCTGCATTGACATGTTGGAAAGCATGTCGTGCGACCTCCTGGAAGATTCCCATCCTTTTTGGGGCGTCATAGGGATCATATGTAAGAGGGATGAACGTTGTGGGTCCATGGTAAACGACGTGAGGTACGCCGAGTGGTAGAGCCTCCAGATAAGGCTGACTTGGCGTGAAAGGTGCTGAGAAAATTACGGCATGAATATACCGGCATTGAAGGACACAAAGGCCACGCTCGAAGATGTTCATGATCGGATAGTTGAGTCCCTTCCAGTGATTGATCACGTCGTCGTCATGAATTCCGGCAACGATATATGCAGGAGCGTAGTCTTCATTGTGCTCCTGCAGTCGCTTCTCTCTTTGTTCCGGATCAAACCAACCTCGTCGACGACCCTCTGCTTCCTCCATCTCCATGACCTTCCGCAAAAATTCAATATGGCCAGATGAGAACAGGTCAAAGCCCCCGTCAACATAAACCACCCGTTGACCTGGCTTAGGGCCCTTTCCATCCACCAGGGTTTCAAAGGTCCCAGATTCTCTGACTTCATGGTCAATCTTCGCTGTCCCAGATCCAATCCATGTCCAAACCTGAGGGCCAGGTTGGAGGCCACTCTCATCTGTCGCATAGTCTCGAATCCTCTGTACAAGTTCTGCTGCAGCGGCCTTGCGCTCCTCGGGGCTTCCCGAGCCATCCTCTCCGGAGAGGGTGCCTCTGACAGACTTAACAAAATGGTTCTTGGTACACAGAAGCATCCGGCCAACCAGGTCCGTCGTAGAAATACCAGGGGTTCGTTTAACGACCTTGAATCGACCTGCTGCCTTGACATATCGATAGCAGTCATTGCCATCGCTGTCGGATGTAATATCATCGCCGTGGACGACATATTTACAGCCATAATGAGAAACCCAGGGTAAAAAGGTCACGTAGGGAGCATGGGGTACGCTTTGGGTGGCCCACCGACAGGCATCAACGGCTGCAACTCTGGGGTAAGGAAAAGAAAAATATCAATGACTGCAATCACTAGCTTAGGGAGTCGAAGGCTACGAACCGTTCATCCAACGACATCACTGTTGGACCCTTGTTTTCCAGAATTGCTTGATCCGAGTGAATCCCCACGTATAGTGCCTTGCCGAGTTGACGAGCTTGAAGCATAGCTCCGGCATGTCCTTTTCATGATAGTTAGATCGCATCTTATGATAGAGGATTGACACTCTTACCATGATGGCTAAAGTCAAAGCATCCATCAACCCAAATACGATCCTCGGAGATGGGTACATCTTCCTGAGGATCAACAGGCCATTGGCCCGGCGCAGGGATCTGTTCGTCAAGAGGTGTGACGTCCATTGGGGGAAAAGACTGCTAGGGCTGTCAAGGAAAAAAGAGAGCTAAGTGGAAGAAAGGGAAAGCCAATCGCCAAATGAAATTATTTCGGGATTCTCGCTGAGGGGGAGAAGGGACGGACCCGTTAGTGGGGAACTCCAGATCTCCTGAGATTCGGCATGTTTCTGAACTCTCACCTGCATTTCCCTGCGACCCCCCCCCCCCACTCGTTGGGAATCTTCCCTCTACTCCAGTATAAGGAGGCGATTATTGCTGTGCTTCCTCTTCCTTGCTCTCGTTAACATCGTGGTCATGATTTCCTCCACATTTGCCCCGACCCTGTCGCGAAGGGATACGGCCAAGCCTGGTGGAGGCTATGACAGTATGCATAGCAGCAACCCCCCCGTGTCTAGTGGCGGAGGGCCATTTGGACCGCAGAGTGCAAGTGCCATCTATCAACAGATCCATGAAGTGGCTGCAAAACGGATATCCACCCTAGATTATTTGAGAAAGACGTAAGTTCAACCCCATCACGATCCTGATCCAGACTAAACTGGTTGCAAACCTCTAGTCTAGAAGGCCGAGTCTATTGGTTTAATACAGTCCATTTCTCGCGAGCTGATATCAGTCGCCTACCATATTTCGAAGCCCGCAAGCTTTCACGTCGGGCGGTCAATTACCTCCTTCTGGGCCTATCTCTGCCATCAATCCTTGACGTCAATTCGACCCCATTTGAGTACTTGCGAGCCCTCAACGCCCTGTTACTCGAGTTTGAGGCGTTTCAACAGGTGCACCCACCCGACGGCAGCTCTTCATCTAGTCTTGCGCGCGCACGTATCCCTCAGATGTTCAAGCGAGCAGCTCACGCTGGCACGAAAACCCGACGTGCTAGCTCAGCCACGGAAATTGGCCTGCCGATGCAATCAAGTGATCCAACGGATTTGAAAAGCACGGCCGGCAATATCACGTCCCCGTCAACCGCAGCCGCCTCGGTGATCTCCTTCCCTCTCACCGAGTCTTCGGATCTATTGCCAGGCGAGGAATACACTTATCTTCTCACGCCATCTTTACCCTTCGAACCGGACTTCTTTGAAACCTTTTCAACCCTCTGCGATGTCCTGATCGATTGTTACGGTCGAATTACAAGTCTCGTATCGTCTCCCTCGGTCTGTACAGTGGCCCTGGGGGAGACCTTCTCCAAAGCGGATGCCAAACTACGAAAGATAATGGTAGCCGGTGCGGTGCGTGAGTTCGAAGACGCCAGTCGGAATGGGGTCAAGAATGAGATTTCCGGTGTCGGCCGTGTCGTGCTCGGTGGGTTGATGGGGTGAACACGGGGCTGAGGCACGCGTAGCTACGATTTTGCGCGAAAACAAACATGTTCATGATCTACGGAAGGCGTTCTAGTGTTTATAGGAGGGGTTTGTCTGGGTTTACTTTGATGACTAATATATAATGAACAGATGAGCTGTGGTGTAACAGTAGAATCAGTAGGAATCGGTTCTAATATCGAGTTCTTTTATGCATATATGCCCTTGTAGAACAGAAAACGCTAGTGTCAATGAGTATAAGCAGTGAGAAGATCCATGAGAACAGTCATAAAAACTTTTTTTCCGGCCATGTCGCATCGAAAAGCAGTGTGGTATCCGTGGCGCAGAGCAGAGCCCTGCTCCGTAAATAGGAAGGTAAACGGAACAATGTGGGAGATGGAAAAACAAAGAGAAAGGAAACTCCTGAATACGCCACGGCTTTGAAATGCTAGGAAGAAATGACGCCGAAAGATGCAATCGCTTGATGCAAAAAAAGGGGAGAAAGGACGATTTCAAAAGTCGAGAGATCATGAAGGGGTATCACTGCAAGTGTTTTTCGAGATCGCGTTGTTCACCGAATACGCGACGGCTCATCTCGAGCACGGTTTCGAAGCCTTCTCGGCCACGCTTGGCATTTTCACGGAACCTCTCCACGCTTGCCTCCTCGACCTTGTTCTTGATCTTTTGCCAGCCGCCACACAGAGCAGTGATCTGAGCCTCTTGAGTGAAGTCGGTATTCGTGGTTGGAGAGATGGATGAGGGCCGGTATACCACAGTTTCACGGACACTCAGGACGTTGGACCAGGTCAGGTTGGTGGAACACATGGTGACTTTCTTGGAGGCCGGGTCGACATAGGAAACCTCATAGACGTGCGAAGTGGCACTTCCACCGAAGAGCGAAGAGACCCATTGTGGGGCCGACTGGTTACATGTGATAAGACGTTCCGTTCGTAACTATTGTAGGAGCGGTCAGTTTCATGAGTCAAGAGATTAAACCGATATTCACTCACGATGCCAGTCTTCGAGTCTACTGTCCGGGAAAGAGTGTCTACACCAACGACGTGGGTCACCTTGTCGTTCCACGGGCAATACTTGCGCCAGTTGGCAGTTGAGACCTCATCCCATGAGTAGTCAAAGGTGCAGGTTGAGGAGAAGACCTTCATGGCTTGCGCGCTCAAATCAAAAGTCGCTTTGGGAGGATATGAGGATTGTATTGAAGCAGAACAGTAAGGGGAAATGGAGAGAAGAATAAGCTAAGTAAAATGAGAAGTGGCAAGAAGATCAAATCTAGAAGAAAGATGAGTCAGGATCACGGAAAAGGTGGGTTTTCCTGAGTGGCGATCGTGTGGCAGATCGAATTTTCTTGAGGGGAAAGATTACGGGTCAGGGCAACCCCGAGAGGAGCCGTGGCTCGGGGCTTCCCGGCTTATGTAAGAAGTCTAGCTTAAATCTATAATATCCATTCTATACAATGTAGTTATATATCTCCCTTACCCCCTCATTTCATATTTCCCTCATCTCTCTCACCCCTATTCATCTGCCTGATCTACTGTCACAATGGTCGAACTTCGCAAACGCAAAGCCCCTGCGCCACCTCCGGTCGTGCAAAAGAAAAGTAAAGCGGCCCCGAAGCCCAAAGAGACCGACACTCCCAGCGAAGCCCCAACGTCAAAGGTGCCTCAGGTCGACGACATCATCGATCTAGAAGGTTTTGGTGGGGAGGTTGAGACCAATGATGGTACTAAGACAAATTTGAAGAAGCTCGTGGAAGAAAGCTCGTCAGGTGTCGTGCTATTCACCTATCCTAAGGCGTCAACCCCTGGCTGTACGTATTTTCTTCCCGTCCAATGGCTAGGCGCAATACTTTGGCTTTGTTTTCCTGATCTCACGCGTTGAACACCTCTAGGTACAAAGCAAGCGTGTTTGTTCCGTGACAACTACGAACATCTTATATCTACCGGCCTTTCTATTTATGGTCTATCGGCCGATTCACCTAAAGCCAACACTACTTTTCAAACAAAGCAAAACCTACCCTATCCGCTTCTCTGTGATTCTGGCGCAACATTGATTGGCGCGGTGGGGCTCAAGAAGGTTCCCAGGGGCACCACCCGAGGTGTCTTCGCTGTGGATAAGAAGGGCAAGGTTTTGCTTCGAGTGACCGGTGGCCCAGATGCAACTGTGGATGCAGTACAAGCACTAGTGGCTCCAGGCTCCAGCAACGAGAGTGCGCAAGATGAGGACAGCAGTGAGGGCAAATAGATGTCTGTAGAAGAGTATATATCTACTTTAAAGAACATTTCTATATGGATGATCGAGGAGGTTTAATGATGGAAGAGCCTCTGAAAGCTTCTCTAATCCAATTCCTGAAGTTTCATTATTCTTCTTCTTCGTTATGTTTTTTTTCACTCTCATTTTTCTTCCCCACGATCCCAGATCTGACGGAATTGGTGTCTGGATGTGTATCCATCCATCTTGAAGTTATTACTAATACGTGGATGAGCTGCCGGGTGCATAATAATCCGGGTCCCGGGGGGAAACGGCATGTTGTATCTTGCCGCATTAATGATCCCACTCCCCAGCAAAGCACATTACCACATTCTCGGGCTTTAAGGACTTAAGGAGGTGAGTTTTCTCGAACATAGAAATCGGTGTTGGTGGTTCATTCCATTGCCACCATTCTCTCCCCCTTCAGGGTGAAACTGACCAGGTGCAGGTCAGAGTCTTCTCCATCATGGCCCGCGATATCCTGAAAGCCGCCAAGTCGGCCTCGAAATCGGCCTCGAACGTCATTCCAATCGGCCAGGTAGGATCCTAAGAATCCCTAGTCCAGAATTTAGAAGATTAATGGGGAGGCAGAAATACTCTCTTCAGTCCACTGGTATCTGGGAGCGAATCCGCCGTGTCCTCGCCGTGGACCCCGAGCGTTCGACCGGTGTCCCATTGAATTCGCAGTTCCGTCTGCCAACCCCCGGTTCTCTGCCTCCCCTGTCCTACGATGATCCGGTGACCATTCCCGCGGGTGACCTTGCCGACAACCCATACTGGAAGCGGGACGTCCGGAGAAACTACCCTCAGCTGAGCACTGTCAGCCAGGCCGATGCTGTGAGCCTTCTCACGGTCGGCAGTCAGGCCGCCCCCAAGGATGATGTTCTGCAGGTTGGAGAGGCAGGAGAGAAGCAATTGGTATCGGTTAAGGAACAAGGCGAGGAGCGAGGCTTGGCTGCGCTCTTTGAGAAAGACCAAAAGAGCATTCAGGGTGTCCTAGGCGCCAACGGCCTGCCCCCAACACCCTGCAACATCAACCCTGTTGCTCAGTCCTCGCAATCAAAATATGAGATGGGCCATGGCCAAGGCTACCCCGATGTGTATGTGATTTCGACTTGAATTCTCGCGTATAGCGCTAACTTCCATGATTAGGTATCCTTGCCGCACTTTTGTTTAACTAGATGATACTCCGGGGTGTGGTTTCTTCCCTGTAAGAAAGAGTTATGCTACTTTTATCATAAATCAAGTTTTTGCTGTTCTCTCTGTCTTAAAGACTGTGTGGTGATAGATTGAGGCTTACGTTCACCAAGTCTTGACCATTTATGTGGTCCCGACTCACGTAGAATGTGTCAGGTTAAGAAGTCGACCTCTCAGCGCACTTAAACGTAATATATATTGGCAAGTCACGAATTATAGGTGGCAAAGAAGTAGCGCATGTACGTGGCCGTGATACCGTGGCCCTAAAGTATTACTTCATTTATACGGCAAGACGAATCTACCTATCAAACGTGGTTTGGATCCGTATTCATTTAATTGAATTGGAGAACTAAGAAAAAGAAAAACTTATACATTCTCGTCTTTCAGCTAGACCATGCTAGCGTTCCAGTGCGTCTCATATTATGGACCCAATCTAATCGAAGGGATGGGTACGGGTTCCCCACCAGGTCAAGAACAAACTCAAGCCGACCGTCTCGAAGACCCGGCTAACAGCACCAACTGCCACCGTGTCCAGGGGTCTCTTCTCTGCGAAGATCTGGCTCACAACCTGCATTCTCTTGTTAGCTTATGAACAGAGTGAGGATCGTATAAGGGATAGGGAAAACATACACCGGGAGCAGAGCTAGCGAAGAAGATCAAAGTACCGAGGTAGGCAGCCCCCTTGTAACTGAGAGTACCGGTGGCGTTGATCAGCGCAGCCACACCATAAGTCTGCACAGCACTTCCAGCTAGGGAGCTACCCCATGCGGCAGCAGCACCGGCGGCTTCCTTCGACTTAATGAACTCTTCCTTCGAGTTGGCGGCCTGGGCCCGGTGGTAAGTGTCACCAAAGAGCGGTGCAAGGATTCCCAGCGAGGCTGTGTGGGTGAAGAAGGTTCCCAGCGCAATGGCCGAGGGCTTCACGGGAGGTAGATCTAATCGCAGTTAGCCATCTGGGACCTTTGCCACGATTGCGCAATACCCACAGTGCAAGGTTGTCATGATGGTTGATAGGATACAAGAGGTACAAAGAATGACAGATCAGAGGCAAGGGCCGGGTAGAAGATATACTTCTCGGCTACGGTGACGTCGTCATGATTCAGAGGTATGTGGAGAGGAGCATGACGTCAAGTGGCAGCCCAAAACGTATCCGCATCATTCGAAATCCGGGGGAAACTTGTTGGTTTCGGGGAAAGGCAAAAGGGAAAAGTGGGAAGTGGGAAGTGGGCGAGCAAACGTGTAGATTTCTTGATTTAGAGCTCATGTAACAACTCTTGGAAAGTTGACCTCATTGTGTTGGGGCTCTGCGTGGAGACGCCGATCCATTCAAATTTAGGTGCACGGGGCGCAGATGGAATAGGCTCGTTCAGAGCTATGTACTCCCCTGTACCGTTAAAGGGGTTTCTTTACACATTTATGGTGTATGGTCTAGCCCTCTCCTTTTCTTTCTCTCTAGATCATGATTCTCCATGATCCACTTCATATGGAAATCCACGCGTTTCCTCATTGGGCTGTATCATGTGATGATAAACGCCATTTATCCATGTTCTTCCACCCCACTCCATGTGATTGGGGGTTTTGTCTGTTTTGTCTGTTTTGTCTGTTTTTCGGCCTTTTTTTTTTTCTTTCTGAGTTTGTATTAATCTTTCTCAACGGCCAATTGTCTTCCTGCTGCGTGAAGCAGAACAAAATCAATGGAACGCTCCGTGAGCCCATCTTCGGATACTGATGTTTCTTTCAACGTGAGCACCTCGTTGGCTCCGCCACGCATCAATAAACTCCCGGGGACTACCTCCGTCACATTCGATGGAAGTTTAAAAGAACCACTCTTCCTGAAGGAAGACCTGAAAAATGGCTGTGGAGGTCAATTGTGGCCAGCTGGAATGGTCTTGGCTAAATATATTCTTCATCGATATCCCTCGGAATTATCTGATAAATCTATGTAATTCCAATCCTTTTGCTCTTGAACCCCCTTGACTGCTCTATACGGCCCTTATGTTTACAGAAGCAGATTGACGATTGAGTGCTGATGTACTATGTCTAGTGTGGAACTTGGGGCCGGAGGTGGACTGGTTGGGCTTGCAGTCGCCCGCGGATGCAAGATCGGATCACCTATCCACATCACGGATCAACAGCCTATGTTCTCCCTCATGAATGACAACATCAAACTAAACCATCTCGAGTCAATGGTGACAGCTTCGATTCTCAACTGGGGGGAACCCGTTCCCGAGCATATTCCATCGAAACCCGAGGTCATCCTTGCTGCCGATTGCGTCTATTTTGAACCCGCTTTTCCTCTCCTCATAGCCACACTCCAAGACTTGCTAGGCCCAGACTCGGTTTGCTATTTCTGCTACAAACGACGCAGAAGAGCGGACTTAAGGTTTATGAAAATGGCGAAGAAGACATTCGACGTCGTAGAAGTTCGGGATGATCCAGATGCCCAGTCCTACAACCGAGAAAACATATCCCTCTTGACCATCCGGATTAAGTCAACAAGGCACATGAAAAGAGTCGAGCCAGGACGGGAACAAGATGGCACATGAATGATGCATCAAAATGATATTAATCCAAAGATAAAATATTGAAATCTATATACATACACAAGGGACATTGTATATTATCTCAGTAACTCGAGATCACAGCTTCAGATTGTCAGCACTATTTTTGGCACTGGTCCCGACCCTGGCTCCATCCATGTCCGTGACCTGGCCCTCCTTGTTGACAACCTTGACACCACCCTTCTTCAAATCAGAGACAAGCTGCTGTTTCTCGGCAGCCTTGCCCTTCCTCTGAGTCGGCTCAGCATGGGCCTTCTGGGTCTTTCTCTGGCGACGAGCCCGCGCCTTCTCTTCCCGAGTCATTTCATCCTTCGAGATGGTGGCACCAGTCTTCAGCACCAGCTCGCCTGCGGCTCTACCATCATCACCAGGCGCGTAGATTTCCTGGGGTGCGAGGGCCGACGGTCCATCGGCCGCACTACCCGCCGTAGGACGTGCCTCCTCCATCATAATCGTTGGCGCGTCAGTCACGACACTAATGTTCGCCTGAGGTGCCTTGGGCTTGTAGTGCCAGTTAGAGAGAGTATCCAACTGTGAGCTAATCTCCTTCCAAAGATTGTTGACCTCGGCATGTTCCCGCATCAACTTGCGGTCTTTGGAGTCAACATAGTTCGGGTCATTGGCACGCAAATGGTCGGCTTCATAAAGTTCAGCCAAGCTTTGTTGCGCCTTGGTATCTTCCAGTTCGAACCGGCTACTTCGTGGGGCTTTGGCGTCGGCGGCACCCGGGCGACGGCGAATGACCTCGTCAAATTCCGTGGCGAGAATTCGGCGTTTGACCAGCTCCTCGATATCCTCGGTGGTTTCATTTGTCACGACGGGAACAGGCTTGCCAACTCTCTCAAAGTCCAGATCCTCTTCGATAAGAGAGTTAACGGGTCGTTCGACTGCACGAGCTTCACCGGCAAGCATCCATTCTTTCTTTGCAACGTTGGCCGCTTCCAATCGACGAATCTCATCGGCGATGCGCGCCCTCTGCTTCTCGTGCGTTGACTTGGGAGCTTGAGCATCGCCAGACTCATCAACGGCATCTTCCTCGTCCTCAATTTCGGATTCGTCGTCGAACAGATCACGTCGCACATTCGCCATGGCACGGTCAACATCGTTATCCATAACAGGTACGGGAGGTTGAGTTTTTGGAAGTGAGCGTGCTTTCTTGGATGAAGCCTTACGTGGCGGCGGGGCAAAGAAGTCGGTGTACTTGATGTCACTTGTGTCCATCCAGGCAGGGGCATCCATGTCGCCCATATCGTTGTCCTCGTCGTCGTCGTCGTCGTCGTCTCCATGAAGATCGGCGTTGCCAAAGGTTGGCCCTTCCTCCTCACTATCATCCACCTCCATGTCATCCAGCCCGTTTGCTTTGCTTGATGCAGTGCTCTTAGCACTAGATGTCACATTCCCAGCGGTAAGTGGATTCGCATGCCAGTCGAGTTCCTCATCGCTGTCGTCGGCATCCACATTCTCCCCATTGGCGTCTTGTCTCTCCCAGAATTCAGTTTGCTTGTTGAAATCATCGATAGAAAAGAAGCCATCATTGAGCCCAAAGCGATCTTCAACGTAGACACCAGGATCCTCGGTGGACTTTACCGACGCTTCTTCATCCTCGTCCTCCTCGTCCTCCTCGTCCTCCTCGTCGATCATGTCCGCATCTTCCAATTCGGCTTTATCCGAGGAGTCAGACTCGAGATCCAGTGCCCCGTCCATATCGTCGGTATTTGCGTCTTCCAGGACATCATCTGACATGCTAGCGTCGTCGCTTTCAGACTCCATTCCCTCGAGATCGGAGAAATCTAGCGAGCCTGACCCTCCCTCGCTGGCAGATGATGAGAAGTCATCGTGCGCTGCCAGTAAGTTGTAGTCTCTCTCGATTTCATTCCCGGCTGCATCAAGAATCCTTGTCGCTTGTTCCCAGATTTGGTTGGACGTAAACCCATCCACGTATAGGTTTTTCAGCTGCAATGGTGGATATATGGCATCCGTGTCGGCGTCCGATCGTTTACGCTTCTTGTTGAGTTGTCGGCGAATGGATTGCTCCTCCACGACTGAGGAAGCAAGCGGGTCCAGAATTTGTTTGGTGGAATCTGCAATTAGGGTATGTAGGTCGTCGGTAGGGTGGAGAAAAGTCCAGGGGGCAGACAACATCAAAGGAAGAGACTGTTGAGTCGGTTGGGGCTTGAGCCCCGTCTTCTTCGCCATTTTGTTATGTGAGTAGATGACAATAGTCAATGGTAAAAGAGTCGAAAGAGCAGGAAGAAAAATTGTCGCACGGAGCACGGGCCGAGAGCCAATCACATGGTGTCGCGATAAGATAAGAACCCACTCTGTATAACTACAACAGTCAATACAACCTATACACTTATTAACATGATTTATATCTTGATATCAATTCTGTCTGAAGATTTTTATTCTGGAGGACTTAGGAACTCTCATTTTCTGAAAGCTACATGAGATGAGGCATGAGATCAAAGCCATAGGTACACATGATGTTAATAGTCAGTTAATCCATTCCTTAGAATATTAGCGTTTCAATGATAGTTCAAACTCCTTATATGGGCTATATAGGACTTACAGAGGAAATAAATTGCAACTCGAGGGTTTGTTCAATGATCCACATGGCAGATACAATAATCCCGGAAGGTGGGTATATCTATCATACTCAAAATGGGAAGTATGATAGTGCGATGACAGCAGAAGATAATCATACTTCAAATATCCAATTTGCCGCTAAATGGTTGTATGGCAACTATTTCATTCAAAAAGCTGGTAGAGACGTCATCTCGATATCAACCCCGACTTCTAGACCCGTATGTCTCCGCCTCCCAGAACTTCTCATGACAGGCCAAACTGACATCTTCTTGGCGGCCCTGATTTCCTTTCATTGCCATGTGCATAGCTCATTCGGTGGGTCTGGATCTGGCTTCACGGAAATATGGCTCAAGGGCCGACGGCGTCATGGTGACGGGGCCAGCTACTAACCTGGGTTAAAATAGCAGCCTGTTCAAGGAATTCCCCGACATAGCTCATCCAAATATCTTCTATTACTTTTCTTTGAACTTTGATTAGTTCACTGGTACGGACATATTCGATCAGCCTATTCTCCACAATGCCTCCAGTCGCCCAATATACGGAAAGGCCGGCGAGCGGGTCTAAGTCCCAGTTTCAGCCAGGTGAGGAAAGGTCAAGAACGTGAACGGATTATCAACTAAGTCCTCATCGAAAATTTCAACCAGGACACAAAATCCCAATCCAGCACCTGACAAAGCCAGGGCTGCAAGCTGACATGGAAGATCCAAAACCTGTTTCGTCCCATATTCCGACCGAGGACGGCGGCTATCAACTCTACAAGGCCGCGGGCAAACTCGAAGGAAAGAAGGCCATTATCACAGGTGGAGACTCGGGCATTGGACGAGCCACAGCCATTCTTTTCGCAATGGAAGGTGCATCAAGCCTGATAGTTTACTTGCCGGAGGAAGAGAAGGATGCACAGGAGACAAAGAAGAAAGTTGAAGAAGCCGGTCGTCAATGTCACTGCCTTGCCATCGACATTCGCAAAAAAGAAAACTGCCAGAAAATTGTTGACACAGCTCTTCGGACTATGGGTGGCATCGATATTCTAGTCAACAATGCCGCCTTTCAAGACATGTTGAGCGATATCAGTGAACTCGATGAGTGAGGAACTTCATGGCAATTTGTGCAGCAATTGGGACTTTTTGCTTACAACTTCAATAGGGAGCAGTGGGAAAAGAGCTTCGACACCAACATCCACTCTTTCTTCTATCTGTCGAAATACTCCCTTCCTCATATGAAGCCCGGATCCACGATCATAAATTGTGCCTCGGTCAATCCATATATCGGCCGGGGAGATCTGCTTGACTACACCTCTACTAAGGGGGCAATTGTAGCATTCACGAGAGCTCTGTCGAATCAACAAGTCAAGAAAGGCATTCGTGTCAATTGTGTCTGCCCAGGGCCAAGTAAGTGGCCCTAACAGGGAAATAGAGTAGCATGCTGACTGGTCTTCTAGTCTGGACTCCACTGATCCCATCCACGATGCAGACTGCTGCAATGGAACAATTCCACGCGGTGCCAATTGGCCGCCCTGGGCAGCCTAGTGAGGTTGGGACTTGCTTTGTTTTCCTTGCAAGCCAAGACAGTAGCTATATCTCCGGACAGTGTCTACATCCCAATGGCGGTGTCATGGTCAACGGTTAAGTAGAAAGACGATTTGGAAGTCAACCATGCCGATCTGTGAAAATAGGAAATAAACTACAAAAAAAACCAAAAAAAAAAAAAAAAAAAAACATCGATGTTACTACTGAGGAACGCTAGTCGAAGGTATTCATATGTGAAAATAGAGAACAAGTTCCCACCCAAAGAAAAGAAAAGAAAAGAAAAGAAAAGAAAAGAAAAGATATCCTACACTGCAGGAGGTCAAGATCCGGGTAGTTTGGATTGACCGTCCATGAGATGATAGAGTAGTCTATAGAAAGATCCTGCTGCATATCACGGAATCCATCATCCTTGATCATCGGTATATCCTTGCACGTTCTACAAAGAGTACAGCACCGTAAAATATTGAAGGAATTGAAGGGTCACAACCCAGACCGAAGATTTGATATACACAGGAATAAGACACACAGACTCCACGATGGCTGAATGAATTTTAAGAGTCCACCGTGCATGATGGTTCAAGCAGAGAAAAGAAAATCACACATTACGGGAAAACTTAACGACGGTACCACATGCGGGTGATACGAGTATGTCTCATTTTCTTCTGCAGCTGGAAAATGCCATACATCAGTGCCTCGGAAGTTGGGGGGCCTGTATTTGATTAGACATGTTCAGAAGGAAGGAAGTAAAGAAGACATACATCCAGGAACGTAAACATCCACGGGCACAATACGATCGCAACCTCGAACCACCGAGTAGCTGTAGTGGTAGTAGCCACCACCGTTGGCGCAGCTGCCCATACTGATCACCCACCGGGGGTCAGGCATCTGATCGTAAACTTGTCGGAGGGCAGGGGCCATCTTGTTGGTCAATGTACCGGCCACAATCATCACATCGGACTGTCGCGGGGAGGCTCGGAAGATGATACCCAGACGATCTTGGTCGTAACGAGGGGTGGAGAGGTGCATCATCTCGACGGCGCAGCAGGCAAGACCGAAGGTCATGGGCCACAAAGAGCTCTGGCGGGCCCAATTGGCAACCTGGTCAAGTGTGGTCCTATAAAGAGAGGAAAGCAAAGTCAGTAGTAGGCCACGGGTCCGGGATGGGGCGCACATACAGGACATATTGCATGGCACCCTCCTTCTTCTCTTGACTAGCCAAAGGCACCTCAGCCCGCACCTTGCCCGATGCAGAAAGTGGCTGACCTGCTGATGACTGGCGCTCAAGAGCAGTTGCTGATTTCACGGCCGAGGTCGACAGGGCGGCAATAGGCTGCGGGCGAAGGCATAGCGCTAGCCGAGGACGCGCTGGGTTGACAATCAGCAACAGAATTCAAGAGACTCAAGCGTGAAGGATCATATACTTAATGCGCCAGTAAAGGCGGGTCTGGCCATGGGAAGCATCGTGTGAGTGGAGAGTCAAAGACGATAGGGCCCAGGAGCTTCACAGGTGGCGGGCGTTCTCTTGTTTTAAGGGAGGACTTTTGCCGGATTTGAGAGGGAACACTAAGAATGACGCAGGTATCGGTATGGTCTTGCATAGTGACATAAGCATTAATCCGCGGTATCATTGGTTGCTAGTCAAAATAACGTGACAGTACTGTCAGAGCGGTGAGACGATAGTAAAGGCATTTGACAACTCAGTGATTGGCCTGTTTGGACTGTGGCCTGACTGTGGCCTGACTGTGGCCTGAATTGCCGGGAAACCACTCCTTTCACTTACAAGCTGCCTTCCCCGCGGCGAGACTACGCTGATAGGGAGATAACAGCTCAACCCAACTTCGCTCTCCTACATCACGGGACTGGATGTAGATTTAATTTGCAGGATGGCTGGTCCCAGAATAGCCTGCATTGGGGTGATTGGAAAAGCTGTACGTCGTAGGCTCGGGTCATTTCTCCCAAAGTCAGTTGCATATTGCTAATACTGTGTTGAATGGTGGCCACAGGACAACCCCCTTCATATCGCTCTATTCCCACCTTATTCCGACGCGATGATTGAATTCTCATTCTTACTCAATTCCTGCCTCGATATCTTTGAGATTCGGCGGAAGCAAACCTCCATTGACCAGGATCTCGGCCTCCTTCACGCCATCGACGAAAGATTGGCTGCCTATGGCTGGCTTACAACCACGGGTGTGAAGCTTTTGATCATCGTAGATCTCTTTGGTCCCGAGGCTACCAGTGCAAGACTGGTTGGCCCTGCAGTCAGTGGCCTTAGAGACTCGGATCTCAAGCCAGTATGTTGCAATATGTAATCTAATGTCCCAAAGCATGGGCTGACTTTTCCGGACTAGGCATTTCGGGCCCTACAGAGCGCATATATTCAGCTGCTTCAGAACCCATTTTACTCGCCAGATGACCACGTCCCTACGCCAGGGGTGACGGCCGGGTCAGCCTCCTCCTGCCATTCAATTTCCAATTCAAAATTTATAGCGGATGTTAAGCGCATAGGTGAAACATGGGTGCCTGGGGCTGGAGTATAATGCCATAAGGATTGGAAGTGTCTCAAATTTGGAAAGGACTGCAGCAATGCTGCCGCCGGGATCAACCGTCCAAACATACATCTCCCAGCTGCCTAGAGGAAAGAAGATAAGGAGGTATGGCGAATGCATGGGTGCGGAAAGTCACAATGATACCAATGAAGTTTCATCTTACGATTGCTTTGATAATTTATCATTATTTGATGTGAAATGCTTTACAGATTGTGTAATGTAATGTACATATTCTAGGGGATTCCTATATAAAGGAAGAATCCAGATTGACTAGGTGACTAGCTCTCCAGGTTATAGATGCCTGCTTCTCATGCAGTATCAATTGTTGCTCCCTCCTGATTAAGCCTGAGAACACCCTGTCTGCTTCTAAGCTTGGCTTGGCTTGGCTTGGCTTCAAGCCTAATATCAGATGTGTTATTTGAGCTGGGTATATGTGGATAGCTCAGATGCAGTAGGCTTCAGGTTCAGTTTGCTCCAAAGCTTTGAGGGTTTCTTCCATTTCCTTAGGGTTGCAGACAGCCCAAACACCACCGCCCTTGGTGTTGACTCTTCCGACCTCCTTGCCAACCAAATTTCGGCCAACTTTACCCGGCCCAATACCGATCCAACGCTGGACTCCTTTATTCTGATGGAGATATCGGATGCTTTCCCACCATCGCACCGTATCAATACATTGCCTTGACAAAAGATGTTTCAAATCCTGCTTGGATTTGAAGGGCAGTGCGGAGACATTGGAAATGCAGGGGACAATGCCGGGGAAGGTGATATCCACCTCTTGCATTGCAATCTTCATATCCTCCGCGGCAGGAAGCATGACCGGACTGTGGAAAGGACTATCACTATTGAGCCTCACCGCGCGAGGATCATGTCCTCCAAACTGGCGAAGCTGCACAAGGAGGACTCGGATCCTTTCAATACTGCCGCTGAGTACAATTTGATTGGGTGAATTGATGTTGGCCACCATCACCTGTCGAATGGGCGGGTGGCCGGTATCATCGAGGTGGGATGCCCCCAGGCCCAAGAAATCATTAACGGTGCGGAGCAAACTTTCCAGATGATCGGGTTCACAGATAAGTGCCACCATACCATAGCTATCACCTGATTGTTCGACCATTCGCCTGGTGCACTGAGCCATCACCTTCGCCCGACGACGGACCAATCGAAGTGCGTCGGGAAATTGGAGATGGCGGGAGGCGACCAATGCCGCAAACTCCCCCAAGCTGTGGCCTAAAGTGACATCGACCCGAGAGCCAATGTCGAAGTTGAATTCATCCTCTAGAATGCGGAGGATGAGCACGGAGACTGCCATCACTGCTGGCTGTGCATTCTGGGTTTGATTAAGTCTTGAATTGGGACCATCGCAGATGACTTGGGATAGCTTGAAGCCAAGAATAGAATCCATCTCATCCAGGTGTTTAGTTGTGGTCCTAGGGAAGTGGCTCATCCAAGTATTGGCCATCCCCACTCGTTGGACACCATGCCCTATAGAACAAGGTTAGGCTAGGTTGTCAATCTGACTAGAAGATGGATATGCAAACCTGGGAAAAAGAGAGCTGTATTCAATCCTCTCTTGAGGCTCGAAGGTTGAATGGCAGTGCTCCACCTCACGGCTACCGTCGAACCCCCGACCAGGGCCTGGTGTAAGGGACGTGTCACAACCGGGGCCATTCTTGCTAAACTGCGTACACGGCAACCCCAACCTTCGTCATATTTTGACCCACATAGCACATGGGCATATTTGTACAGATAGTCTTTGTGGAGAGTCAATAACGCGGAGTCACAGAAGCTCTTATCCGAATGCCGACGTGGAGGGGGAATCGTTGGTTCACGTGAGTAGATTTCGCGTCCCGCCCACGCTACTGTATCGGCACAATTAGGCCCGAGCTTGAATTTTGGTATATCAGCACTTGAACAATGATACAGTATTCATGCAAATGGGCCTATGTACAGCATACTTGGAGTGTATTTTGTCCGTTTATATTGCTCTAAATTCAGGGAATTGTTAGGTACTCCAAGCGGAAGATGGCCCGAAAGAGTGACAAGACAGAATCATGTGAACAGTACCATGTGAAACCTATGATTGGCTTATATCATCCTAGTTATTTTTTCCCCCTTGGTGACAGAAAGCTGCTACTTGGTATACTAATCATAGAAACAATATTTGCAGTATCTCGGGACCTTTAAGTAGTGCACCCGGCGGTGCTTTGTACTGTAAGAGACCTATGGTGGGTCGGCCCGATGGAATGAGGAGGAAGGCGGTGTGTAACCAACGCGTTGTAATCTCAGGTTAAGCACACCGCCTTCCTTACAGCGCGGCTCATCTTTTGTTGTTGGTCCTCGCTTTTCCACTTATCAACTTGAGCGCATTCCACTACTCTTCCTTTGGCCTCTGGCCACCTCATTGAAAGTGAACAGGTGCGCAATTATCTCAACATGTTCGTCCCTAAATCAACATCACGAAACCCTCGAAGGCGCCCGCGCACGAGCTCCGACGACTCGGTCAAGCCACCAAAAGCGAAGAGACAACGCTCCGCGTTGCGCCAGGAAGAGAACTCGCCGTCCGGTATTGTGGAACATGAAAGTGGAAGAGAGATAGTTGACTCGGCTACCTCGTTTTCACTCAGTGATCATCCGGATGGCGATTTGCACCTCCCAATCCGAGGCATGAAGCCAACCGAGGAGCCCAACAACGATCTTGAAGGAACAATTGTGTTGGTAAGTCAATGCCCTTGTCTTGATTAACTCTTCGCTTTCAGAGCTTTTTTTGATTCATTCGCATCCATGCGATGATCAGACACTGACCTGTTTCCCCGATCTAGTCGAGCACAGATTACTACACTGTCGATCAACTCCCAGCGTTGCCTGATCAGATTCGGAGCTCCCAGTCAGGTAATCATTGATCTACTAATATAACTGTATCTGAAAAATTCAACTGACTTCTTGAATTACGGTACAGAACCGTTGAAATGCTTTTTTGCAACTGGTCAAGATTATGCACTCGCCTTGACACACTCACACGCAGTTGTATGGCCTTATTCTGTCCCAACTTCAGCGCCATCACCTTCGGAAACATTCTCAGTATCTATCCCTGAATCATGCAGAGAGCCCAGTGGGCCTGTGCCGCTGGGTGTCCTTCTCTCCGCTGCCACAGGGGAGTATCCGGGACTCTTGGTCATTATCCCGTCAACAGGGAAAATAATCTACTGGGAAACGGTATCCGGTGCTGCAACGCTAGGGCTGTCACGGCAGAGACAGAATGGAATTCAAGGGTCTATACCCGGTCTTCTGTCTGGCGAATATGCTTCTGAGATTATGAATTGCGAGCCTTCGGGGATCATTGCAACATTTTCATCTGGGCGTGCCGCTCATATAACTCTCAGAGACTCACAAGGGAAACCTTCTGTCTTCGTGAATTTCTTGAGGAGTGCAACGGGTATTGCAGGAGGAGGATTTCTCGGGGGGATCAAGAGTGTTTTGGGAGGGGGCTACTGGAGAAAAGAGGTTACAGCTGTGCGCGCGGGTGCATCTCGCCAGCGAGGCCAACGTGATGTGATTATCGCCACTTCAGCCGGTCTTGTGGAGATATGGGATACCCATTGGAATCATGGAAATGCTCTGAAGAAGAAATATGATGTCAAAGATGACATTATTTCTGCGCTTCCAGTCCTGTCACAGGATGCTGGAAAGTTGGTGGGGGAGCCTGATCTGAAGGTCATGGACTTTGCATACTCTAACCAACAATCTTCGGATGAGCTGAGCCCCCAGGACTCAGATGAATCATGGCGACTATTTCTGGTGGTAAGCTCCGCACAATGGCTGGAGGCCAAGAAAGTTTTCGTTGTTGAGCTGCACTTGACCGGAAACGAGTCGCAAGTGTTATCCACTCTTGCTGTGGATCTGAACAGCATGCCGGCTCTACGAGATGAATTTAAACCGAGGATATTGGTTTCGAAATCTGAAGCCGTCGCTTTCATATTGATAGGACAATCACTTGTTGTCTTATCGCTGACAAGCGTCATACAGGAGACGCCAAGTGCCCAACTGCTTCTGGACTCAGATGCACTTCCCCTGCCTTTCCAGGATACCATTCACCTCCAATCTGGCACAGACCATGAAATTCTGGGATACGGTGCAGATGACGTCTCAGAAGGGCATGGTCGCGCTTCGTGCGTCATGATGGTTCGAAACTTCGGTATTGTTCGTGTGAATATGGCCCCCCAGTACCCAACAGGCAACCGGGTGGATGAGGGTCAGCTCAGTGCGAAGCACAAACTTGAGCAGGCAATATTCTTTGGAACAATGGCGAAGAATCCATTAGATCTGGTTGGTGACGGTGGGCTAGGCTTTTCTACAGATGAAATTGAACAAGCCTCGCTTGAGATCTGCGGGGACCTTCTTCGATCAGAATCGCGGTTCATCCCTAACACATCAATCTCAACTGACGAAAATTTGCGCCTGAGAGCGAAAGCTCTAGATGATCTTGCGTCATTGTTGGGGCAAAAAGGCAACCCTTTAAGTCGCCCTGCCAGGTGGGAGCTGCTATGGGGAGCAGAGAAGCTTGCTGCCCAAAGAGCCATGTGTGCTCTGGAAAACACCTTCCGGTCCGGAGAAGAGAGCCCCTTTATCAGCCATGTCATCGACTCCATGAACGACAAATTCAAGACACGCCCCGCGAATGCCCAACAGGGCGAAACGACAGATCCCACCCGTCATTGGTTCCTTCGAGACTCTTTCCAGATGGAGCATATTATCCCGTGGATCAAAAATGCAATCAAGCCTCGCCGTGGTAATTCCTCGAAACAGGCGCGGAAATTGTCTGAACAGATCCTCCAAGCTAGCGAGGTGCTTCTTGCAATCATGGAAACAGCGTACAATTTCCGTGATCTACATGCTTCTTCCTATGGGCTTGGCGATGATTTTCTGGAGGACGGTGTCCTCGCTGATGGTTATGAAGATCTTCCCGAGCCCTGGACATCTAGAGCAGTGGGCTATACTGAGACAGGCCATCTACTCGACTGGGAGTTAGACAGCTGTCGCGCTTGGATTCAGCAGAAGACAGCAAGCGCAGATGCTCCTGACGGTCAAACTCTGAAAAAGATTGCCGAAAACAGTGCCCGCCATCTCCGAATCCTTGGTCAAATGCACCGGGAACGAACCCGCTGGCTTACTGCTCAACAGGATCCAAAATTGGCAGACGAAAGTCTATCGATCGAGCAGGCGCACGTGAAGGAACGCAAATGGCAACTTTTCAAGCTGGCCGGGATTGGCCACCTTCAGGATGCCCTCGGTTTGGCGGAGCGGTTTCGGGACATGTCTGCTCTGGTTGAGCTCATCATCGAACTACAAGATCAGGTGAAAAGCCAGCCGAGCCAGGATGTCTCCACTGATACCCCAGCCTCGGCACAGAGTGAGGCGGATGTCGCGCATCGAATCTCGCAGTATTTCGAAAAATTTGGTGACTCGTGGGCGGATGCGTATTTCTCACGGCAAATCTCGATGGGTCACCCGGGAGCGTTGCTCTCGATGCGAAAATACCAACCATCCATAACTCGTTTCCTACGAACCACGCCAGCTTATTCTAAGCTAAGTTGGATCAATGATGTGAACGGTGAGGATGATTACGAAACCGCCGCAGTCTGTCTGGAAAATCTAGCCATCGATAGCGAGAAGCAGTTATGGTGTCATCGCGTTCAAGTCTCCTTAGCGAAGCTCGGCAGATTAGCTTCACTTGAAGATATGCCATCCGGCAATCATGGGTCTGCGTTGCAGGAGGACATCAAACGCCTCGATGATTACAGTGAAGTCGATGAAGTACAGGAACTTCTCCAGGTCCACGTTCAACCGGCTCTGGAAGGTGCAATTGACCAGAAGGCCGAGGCAGAGCTGGCACTAGATTACTTCGGGGGCCACCTGAAGGACGATCGCCCTTCCCTCCACGAAATACTTGGCGAGATTTTCTCTGCCTTAGTGAGCAGGAGAATTGTCGGCGCCGACGGGTTGATTGATATGCTGACTCTGGTGAGCTCTTCTGATCAGCTCTCTGAAGAGGGAGATAGCGAGCTTCGTGGTCGGGAGTTCTATCATGCTCTCCGGGTGCTGGACCACAGTCGCCATGCTCAACGAGATCCATCATATGTTTCGGCATTGCGAAAGCTGATTTGGCGACGGTGCATGATCAAAGATGATTGGAAAGCTCGTGGGAAAGCAGCCGAAGAATCCAATGGAGATTTTAGTAGCGCCGCTAGTTCCACTGCTCTCTATCACACGTTATATTCATGTCTAGCTGGTAAGTCACACTGGCGTCCTGTCACCACTCTCGGCCTAACACTATCTATAGAGCATGCCGAGGCAGGTCCTCAATCCCTGTACAAGCCTCTTTCTCCAGCCGATGTGCTCATGGCGGATTCGGAATCTGACATTCTCGTCTCACGCTTTCGCCCCGAGCAAAGAGCTCGGGTGGTAGTTGACTTGGAGCGAGAGAATGATTTGCTCCAAAATTACATCCAAACAGGGAAGCTAGACTTCTGGTTTCAGAATCTTCTATCCTCTGTTATGAGTCTACCGTCCTCTAGGAGTTTTGCTCCAATTGAGAGTTCTAATCTGGGTGGTCCACAGGCTGTGGACTCCTAAGGCACGGATTATATGGGTTTGAGGTTAACAATGTGAAATGGGCTTAACCCAGTGTGCTGAATGCGTGACCCGTTTGTATTACATACCAATGAACTAAATCTCACTTGCAAGTTTTCTATATTTGTAGTAAATTGGATGCTATTGGGTTTTTGACACTAAGGATGTAGAGGACATGCGCTAAATCCAACTTCAGTGATTATCTCAATCGCCATTCTGGTCTCATCATGTGGCAGGATTTAGGGTGCATGGTTCTCGATAGAGGCTCGAATTTAGCCTTAATATTTGATTCCTCCCTGGTCTGTCTCACTGTCGTTGCTGCTGCTGGTAGACTCTACTTTGGTTGCTGCACTTTCATTCACACCAGTCACATCAGGTGTATCATGGAGCTGCTCCTCAAAAACAGGCTCAGGCTCAACCGTCTCAAATTTCGTTCTAAAATCGGTGAGGCCTTGGGTGCTGCTATTCGAACGACGCCGGGCATTGGTGAAAGTATAACCACAGTCCTGTGATTCATCTCCAGAGCGACCCCTAACAGCGAGATTTTGTTTAGGCACACGTTTCTTATATCAAGAATGTGTTTATCACTCACCAATTACCTTTTCCACCTCCATCCTTCTTAGTCTTGCGTGGATCGGCATCAGTAGGGCCTGACTTTCCAAAATACCGCGGAAGTTGCTCATGGGGTGGAGCCATAATGCCATCGGCTGGGTGGTCCCGATCATTAATTTTGTGAGAACGAGTCACTGAGTGGTCAGTATCAATCAAGAAGAGCCATAGAGCACCTTACTTGTGGGTAGATTGGTATAGCTTGGAGGATAGATGCTCAAGTGAAGAGTAGTGCGACTAAGCAGCGTGATTTAAGCGTGAAAGAGTAGCGTGACTCGTGACCTCATAGGGGAAATGGGGAAATGCGGGGGTTGCACTAGGTCCGGCCCCACTAACCTTAATATGTACGTCAAGATTCCTACGGAATCCACCATTGCATCTCAGAGCAAGGGCAAGAGAACATCCAGATTAAACGATTTTCTTATTCGGAATAATACCCATACCAAAGATGCCACAGAGCATAAAGGCACGCGCCAGAAGGTGAAGAATTCGGCCTACTGTTTGCTTTTGTACGGAGGCTGACCTCAGTTATCTCCAAAATAACAAATTTCGCATATCGTTGACTGAATTTGATTGCTTCGGGAGATCTTGGTAGTCTTGTTTTACTTGTCTTCAAGTTCGCATATTTTGCCGGGCATTAGGGGCTTCTTTCTCGACCTTCTCATGCGAGGATGTGTCAAACTTCGTGAGCAACAGAATTGAGATAGTTTTAGCGTAGCGTCATGCATGCCTTATATTCTTGTGTCAGATATTACACATCTGATCCTGGCTCTTTGACAATCCCGGTGGTTGTTAGAAACAATCGACGAAGGTCATCAGCATGCCTAGACCGCGCAGGATATATTTGGCTAATGTGGTGATGTCCACACCGAGTTCGCTAAAGAAGGCGTGTGGATATTGACGCCCGACACGAAATCACCAGCTCAATCCTAACAAGCCCTTTTTGAGTAGTTGAAGGGCCGTGCCCTGTTTTCTCTGCAATCTGGAATTGCGTCAATCCACGCGCATCTACTCTGGCAGTGTGGACGCTTTAACAACACAGTCATTCCGATGATGACTTCACGAACCGGTCTAGCTAGTCAAAACATGCAAAGAGTGTTCGTCGGCTGAGATATAAGCTGCAGCTTTGTCTTTTTGGAGAAGTAATATCTCGGGGTGGTTTGAGCCTTAGCACGGCGCTGCCCCCTGGTCTGTACTCCTCTCCGGCTGTATTCCGATAAACCACTAAGTGGATTGCGATTATCGTTCAAGTATAACTTTTTTTAGAGTGTTACAACACTTGCAAGTCGGGCTTGGGCATGATTCGCGGATTCAAAGCTCCAGCTCGGCCTTCGTGGAGCGCCGTATTGAGCTGTGAGGCGTGATGGTTGGCAGAACCAAGCTCCCGTCATCTTCAGGGACTGAGGTCCTTTCAACGACGCCTATTGTCTACGTAGCATCCTTCAGATCCCGAGTTGACCTATATCAAAGCCTGTCTAATAGCTCAATGGCGTTTGGACATCAAGATCCACCCGGGGGTCATCTCGACGGAAGGGTCATTTGTAGTGTCGAATATTAGACCCACTAGCCCGAAAGCTTTGCCATTGATTCAGAATTGGATTAATCACATGGATGGTCTATTGATACGTGACGCAGACTTACGATACCATTATCATGGGCTATCCTGTTCATAACGCTTCCCCCATGTAGATGTGTTTCCTTGATCCTTTTTCATAAACTTCTAGCAACATCCTCGGATATGGCGTCCTACTTGCAGGATCCCAGCCAACGGCCGTTTATATATATAAAGAATGACTAGAGTATATAATCATAGTCTTCTAAAATTTTACTTCTTAATATAGACTAAGTCCTATTATATATTAAAATTATAGACCTACTTAGTATATAATACTCTAGAGTAATAGAGACTAATAGTTCCCATAGAGTATTTAGCTATACTTACCGCCTATACTATATATAGCCTTTTACCTACTATAACAAATACTCTATTATACTATAGGATAGTGTTATAGTATATCTATAAGAAGGCCCATAGAAGAGCCTAAGAATAGGCGCATAAGGTATATACTATAGTTCCTATATATAATAGAGCTAGCTAGAGAAAGGTTAATTCAATAGGCTTAGGTAACTGATTAGACAAGCCATATAATAGAAATAGGATCATAAAAGAACACCCCTAGAGTTCTCTAGTGATTATATTATTATCAATGTTACAACATATAGTATACTTATATACTACTTATATTATCACTCTAATCTAATTTAACCCTAGGACATTAGTCCTAATGGATATTTAGTAATAGGCTAAAACTAGCTATATCTGTATGATAGGAAATACTCTATCTTGTTAAAAAGATATTCAAAGGAATATAAATATATAAGGCCCAACCCTTAGTACTTAAGCACTAACTAATCTATTTAGATAGAATAGACCTAATATAATAATAAGATATATTCTAATACCTTAAATAAAAGGATTAGATGTATAAGGATATTTCTTACTATGTCTATATTTAGTTCTTCACTTCTAAGTATATATTATTACTTAGAATCTATAGTTCTAGCTTTATATCTTTTTATACTTAGCATAAATCCCTTACTAAAAGAGATATACTTAGTCTCCTATTCCTTAATATAGATCCTAAGTATAGCTTAACTATTTATTATTATATAGTACTATTTAATAAGAGTCTACCTTATAGACCTAAGTCTATATAAGACCAAATAATAATAATAATATAGTTATAAATAAGACTTAAAGAAAGATAAGCCTTAATATATATATAATTATTATAAGTATTACTTATTATAATTAGTTAGTACTATATAATATATAAATACTCCACCTTATAAGTAATCTATAAATATATCTAGATGAATCAAGTATAGTAAATTAATAAAGAAATTAGAGTTATCTCTTTATTAATCTATCTTTGAAAATAAGCCTAGGGCTGGCTAGCTTAAAGTCTAACTATATAAATATTATAAGAATATATATAACCAAGAGAGTATAGCTATAATAAATATCTTTACTAAATATAGTAGCTTTATAATATACCCTAATAAGATATTTAGGGAGATCAATAAAATCATTAATATTAAGTAAAAACTAGCTATATTATACTAAATTATCTCTATTATAGTATATAATATATAATTCATATAAATAAAAACTTATACTAAGATAGAAGGATTATATTCTCATTTATATAATATTTAGAAGGACTAGAATCCCATATTAGGAATAAACTTATAAAAGTTAATTAAATAATAATATTAAATAATTAATACTTTAATTAATAATAAGAAAAGAAAGAAATTAAGTAATAATAAGAAATCCTAAATTAGGAAACTATTCCTAATTATTATATTATTTATATTATAGCTATAGAGCTTTAAAATAAAATAACTATAGTCTATAACTAATAAAGCTTAATAATAAGACTCTTTAAAGAAAAATAGAAAAGATATAAAAATAATAATCTATATTTTAAATATAGAAAATTAGAATACTAGATTAAAGACTACTAAAATAAAGAGTAGCTAATCTAGTAACTTAGATATGTTTAAGAGTTAGAAGACTATAATAGACCCTAATAGCTATATACTATTTAATAGCTATAATAGACTAAGAAATTAGAAGAATTTAAGAACCTAGAATAATAATAGGCTAATAAATAGATAGTAGTAGTAGTAGTAGAATTCATTTGCCCGATCTAGCTTGCCTCTAGTAATAGCCGCTATATAGGGGTGCTACTGGGCCTGCCCAGTAGCGAGGTAATAGTGTACTATACCCGAGATATATTATGTATGGAGGTGAGGTTAGGGCTTACCTACTTTACCCCTAGTTACCCATAATCTAAGAAAATTAAGTATAAAGAACGTTAAAATAAAGGAAAGAACGTTAAAGGAAAGTTAATCTCCACCCTAGTAACACGGCCACTAGCGTCCAGCTCGTTTCTAGCTTATCTAGGAGGCCTGCTATATCTTCTAAACTCCCCACGAGATTGTTGCACCTACTACGCCCATAACTTTATTTTTCCACCCCACATACCTCCGCGGTTTCGCCGCATCTCCCACTTCCACTCCCACTTCCCACTTCTAGTACCCCTCATACTACCATATCCTCTTCTTCTCTTACTCTGCCCTTACTTTCGCCTTACTTCTACCTCTATAACACGCTATCCCCAAATATATAACCCTTTCCCTAGCTAGTCAGCCGCTTCCACGCCATTCTACCTCTTAAGGGAAGAAAGGGGACCTGGCCCTTCTTCCTATAATCCATATTTTATCTACCACTACTATACTACCTATTAGATCATACTAGTTATTCTTACTCTAGTTATTACTACTCTGGTTTAAATCCTATAATATCGGGATTAACCGCGTGAAACTACCTAAGAAGTTAGGTCTTTTCTATAAAGGCGGAGATCGCTAGAACCGCGTTCTTTTCCTACATAAATTAGTCGAACGAGAGCGATATATATATATATGCTTATATAAGCGCTACTTATATATCTCTACGCTTATCTTTAAAAAAGGGGGCACTCTAAGAGTACGTGTCTTAGTTACTAATACCCGAGATCGCACGCGTAGCGAGGCGAGTCTATGACTCTAATTCTCTATAGGTAACGTTTTAATCCGATAATATTAAGCTATATTTAAAGTATAATAGATACTAACGCTTTTCTCTAGCCTTTCTAGTAGTCTAGGACCTTCTTTGTAGGCACTAGAATTAGTTACTTCGTCGCCTATCTAACCTTCTTCTCCTTCTCCTACGCTACCTCCTATGTGATCTTCGCCCGCTCCTAAATACCTCGCCTCGCTACTACGACGAGCTTAATATACTAGTTATATAGGCCTAGAACCTTTGCTTTTATAGCCTACTTCGCGTGCTAATCTATAAGCTCGTTACCTAGAATCCCTTAATAGGCGGGGATCTAGTAGAGCTCGACCTAGATATCTTATTCTATGAGTTTTTAAAGGTTTTTAATAGCTCTATAGAGGTAGACCTAACTAGAAGGTATATATAGGCGGAGAAGCGCTTAGAGAGTGGCTTAGCTATTAGAGAAGATTATAGCGTGCTATACGCGCGCTTATATAATCTCTATCGCTATCTTAATAGCCTAGAGCTCTATGGAGTAGACTATTAAGTCTTACTCTATACCTATCTA